AGATATTTTTCAATGGTTAATCATGATAAACTTTTTGTATATATGACTCATGTGCGGTCTCACATAGGGTGCATTCAACATAAAATATGATTCCAATACATTATTTCAAATGAAAAGTACTAGTGTTGAAAACATTTGACGGTTGAAAATTCAGATGCAAATTGTCAACAAGTTTTGACCGTTGGATGAGATATTTTCCCGACATACTAAAAAATCACTGATACGAGTAGGTAAATTTGTGTTTGAGGTGATTTCAGTGTCACCGTTGCATCAGAAAGCACAGCACACAGGAGAGAGGATTGTCATTTAGCTTGTTTGGTTATGGAGACAAAGAAGGTGCAATATCTATCCATGTCCCTGGAAGAGGACAGTTGGTGATTTGATGACAAATCAAGGGATAGACCTATAAATATCAAAATTGGAGGTTTTTAAGTGCCGTCAGGTTACGTCAGGAGCACAACATCGGCATTGGATAGCGCGCCCACTAGTTTTAATTTGTGGGTCCCACCCTCGCAGCAAATCAGCTGCTTTTGGAATCTGGAGAGAGGGGCTCGGATTCGAAGCTCTAGATATCCCGAGCCTAAACGCGTCCACACCTCATTGGACGAGAACTGGTTGTTGAAAGACAATTTTAGTAATAAATTCTTGACGGATAAAATTCCATTCTATTTTTCTATTCCAAACGAAGATCCTCGGACGGAATTGGGCCAGGCGGAGCCCCGGTGAACATTAGTTCTATTTTTCTTTTTCTTCTTCTTCTTCTTATTATTATAATTAGTAATTATTGCACTCATTTTTTTCTCTAATTTTAATTTTAAACTCTCAATTTTAAAAGATAAAAATTATATCATTAAATTATAATATTTGACTATAATAGACGCAGCTAATGCCCACAGGGCAGCTGCCCTGACTTTTTTTTTTGTTCTTATATATATATATATATCTTTTGTAATATCACAAAATACCTCCCTGAGTTTTTGTTACTAGCCTTTGTACATATGGGTGCTTACCAAGAGTTGTGCCCCTCCTTATTCCAAATCCCAGTTTCGTCCGTGACCCTATAAGTTGGTGACTTGACCTACTTTTTCACATTTAAAATATAAAATATATTATCATCATTTTAATTTGCTTTAATTCCATACGAAAAGTGTCGGCTATTAAAAATAAGTATCATCACATTTTTTAATAAAGAAAATTTAAACTTAATTTATAATATAAATAAATACTATTTCTACAATAAATAGAGTAACATGATTTCAGGATTGTGTATGTTTATTCCAAACTTGTTTTTCAAAATATATGTTTGCACTTAGGAACAGGAATCAATACTGAGACCTGATACTTCATACAATACCAAAACTCAAATCTTTTTCAATGAAGCTAACCTTTGAGGTTAAATATATGTCACATTGTTAAGTGGGTTATGAAAAAAAAAAATCTATGCACACTTTTCAAGGGAAAAAATTTTCAATTACATTAGAACAATTTATAAAATTAAACAAATGTTTATTAAGATGCATAACTTTCTTAATTTATAGTTAGCAACACACACACACACACATATATATATATATCAAATCTTAAAATATAAGGGAAAAAAAGAAAAAGAAAAACTGAAATTAGTACAATTATTGTTAATATATATTCTTGACTAGTAAAGCAAGTTTAGATTTGAAAAGGACAAGTTTTGGCTCTCTTTCTCGAAACCACTCTAATTAGTACGAATCATCTCTAATGTCTTTTTCACATTAAAAAAGAGCATATCCAAAATCTATTTTATGTGGAGCCTTGATTTCACGTGATAGATGGAGTACCATAGAAGCAAACATTATAATCATTAATTGAGCAATTTTCCTTCAACAAATAGTGGTTAGTGGTTACTATAATGTAGTAGACAGAAACAACTCAAAACGTACATTAACCACACGTCTATACCTTCTTCTTAGGGTTGTTATACATCAATACATGCATTGATGTTGTATCTAGTAAACTATATGATATAGTCCTAAATTCGAGAATTTAATCTCACTAATTAACCATCTACTATGTGACTGTCTACAGTAAATTCATTATGAGTCTTGTGCCACAACAGTATCATAATTATTAAAAATTTATTCTTACTCAAAAGCAGGGAGTATGTCGTATAAAAGTTGATTCTGAATAATTTTAAATATTTTATTAAATTACATTTGAATCATGCACAATAATACATTTAGCAAAAACACGTATCTATCTTTTAGTTACGATAGAGGATTGAGTTGCGATTACAACTTTAAAACGCCTTATGTTATAAAGGGATATTGAACCTATATATAATGGGATATCATTTGTAATAGTCTTTACCTTACACAAACACAATATTATCTACTTTTAGCTCTCCCTAATTAGAGACTTCCGGGAGACTTGTTTGGACTGCTTTAATGATAGTCTTTACATTTTCCCACTTCCTAGAGGGACCAGAGACTTCTTTAAGTCTTGGTTGGGCTGCTTCAATGATAGTCTTTACATTTTTCCTTTCACTCATACTATGAGAAGAAGTGGACTCTAGAAGTACTACGAGTTGCGGAATAAAACTTTATAAAAATTTTATAGATCTTTGCATTTTTCACTTTTTATAATGAAAACATCTTTATTTTTGTGTCATAAAAAGATGTTAAACCTACATATTGCAATTTTTTTTTTTTCACATTCAGACGATTTGGATTATGCACTCGTGAATTGTGTAATAACATGCCAATACCTTGCACCCATCCAGGCACCTCCACCCACATAACTCGCCACAGTACAAGTGGGACAATAAAAACCCTAAATTTCCTCCCAATCCTTTGATCGTCATTTTTTCATTCAAATAACTTTTATGTTCAAATTATCGGACAAACTAATGAAGAGGTAAAAGATTACCGAATATTTGGTTAGTAACTTTTCAACCCTTGATGCATGTGCAACATATATCAGTAGATGATTTAATGGGAGGAAAATCTCTACCTACCATATCAAACATTTTTGTCCGTAGAAGCTTGATGCGTCCAAATCAATGCCCCACGTAATAGATATCACGCACATATATATATACATTCATATATATAAAGAAATAATCCATTTATTATGTTTGCTTAGTTGCTAGAATTCATTAATTATCTATTGTTTGAAACAAAGAAAAAAAAAAAAAAAATGGACAACCCTTTAAAATAAATCAATTTTGGCTTGCTATTCTATTTAATATGATAATATCAACTAGGTTAATAAAAAATTTCCATGCAAGTTTCATAATCTCCAATCGTTAACTGAAACTAATAGATCTACGACTTTCTTTAGAATTTTTTTTTTTTTCCATTTTAATCAAATTCATTTTAACCATATTGAGTATAATAATAATATATTTATGAAAGAAAATAAAGGTAGTGAGAAGATAATACCAACTCTTTCTCATTTTTTCATAACTAGGGAAATAAATAAAAGTAAATAATAGCATTATAAATTCGTTTGTTTGAAGAAAAATAGAAATTAACCAGCTCACATCTCGTCTTGTTCCAAATCATCCCACTCAGAACAACAAAAATTTCTTCTCATTTCCAAAAACAATTATCAAATAAATTCTCATTTCTTTCCTTCCCTTTCCTTTTCTTTCCTTTCCCTCCAACTGCCCCAATCCAAACAGAGTGGAAGGCTTAAATTGTTACAATGGTAAATAATTACAAAAGCAGAATCAGTTTTTGAGTGGTAAAAAGTAACAATTGACTGAACGCAAATCTCATGAAAGTGCTTGTTACACTGTTTGAGGGTACAGCTCAGTCAATGTGAATGGGTCATGAGTTTTAAATCAGTGTAATAAAACTGAAAAGTAATTATTGCAGCATAAAGTAATTTTGGGTAACTAGTGTTTCTTAAGTTTGGCATAAGCGAAGGCTCTGAATCGACCAGAAAGAATAAAGGTATCTTTGAATGGTTAAAGATAAAGTAATATGAAATGTTTTTTTATCAAAAGTAAAATCTGCGTACATGCATATTTATAATAAAAAAATTTTAATACGATAAAAAAACTTAAAAAATAAATTCTCTCCAAAATCTCTAAAAAAAAAAATAGAATAAAAAACATAATAACTAATAATTAATATCACTTTGTTTAGCCTCCAACAATAATTTTGAAATAATCAATAAGCTTAAAAACACAATTTCGGAGTCATAAATAAATACATTCAATCGAAAACCAACATGATCTACAAACTAAAATTAATAGATTTATCGGCACAAAATAAAATGACACATAAGAGACATGTAAAGCTTCACAATACATATAATGATTCATAAATATATATATATATATACACACACACACATACATACATAAGTTAATCCTATAAAATAAACATGTGAGATTGCAGGATACATCTAATGATGCATATAGTATTATCAGAAGCAATAAATAAACACTATATTAAGAACAAGATTCATATTTCAAACATTATATGCCACCTAAAGTTTCAAGTGTTTGAATCCATTTTGATTTAAAGATGACGATAAAGAGTAATGATACGTTCACATTTACCATTTTAGAGCCATGAAAATAAATAAATAAAAAATTAATGATTAGAAGAAATAATTTATTACAAGGCGGTGTAATAGATGATTAGAACCACTTCATTAAAATAATTAAAGTAACAATAAATAAAAATAAATAAATAACATACATGTTTTGATAGAGTATTTATAACCTCCCATTATACCGTCTCATCGTTACATTAAGTAAAATAAATAATTACTCCACCTATAAATTATGTAAGAATCATCCTATCCACATCTTGGATCGAGATGTAGTCGGACCAAAGGTGTAGATTTATCCTATAAGTGGGACCTGCTCTTTGAAAAGTATACACAACATTAAAAACGTGCCACGTGGACGCTTAAATTTCTCAATAATTCACCCTTTGGATCTGAGCAAGGTGTACACAAGTAGAACCCACTGAATGAATAAATGGAACAAAATGAACAATAAATTACAAACTAACAGATAGGTGGAAAAGAGGAGAGAGAAATATATTTTAGACAGGGGTGGGTCGGAGCGTGACTGTCAAATCTACATATTCTCTCTCTCTTCTCTCTCTCTATCTCTCTAAAATTCAGAATTCAGGGTCCTCCGGAGATTCGATTCAATCGCCGATCTTTTCCACTGTTCCTCGGGAATTCCTCGTCTCCTTCTTTCAATCGGTGTCTTCTCCTCAGAGAAATGTTCCTAGATTTTCAAGGTACGGTAACAATATATATATACACACACAGTCATATATATAAATATATAGTGACGACTTTGTAAAATAATTAATATCTTTTTTTTTTTTAATCCTGTTTCTAATTTTGGAGTTGTATGAGTTTCTGAGTTGATAGGTTTGCTGAATCTTAATGAACTCAAAAGTTGATCCCATCCAGTTCTTGCATTTATTTTTTCAATATATAAATACATTATTTTTTCTGAATTCCCACGATTTTTTTTAATGATGTTCAAATGCTACTTGATTTTTATTCTTTTTAATTTATGGTTTTACTATTCAATGGATTCCATATGTTTATTAAATTATTTTCTACTTTCATATTTTCGGATTTTATGCTTCTCCAACTGCAATCTTTAAAGCAAAGTATGAACATTTAGATTCCCAATTTTCCAGAATTTTAATTAAGTAAAACATGTTTTTATTTTTTTTGTTTGTAATGGGTTGCTGACATACATATATATACATGCATTATACACACATACACGTGTATATAATATGTATATGTTGATAAAAATGGTGACCCTGTAGCACTACCCTTGTGGCCATATATGTACATAAAAATGGTGTTTTTGTAGCAGTACCTTCTGGCCATACCTTCTCTGCATCATTGACTGTTTTTGGGGTCTTAAGATTCTTCTTTTGAAACTCTGAACTTTAAGCTTTAGGTGTGAATTTCTGAGTACATATGAAAAAGGTTCCCTTTTATGGAAAATGGGATCTGCTTTTTACATCTCATCATACCCCAAATAATAATTATAATAACTACAATTATTATTATTGTTATTAATTATTATTATTATTAGACTTGTTTGTTACATGATTTTCATATGAAAAGAAGAATCCATGGAAGGGTCATGATTAATTTCTTAGTTTCAGACCTTGTCTCTTATGCTTAATATCTTAAAATAATTCCAAAACTTATCATGTTTTGTCTTGTTATTTTGTTAATGTGGCCAAAATAGAGACATGATGATTAGTATTATTTAAATTAAATTAATTTTATAATTTAATAAATATATTTTTCATTGTTCTTTTTAAGTGGTGCAGGACTGGCTTTGATTTAATTGAATTTGATTTGCTTAGAAATGGAGGGGGACACATTTTCAGGACTAGGCAATGGCAGTCAATTAGACGGGAAGGTGTTACAGACATTTCAAAAGAACTTTGTTCAAGTTCAGAACATATTGGATCAGAACAGGTTGTTAATCAATGAGATTAATCAAAACCACGAGTCGAAGATCCCGGACAACCTCAGCAGGAATGTGGGTCTGATCAGGGAGCTCAACAACAACATCAAGAGGGTGGTTGACCTCTACGCAGATCTTTCAACTTCTTTCACCAAGTCCATGGATGTTTCGTCCGAAGGAGATTCGAGTGGTGCTTTAAAACCGGACGGAAAAGCCGGTCACAAGAGGACCAGGCCTGCGTAGAGACAGGCTCAACCAGGCTCCAGCCAATGCCGATTCTGTTCTTGATTCTTTTGCTTAGTGGGTAACAAGAAATTCACAGTGGATTAGACCGTGTGACTCTGCTGTATTAATTAATTAGTGAACTCTTTTTAGTGCTTCACTTCACATTTATCCTAAAAATAATTGTCCCCAAATCTCTGTTACATCGTAATTCTGTTTCACTGTGGATCTACTAGAAATTAATTAAGCATGTTTGTGCCCTTCTAATCTTTTGTTCTTCTACTTGTTTTAATAATGGTCGGTTAAGGTTGCATTTGTTGATTCTCTTCATACTTCAGAAAGCAATCAACATTTCTTTTGTCAAAAAGGCTTAAATGATAAATCTGATATGGGTTGTGAAGCCCAAGAAATTGCTGAAAAAATAAATAAAAAACAACGAGTGTGCAAAATAAATAATATCTACTCGACCCGTCACGGGATTTTACCATCTTCTTTTGAAAGAGTTGGTTCAAGTCCTTTACCTGAGCAGTGGAAGTGAAGAGGTGGCAGATGATACTGTTTTCAGTAGTCTCGCATGATACAAAAGCCCTTTTTCTTTTTTCAGATTGCATAGAAGTTACTGTTCATCATTTGGTTGTTTGGAGAAGTGAGCAAACATGCATATTTCTCTGAGAAGATGCTCTGAAACAATTGGGGGAGAAAGCAGCTTTAGATAATCTTTTTGGTTCCCAATCACACACCACAAGAACAGAATCTCAGATAAGAAATGATGGACTTTTTGACCCCCTTTTTTTATGTTTTTTGTTTGGTCTATTAGTCTATCCAATGACAATATCTTGGATATATAGTATTGATAAGGATATAAATGTATAAAGAATATAGTGTAGCTTGCTTAGTTCAAAACAAACCACTACAGTCCCATGAGGCAGACATATATATACATATATATATATATACACACATATACACACATACTTATATCATATAAACAGTGACCCCAAACAACATGACAAGGGCCCAAATGTTCTTTTTTGGGATGGAACTGAACTTCTCCATGCTTATCCGTTTCTCTCTCAGTTCTTTCCATTTGCTTTTCATTTTCTCTCTTTTTTTTTATTTTATTTTATATTTTTTAGTCTTACATGTTGTACCTATATGAGTTAGTTTAAGATTTTCGAATTAATATCCTTTGCTGTAACGCTTTTGGTCTTTCATCGCACCTTAATTCGTGTTAAACAAATTGTTTTTTTTTGTTAAAAAGTAATTTAAGTCCACTTAAAAAAACACGTAACAACAGCACTGCAACAAAGGATTTGGGTTCGATTGTCCAACCTCTCACACACACACACAATTATTGAGCAGTACCTTTGTTGGTGGACCCTGTAAGTGGAATCCTATTATTCTGATGTTAGGAGAGAGGCCCACACGTGTAATAGCTGGAAATGGATTGTTCATGGTAATACAATTTGATATTTGAGCATTGTCGATACACGTGTCACTTCCTAACTTCCTAATTAGATGAATTTTTTAGCTGTTCATCTTCCGAAATTGGAAAAGGAAAATAAATTTTATCAGTACATTTTGAAAAGAGTAGCGATAGCCTGATAGGTTCACTGAATTAGTGAATAATTGTGGGATAGTGCTTGTTGTGGTGAGCTGCATGCACTATATTTGTGTTACTAAATGGATTGTCGACTCGATGAGTATAACAAAATGTTGGCATATAATTCAAATACGATGATATTGAGATAGATATTAACCGAACTAAATCTGCCTTACTTAACGTAATCATCAAGCTATAGAAAATCAAATCAGTTTGGTCCGAGAAACAGCCAAAACAAACTAAACACGCTAAAGCATAGCATGTGAAGTGAGAATCTGCTTTTCTTTTTCCCTTCCTTTCCTTTTGTTCCAGCAAATGGGTTGGAAAGAACCAAATATTGTTTGAGGCTCTACAATTTATACAATAATTGTACCTATAGGGTACCTACGTTCATTAGTTTGATCCAATTGCATTATTATTATGACTATATTAATCCATACCCATGCTTCGAATAATCAATTATGACTTTCTAATAATATGATTATCTTCTTCTTCTGTACCTATTAAAAAACTAACATGCTTTTTCTTGGGCGTTGTTTGACAAAAATAAATATTAATCAGCATAAAGTTTTAGTGCTAAATGTAATCTTGAATTTATTATGAAGCTGAATATTTTAAGAGTAAAATTGTCTTATTTAAAATTCATAAATCATTAAAAAAAATTCTTTGTTTAGTATCTAAATTTGTTAGCAAAAAACACCTTAATTTTTTTAAAACAATGCTAGATCTTTTCTAATCAAACAGCTAATTTTCTAGTTATTGTTGTAGTTTCTAGTTAAACAGTGCTCTGAATTTGTTGCGGTGGTTTAAAAAAATAAAAATAAAAATTGACTTAAAATTAAGATTCAATTTGACTAAAAAAAATTTGTAAGATTCAATTTAAATGTCGCACACAATTGACAACATCACGTTAGCAACATCGTAATGGAAAGATACAAATCTTAAAGCGAAACGTACATTTTTGGATTATTTTTGTCGTGGATGTGGCCTGATGCGGCCCATGTGGGTTTACTGTTTAATGTCACACCAATGACATCTCATGTAATATAAGTAACATATATACATATTTTAGTACTTCCAAGTTCTCAGCCATTCACTCCAAGATATTTTAAAATAAGACTCCATTATCTACTTTGTCACATTAGAAAATTAGACACGTTGTTATTTAAAAATTAGGTAAAGGCAATGACATTCCCTCAATTTGGATTAAAGATAATCATTTACACATTAGGCATCTTTTTAACAATGACAATCTTAAACTTAATAAATTAAATAGTGACATCCTAAAGTAAAGTAAAAGTACTTTATTACTCTTTGACTTGTGAATTAACTTATTTGATTTATGATTTTACTATTTTAACATCCTCAAAGCATTCTAATGGACAAAATTAACCTCCTCATCTTCAAATCACAAAAATTTGAAACCCAAATTCCATTGCCACCACCATTGACGCCAAAATAACTGTTGCCGAGTCCTAGAGCTTTATGCCATTGTTGATACATTTGATTATGGTTGTTCTTTAGTAATATGAACACACCTTTTTAAGAGGTAGCTTATTTGTGGCTCTTAATAATTGCTACCACAATTATTGCCACTATAAATAATACACGTGCAAGAGGTAGCATGAATCAATAGTTAGATTGCACATCAACGTAGATTTATGATACTTATATTTGTTCTAAACTCTAAATGAAACTTTATGTATGTTCAATGTGATGGAACTTAGATGTTTTTGTTGCGTGCGATGAAATCATTATAAAGTTGCACATAACATCAACTTCATTACATGAATTTGTAACAATGGATTGGTTTCGGCAACTGGGGTGCTGGACTGGGACTCAATGGTGCAAAACCCGAGGATTTTGCGGCGGTTATTTTCTTCTTAGCAGTAGGTGTTGGAGTGGTATTGGCATCAATGGTGGTGGTCGTGGGTGGTGGTAGTGGTAATGGAGTTTAGGTTCTAGATTTTGTGGTTTAGAAATGAGGAGGTTAATTTGTCCATTAAAATGCTTTGAGAAGGGTAAATTTATAATTCGAATAAGTCAATTCACAAGTTAAAGGGCAATAAGGTACTTTTTTCCTTAGTTTGGGGTGTCATTGTTCAATTTAACAAACTTGGAGCTGTCATTGTTTAAAAGATGCATAAGTTGTAGATGAGTTGTCTTTAACACAAACCTAATAGAACATCTGTGCAATTTATTTTAAAAAATTATTCCAAGTTATATATTTGTATCAATGACTGTGATATGATTCATAAAATGAATTATGATATTCAATGTGATTATCTACTCAAGAAGTAGTTGATAAAAATGTCACATTATTTAGGTCCGAATCAGTATGAAGAAATCAAATTAATATACTAATTTTTCACTTGCATGTCTATAAGCTTGAGTTTTTTCTTCTTTTTTTTTCTTTTTTTTTACCCTCGCAAACAAACAACAGTAGCGCAATTAAAACAAACAATCGTTGGCTGCCAGGTCAAGAATATCACCAAGAATATGAACCATAGCAAAATCATCTTGAATGTGCTGGTGTGAAAGCTGGGCAAAAGCGTGAACGGCTCCATTACCATGTCTAAGGACATGACTAAGTCTAGAAAAGGAGAATCGCATAAGAGCCACTTGAACATCAAACGAAATGGAATGAATTTCAACAGGTCCACAAGCAACTCTATTCACCGCCAGGACCACCAACAACGAATCACATTCAAACCACACCTGGATATAAGGAGAAGATAAAACCCACATAACCGCTTTACGAAAACAAATAGGCTCGGCCATAGCACTACAAGCCAAAAGAGGAGAAAAAATCACCGCTTGCAGAATGATTTCACGAGAATCCCGAAAAATAGCACCCCCACCCCCAACTTGGGTAAAAGATGAAAATGAAGCATTCACATTACATTTAACAATACCATCTATTGGTGGTAACCAACGGGAAGGGGAAGGATGGGAAAACAAAGCAGAATCAGGACCATACTTATAAGAGGTCAAAGTGAGAGTTAGGGAACAAGAGGCTTCCTTAAACTCCCAAAAAGAAGAGCAAGCCAGCAAAACAACCCTAGAAGGATCAGAAAGCTGCCCGTCAAAAACAAACTTATTCCGAGCCTTCCAAATACCCCAGCAACAGTAGGCCACCAGACCCAACACATCCTGACCCTCATCCTTAGACGCCGACTTCCTTACTAATGTCATCCACCAATTCGTAAATGAGGAAGGGGGTTCTACCATAAAATCAAACCTTAAAGGCAATAATTTCCAAATCTGGATAGAATGAGGGCAAATAAAAAGCATATGTTCCATGGACTCTTCCTCAATACCACACCTGGGGCACACAACCTCAACAACTATCCCATAGACCTGAAGAAGTTGTCGAACTGGTAAAGCAAGTTTACAACATTTCTACAGAAACTGCTTTAATTTTGGAGGAACTTTATATTTCCACAGGGTACTCCAAACAAAGTTTTGGTTAGGCACAAAAGATGAAGCATCCTGGGACCGGACCTCGCCCTGCCGCCCCAATTGATTAGCCAAATAATAGGCTGACTTCACAGAAACCTCACTATTGGGCTCGCCATCCCACCCCAACTTGTCTTCCCTAGAAAAGATGCTGAAACTACATCCAAGAATAACGGTTACAATTGGTGACTGAAATAAAAAATGAAGTAAATCCACATCCCAACCAATCCGCTGAGAATCAAATAACTCCATCACTAAATTAGGAGCCACTAAATGAGGAGATGGTAAAAGCTTACCAGGTACACCAGGGACCCATCAATCATTCCAAATGTGAATAGAATAACCATTCTCCACTATCCATCTAGAACCATCAGCAATGAGAGATTAAGTAGTCCATATACTGCGCCAAGCCTAAGAAGGATTGGACCCCAACTGCGCTTCCAAAAAGGAACAATTGCGAAAATATTTAGTTTTAAAGATTTTAAAAGCCATCCCCTTTTGGTGAATCAGAAAATTCCAACCCTGCTTAGCTAATAAAGCATCATTATAGGCCTCAAAATTGCGAAATCTTAACCCCCCTTCCTCTTTGGTGTCACATAAAAGCTCCCATTTAACCCAATTGATATTGGCAGAATCACCCTCTTTACCCCACCAAAAGCTACGAACATGCTTCAGAATTGAATTACAAATTTATGGGGTAACTTAAAGCAAGACATCGCATATATAGGTAAAGTACTCAAAACTGCTTTAATTAAAATTTCTTTACCTGTTGGAGACAAGAGCACAAATGATTATCTGCTTTTGTGCTTGTTCTTATGCTATGGAGGTGTGGCAACAAGTGCTCGATAGGTTGCATATACCCAGATGTGAGGTTTCAAGGGATAAACCAGTTTGTGGAGTGGCTGTTGTTACTGGTTCAGCCTAATTGTCTTAAGTCTAAAATCCTAAAAGGGGTATTTTGTGTGTTTATTTGGAAGATTTGAATGGAGAGAAATGTTTCTTTGCATGGTGGAACTAAGGAGCAGGCTTCAATGCAAATGTTGTTATTTGGGAAGTTTTGCTTTTTTTTTTTTTTTTTTCTCAATTGGAATTTGCTGAGTTGATTGTTTTGTTTGATGTTGAGTAGTTTGATTTTTGTTATTTATTGGAAGTGGGCTTTCTCCATATTCCAGTGTTAAAGTGAAGAGGGGTATGTTAATTATTAAAAATGTCAAGAAAAGGCACATTTGCCAACTGAAAATTATTGGTTGCTAAAACTAAGCCGCCACCTAAAGTTGTCCTTGCATCACTTGACCCGCAACTTTCTCTCTCATACAAGGCTCCTAAATTTAAGCTGCTCTAATACTTTTCAATATAGCATATCAAGTCCAGTTATGTTGCTGCAAATAAAGCCCACTGTGAAGGTTTTTTAGTTATATTTAACAAACTTAGTTTGCTAACCCCCTTCCCTATTGTCAATAGACTTGTCCAAAAACTGCAAAGAACGTTGAAACAAAGGCACACCACTACAAGAAATTAGTTTGTTTGGGATGTGTTATTTGGAACGGACTAAATTCCATCTCAAAAAGGAAGGGTTTTTGGGACAAAAGAGACTTGCTATCCCAAGTAACCCAAAAAAAAAGGGACGCCAACACCGAACGTATGCGGAATTTACTCAAAAAATTATTTCAAAGTATTTTTATATATTTGTATCAGCGATTGTGATATGCTTTATAAAATAATTTTATTTCCCATTATGATATTCAATGTGATTATCTACTCAAGAAGCAATTGATAAAAGCGTCACATTATTCACGTCCAACTAGTACAAGGAAATCAAATTAATATACTAATTTTTCACTTGCATGTCAATAAGCTTGAGTTTTAAAAATAATTTATCTGGAAACATATATTGAAACAAAAGGTAGTAGTTTATTATTAAAAAGAAATAAAAAAAACAGTTGATGTGCTTTGAGCTTTTAGAAACTCTTCTCATGATGCACTAATTATCTACTTATATAAAAAGATCTACAAATGAGATGTGCATCAATAAAATGGTGGGTCCGCCAACCAAATTGTCTATAGTCCCCAACCAAGAGAAAGTGACCACATAACAATAATTGATGCAATCTAAGAGAAGCCAACTATTTGGATGGAGACAGGAAATGGATTTGAAAATAAAAGCAGCTTTTCTGTGTCCACTCATATGTTCAATTCCTATAAATCAGAAAGAGTTGAGTCTTGTAACATGGAGGAGCAAAGATGTTTGGAGCATTTTACGAAGTTCATACAGTAATTATAAGGACTATTATTAGTGGTGTTTCATATTGAATTATAATGAGAATTGAAATGGATATAAATAAGTGAGTATGTAATATTATTTTAAGTTTTTGAGTTTGCAGGTAAACGTTCACATGTTATTACTATTTTCAAATAGATTTTTTTATAAGCTCTTATTAATTTGTCAGAAAAATAATATTTCTTCTAGATAATACAATCACATTATAAATTTCTTATTTTTGTAAGTTCACTTTATAAATTTAACATTTATATTGAGATGACCCACTCATAGCCATTTGCTAAAAAATGAATATTGTGTGCTTCAGGTGCACTGTGCACCTGTTTCATTCGAGTCGTACGTTCATTACATATACTCGTGCGTGCACAACACATACGGTTCGGATGAGCCTGGTGCATCCGGCGCACCTAATACATTCTCTTTGTCGAGACCGAGGAAATACAATTATTTTTTTGAGTTGGACCACTAAATTAACAACCATTTAAAGGGAGGATGAAGAGTGCTTATTTGGCAATCCATCTGAAAACTTAATGGCATACTTGGTTTGTAACTCTGATTCTGTTTTAAAAAAACTAAAAACAAAAAATTATATAAAAAATTATGCTTGTTTCAATTTTCTGAAAATTCAGTTATAAAATGTTTATTTTCAGATACCTGCCTTTTATCGTTTTCTAAAAGTTATTTTTTGTTCTGTAAATTCTTAAGAATTGTTTTCAGAGTTACAAATCAAACACGACCTAAGTTGTTATATAGTATTGACTAATTACTTAAAATGAACCGCAGGCATCCAATACATTCTCTTTGTCGATACCGAGAAAATACAATTATTTGTTTGAGTTGGACCACCAAATCAACCACCATTTAAAGAGAGGATGGAGAGTGCTTATCTGTCATCCCATGTGAAAACTTAAGTTGTTATATAATAGGGAGTATCGACTAATTACTTAATAATGAACTGCGGGATCAGATTAATGTAGCTGATTTAAGAAAAAAAATCTTGATTGATTTATTTATTTCTCCCAAGTTGTTTGTTGAATTATTCTATATGGTTCAAATGACTAAGGAGCTTACTTGTTTCTTTGTTCAGGTTTGGGCTTCTAGGCCCAATGTTGTAAGATTGTAGGCTTGTAGATGCACACCTGGGCCTTTAACGATAGACTTCTTCGTTAGCCCATCTTGAATTTGGCTTGCTATCTGACGAAATAAAAATAAATCTCAAAGTCATCTAGGCCGTCAATAGCAAACCCTAATTTGTATTTCAGCTTTCACCGTTCGATCATTTCGTCTTGTTAGATATAAACCGCTCACAAACCAAAACCCAAACGAAACTAGGGTTTGCAGAGCCACAAAGCGGATCTCATTTGTGAAACTTGATTCGATCAGCTTCGCTTATCCCTTCAACAATCTGTGAAAATGACGACTCAGATGAGCAAAAAACGAAAGGTCAGTTGTTCTTGTCCTCCATACAAGCCTCTCTCTATATTTATGTACACACATGTTGATCTGAGTTGATTTGGTTACAGTTTGTCGCCGATGGCGTGTTTTTCGCCGAGCTGAACGAGGTCTTGACCAGAGAGCTAGCTGAGGATGGATACTCAGGTGTCGAGGTCAGGGTCACTCCCATGCGCACTGAGATCATCATCAGGGCCACTCGAACTCAAAATGTTCTAGGTGATTCCTCTGACTGTTAGGGCTTTCAATTTATTAGTAGTCGTAGTTTGTTTGAATAATTTATTGTTTCCGACTATTTATTGATTGATTGGATTCAGGTGAGAAGGGGAGGAGAATCAGAGAGCTGACATCAGTAGTGCAGAAACGGTTCAAGTTTCCGGAGAACAGCGTGGAGTTATACGCCGAGAAAGTCAACAACAGAGGACTTTGTGCCATTGCTCAGGCCGAGTCTCTCCGTTACAAGCTCCTAGGTGGACTCGCTGTTAGGAGGTATTACTAGGCTTATTAAATCTTTAGTTTCTGTTGTTCGTGATCTGAATCTGATCTAGTGGTAGCTGTGCTTTTTCTTTGTATTATTTTGTGGATAATATATACAAACTAAGATTGATCGTAACTGTTTAATTAGACTTCTACATTTGTATTATTTTGTGGATGATATATATATATATATATATATATATATATATATATATATATATATATATATATTCTGCTGCTCGTTATTGCATTTGATGTGTTACATTGATGTCATTAGATTGTAGAGGATGAGCAATGACCATTTTGGTCTTAATTCGTGGAGCTCATTTTGTAGAGGTGATTTAGTTACATGTTTGTGTATAGTGGAAGCAAATTAAAAATATTTAATACTCACTTTGTTGGTTTCTGATCATTTTGAAAAGAGGTTGCCATGGGTTGTAATTTAGACATGCTTTAATGTCATACACAAATCAAATTGGTGTTTATATTCCAACTTTGTGCAAAGATGGTTACACTAATTATGTTCTTCTTTCCCACCATCCTTGTGAAATTCACTGGTCTCAATGCAGTAACCTTAGGGATGTGACATGTATGGAATTTGTTTGTGTGTGTGTGTGTGTGTGTTTTTTTTTTTGTTTTTTTAATTGTATTTCAACTTTGGTCATACACTTTTTTTGCTTTAGTTGTTCCAACTTCACATGGATACTTGACCTCTCCTTTTTTTTTTTTTTTAATTGTTTTTGTTTATTCAATTTGCATTTCTATTTTCCCTTTTTGTTTGCCATACCTTGGTCGTATCACCATACATCCTGTCATCTACAAAGCAAATTGGGTATTTCTGTATCAAGTTTGTGTCGGAAGATGACTATATGAACCATGCATCTCAAGCAATTTTGCTAATGTAATGTGACATACATTCATTTGTATGCTTGGAGTGGCAACAATTATCCTTACAAATGCACCTTACTTTATTCAAATTTTCTTTGGGGATTCACTTTGTTGCTTTAAATGTTCAATTTCACATGGATACTTGACCTCTCTTTTTCTTTATTTACTTTGTTTCTTTAAATGTTCAACTTCACATGGATACTTGACCTCTCTTTTTCTTTATTTTGTTTTTACCCCTTTGCATTTCTATTTTCTTTTTTGTTTGCCACACCCTGGTCAGATCACCGTACATCCTGTCATCTACAAACCAAATTGGATGTTTTGTCCATACCAAGTTTATGTCCGAAGATGATTATTTGAACCATTCAGCTGAAAGCCATTTTGCTAATGCATTGTAACATACACCCATCTGTATGCTTGGAGTTGCCGCAACTATTATTCCAAATGCACCATACTTGATTCTTTTTTATAGTTCTTGCTGAGAAAGAAGATGATCTTATTCTGGGCGAGACATGAAGGTAGTGTTGCGTGTTTTGGTCATACTCTTTTTGCTTTAGATGATCAACTTCAAATGGATACATGACCTCTCCTTTTTTTAATTTTTTTATTTTGAAATCTTTTTTCTTTTTTGTTTGACACACCTATGTCACATCACCATAAAGCCTGTCATCTATAAAGCAAATGGGTTATTTCCGTACCAAATTTGTGTCGGAAGATGACTATATGAACCATGCATCTCAAAGCCATTTTGCTAATGAAATGTAACATACATTCATTTGTATGCTTGGAGTGGCAACAATTATCCTTCCAAATGCACCTTACTTGATTCAAATTTCCATATTTTTTTTTTTTTTTTTTTTTTTAAATATTATCACTAATCCTTAGTTTCTACTTATAAAAATTTGCAAAGTATTTATTTTCCGTATATATATTATTTGATGGTTGATGAGCAAATTAGAACTATTTGATTTTTCTTTTTGTACAAGGCGATATTATTGTGGTCCCTGTTTACATTTAGTTATCTTTCCTGGGTACTTTTTGGTAGCAGAGTCAACGAGGATTTTTGTTTTTTGTGTCATTTTTTTTTATAAACCATGTATGTATCTCAATGAATCATTTAATTTATTTGTCTCCTCTAGTGTGTATTACATCATGCTAAGCAGTGGCGTACTTACCATGTTGAAATTCCGAGGCTAAATGTCTTACCAGTTGATGGTGACAAATTGTATGCAGAAATTGCTTTTACTAACCAGTTTTTCATTTAGCCATTTTATCCATTAATTTTTTTTTTTTAAATTTTTTTATTGTTTCAACATATTTAGGAAAGGCCTATTTACCTTTTGTTTTTAGCTTATGCACCATTCGCCTGTCTTGCAATATTTTTTATATTGGACCATTTTTTTACAAACCTCCATCATTGTGGTTGGTTTTTACTAGATACCACTTGCACTTTTTTGGTAAATATAAGAAAGTATACATTTGCTATCAACTCTTGGTACCTTCAAATTATAGGTAGCCTCTTGATATTATTGTTATTCTCTTTTAGGGCATGCTATGGTGTTTTGAGGTTTATCATGGAAAGTGGAGCAAAGGGGTGCGAGGTATATGTCCTTTTGTTTTCATAGATCCAATTTTCGTTCTTCTTTGTGGTGATTGGATGTGAATCTAAATTAATGCACTTAACAGGTGATTGTTAGTGGTAAGCTGAGGGCCCAGCGTGCCAAATCCATGAAGTTCAAAGACGGATACATGATATCATCTGGTCAACCTGTTAACGAATATATCGATTCAGCTGTTAGGCATGTTCTTCTGAGACAGGTCTGTCTCTCTCTCAAACATAGTTTGTCATTTTAAACTCTGTTCTGTCATTTTAAACTCTCTTCTGATTATTCTCGGCATTGGGTGACAATACAGGGAGTACTTGGTATAAAGGTGAAGATCATGCTCGATTGGGATCCCAAGGGAAAGCAGGGTCCAGCAACACCCCTTCCAGATCTAGTCACAATCCATCCTCCCAAGGAGGAAGAGGAGTACATGAGGCCTCCACCAGTGGTGACAGCTGATGTTGAGGTCCCCCCGGTGTTGGCTTAAACATCTATTACTCTACTTCAAATGAGTTTCCATTTTTATATCTTTTCTGAATCCTTGAGTGATGTTTTAGTTTTTTAATGGAAGTGTGTTAAGCACTGAAGAGGATCTTCTGTATCCGAGTACATTAATATATAATGGTTAGGATTTGTTCTACCATTAGTAACGAGACTAATTTTGGATGAAGATTTTGGGAATGTAATATTTACTTGGTTTTTAAGGTGTTCCCTTAGTATGCTTGATTCGACTTGTATCTCATTAGGTTGGAAAATGATAAATTGAATAGGAAAATGATATTAATTAGCAGCTTTAGCTGGTTTGCTTTATGTTGAAGTGAAGCATTAGTGTGGTGGTGGTTTTCAAGCAAATTGATTGTGAAGCTTTATGTTCTCCATGTGAAGAGTAATTGCGTTCAAATTAGGTTAGTTTTTATATGGCTAGCATCAGCAAATATGGTTTTTAGAACCCGTGTTTCTACTTTTAGAAGTAGTCTGTTTTCACGTGTGCACTAGAGTGCAGGTGCATTAGATGCTATTGGACTATATATGCATAACAATGAAGCTCAAAAATTTTATTTTTTTTTAATGGGAAAGAAAATGAAGATCAAGAGAGAGTTTGGTAATATGTAGTTAATACAAATATAATTGTTGTGAACAAAAACAATTTTTTTTTTTTTTTTTTACTTTTTTTTTCGTGTCTAAGAGCTAAACATCAATAGAGAATTTTGTTAATCACTTCACAAGGTATCTTGCAAACTTCTGAACAGGGTTTATTTTTTCAAACTTCTCAGTAATAGACGGGTACAAATTTCAGTCAATAAAACATTTAAAACTTTTATATGTAAGTTGTTATTTACAATTAGTCTTAAAGTATAGTTTAATTTGTAAAATAAATTGTAATATGTGAAGTGGTACAATTTACCTATACATCGCATGATATGGACCGCGTATTGGCTAGTCGATAAGATGCAGGACATGGACCGCATATTGGCGGTCTGGTTTCTTATCTTCTTGTGATGCAATCAATATATTTGAATAATTATCAATATCCTAGTAATAAAATCATGCTATGCTTAATTCCACCCTTGTATTGCGTCATATATATATATATATGTATGTATGTATGTATGTATGTATGTATATTATGTACGTATGTATGCATATGTATAAAAACCAAAGAGAAAAAGAATTGAGAACCTAACCTAGACGTCACTCCATATTTCCCCTAAATAATAGTAACGACATATTTATATAATTCAATGATAGGATTGCTTACGCTTAATTGATCCAACATGCTGTTGCAATGTCAGCATCATAAAGGAGGACGGCTCAAATCACACATTCTTTTATGATTTCATCTATATATATATATATATATATATATATATATATATCTTAAATAAAACAACATCTTTGACAGTATTAAAAAATCACTTAATTCATTAATAAAAGGAGATCCCAATAATTTTTTCTGACGTGGCAGGATTAATTATTTTAGACTCAGCATAGTCCAAGTAGTACAAAATTGTACAATAAATTCATTACTATATCGTAAAGAAAAACTATCCCATGTCTCTAAGCCACCCAAACACATGTTTTTGTTTTGATTAAGTTGCAACTATTTAGTTTTTCTTGATTTATGATAGATCATTATTACTTAAATAAATCACTTGGTTGGTTAACCATCGGCAATTTTATCTTATTTATGAACATCTTATATATGTTCTCTTAATTTGTCTTTCTTCAGCACAGAGAGAGAAGCTTATCTAAAATTCAAATGTTGTCATCTCATCCCATACATTGTTCACTGTCAAATGATAGTACATTGCTTTGTCTTCATTCCATTTTCTTAATTTGGTATTCATGAACCTACAACACTACAAACAATTTTTCTATACTCCTTGACAACCACGGCTTCAGGATTAACTATTCTTTTATCAATCATTAATTCAAATTCAATCCTCTTCTTAACCACACAGCCTTTGAAAAGCTTCTTCTTTCACAAACCCTAATTATGGATCATGATGTTCCTCCAAGCCCTTTCACACCACCTATAGCCACTCCTCCACCAAAGTCCAACCTACCCATGTTGTACTATGGCCTCGTGGTGGTCGGGACAGCCGCCATCGTGCTGGCGGTCTACAACCTTATCATGATCCGGTGGTGCGCCGATCATCACCGTCGATCACGTCGAGGCCGGATAGCAAGAGGTATTAGCAATCTTGAGCCCATGTCAAGCCGGAGCTTTGATAACCCTAATATGAAGCTGGTGTCCAGTTTTCGGTATAAGAAGGAGGGAGTGGCTCAGGGTGGTTATGAATATGAATGTCCAGTTTGTTTGTGTGCGTTTGAAGAAGGTGAAGAGGTGAGTCAGCTTCCGAGGTGCAAGCACTCCTTTCATGCTGCATGTATAGATATGTGGCTTTTCTCTCACTTGGATTGTCCGCTTTGCCGCTCCCCGGTGCAGCCACCGGCTCCTCACCGGCATCCAGTCACCGATCAATCGGAGGATTCCCGGGAAGGATTGATGGTAGATTCGGCCGTCTCAGTTTGATCAGTGTCTTCCCTTTCTTTTTCTTTTTTTTTCTTTTTTATATATTTATTTCCTTAATATATTTGTTATTTTAAGATGATAGTGTTATTCTTGTGGTTGTTGTGGACCCTTGACAGGGTGGAGATTGACAGAACCAAGGAAATGTTTCGAAATGAGTAATGTCAGGGTGAGGCATTTCACGAATATTCTCTTTTTGTTTTGATCATGTATGAAACGTGCATTTATATGAGTCCATATAATTGAAATTTTGTATCGAAATTCATTTGTAATAAATTATACCAATCAGTCGAAGTTTAAGGTGTTGTTTGATTACTCTTAATTCTGAATGCATTAAACATTTATTCAATTGAGCGAGTTTGATAACGCAATTTAAGTATCTTTTAAAATCGTAAACTCTCGCTTAAAATAGGGTAAAATTTTAAATAATGTACGGTAAATGTTACTTAAAATAGAGTAAAATTTTAAGTCATATAGACATTACTTGTTACTGAATGCTACTGAACGTTTGAAAATTTTAAAAAATATTTATTTTTTAAGAACCATTTAAAATTTTCAATACTTAAAATTTAGCTCTTAAAATTTCTCGTACTTAATTTTGAGGTTTTATCAAACAATATCTAAATTTTTTCCGTTCTCCTCCGTTTTGTTTTGGTTTTTTTTTTCTTAATTAATTAATATATTTGTTATTGTAAAATGATTGTATTAATCTTGTGGTTGGGGTGGACCCAAGATAGGGTGAGATGGATAGTAACAAGGAAACTTTTTGGAAATTAGTATGGTTTAGGCAGTGGAAAAAAATTGTTGGGTTGTTAGTAACTTGGTCTAGTTGAGGTTTGTGGGTCTACCAAATCAGCTGCCCACTTAATCAACAAACATGTATATTTGGTGTAAAGCTAAACCAACTTCTCTTCTTTTCATTACTTCATTTTTCACTTTACTTTCCTATAATGTGATTATTTTTATTAGTTTTCTTTCAAAATTGGCAAATTTGAAAGCTGAACGGTCTTCGTATACTCTATGTTAGTGTAAATTCAAATACCCTATGTTGGTGTAAATTCATAATCCATTACCCATTCCATCTAATTGAGTATTAGAGACGAAATTAATATTTAATATTATTTTATACAAAGTAACCGTTGTCAATTTAGAAATCCCTACATTATACTTCTCAAATTTGGCTTCTATTACCATTTCATGCCATCATGGTATACCAACCAAAAAATTGTTCGAGAGTTTGATTACGAAGGGTATTTTTAAGATTTTAATAAAAATAATGAGGACGGCAGTCCCCACTGAGCCCTTAATAATTTATCTATGTGAATAATTTAGTATTTACAGTGAAAAATGTACATTGCTTGATACAAGATGTGACGGTAAAAGTTCAAATTGATGAGAACCGAGAGCAACTGTGAATGTCAAAATTCAGAAATGTTTTCCAACCAAGTAAGCGTAAGCAATTGGCCACCGTGAAATTGCCAAGGGACTAGTTCTACACGGATAAGCGTTTTGTTGTTAGAGCTACAGCAACTTGAACACAACCATTCCCAACACAGAACGTACCTTCCTCAAAGAGAGACTTGTAAAATGTTCAAACGTACCCCGATAGGAAGTTTTGACGGACAAATAACAGAGCCATTTGGGCCCTGAGACCAATTTACAAGGGTTTTTATTCTCGTGTTGAACAACTAGTTCAGTTGCCTGAACCCTGAGAACTTTCAAGACTCGACCAAACTTGTAAAAGATATCCGGGTGTACAAAAAATTAATGAAGAGTTGAAGACATGCCAATATGTTGTTGATTGCTGGAATCGGAAAAACACATTTTGTTAACGGTCACCTATCATGGTCTTGGCTACAAGGACAAGAAAGGTATAACCAAACTTCCTGGTTTAACCTTGTTACAACTAGCTAGCCCAACGAAACCCGATACCTGAAGGCAGAGAGATTCATGGTAGTGTAGCTTCCTAACAATAATGCCAGTAAGATCATGTCGATACAACAACTGTTGGGAGAAGCTATGTTATAAAAAGAAAGATGCCAAAGGAAATGAACGAGGGAGGGGTACAATATGGAATGACCACACCAATCCGATCTAAAAAAGTTGGGGAAAAGATTAGAAAAATTACCATAAAGATGAGGGTCGAGACATTAAATTGGACATGGCCCCTTAAAATTGGAAAAATCAAAGACAATATGACGCAACAAAAGTAGTTTTTATACCGATATCAACTGTACCAAACCATTATTCGAGTTGACAAATTCTTCACAAATATTACAAGGCCAAATAATAAACTGCTGTTTCACAATCAAAGTACTCTCTACAAGCAAAACTACATTCTTCTTAAATTGTCTAACCGTGCCTGTAAGTCACTGTCTATCCCACCGTCATCAGTTCCTGTTGGTTCAGCTTGTGCTGCTGCAACCTTGTTCTTTGCAGCTGGGGCAGCAACTGCAGATGAGGGTGCATTCAAGAGCTGTGCATTCAAAACCCATAACAACATCAGTATAAATACTCAAATACAGTACTAAATAACACCAAGGAGAAGCCCAATGTACAAGAAGGAATTCAAAGAATGATGGAAATACCTCAGAATTAATATCGATTCCAATTTCATCAAGAACCTGACTCACAAGCTCTTCTGTTTCTTCTTCTTCCTCATCCCCTTCCAAAGCATCATCAATGGCGTCCCCCATAACCTCAGTTACCATTTCCATCTTCTCATTCTGCCTCTCAAATTCTTGCATAATTCTCTGCAAAGATGGCAAGTTCATTTGCCTATTCATCTGCCCCATTGCCTTTGTGACGCCTTTCATTGCCTCCCCCATCGCTTGTGTTGACTTCAAAGTCTGATTTCAGATCACCAAAAAAAGAACAAGAACAAGAACAAAAAGATAAAAAAAAAAAAAAAAAAAAAAAATTAGTATTACAACAACATAACAAGAAAGGGTCCAACAAATTTGTTAAAAGTACACGATTTAATGGGTCAAAGGACAACCTAAATTCGCATTTCGATGCACCATTGCAACTCAAGTTTTTTCATGCCCAAATCTAAACTTGGCTGGGTAATCTGAGCAAGTCAGCACATTGTAGTCATTTTGTCACTACCTATACTCTTTTTACTCATCTCTAAGCATTTCAAGTATAACCCAAGTACGCTCAACTAGGAGGAAAGCAGATCTACAGTAGACAACTTGACATGCCAAATCAAATATGACCTCAAATCTATGGATCAAAACATGGTCCAAATGAAAACAAAAACATGACATATCAAAATTCAATATTAAATGCCATATTACGGAGCACAAAGGCATGGAGGACACGCTCCACAGGATTTTCAACTAGAAAGAGCAAAGAATATAACCCTTCTTCCACTATATCTAATATATATAAATATATATATACACGGAAATGACCTCTTGCTCATCGGTGAGCAAGAAATTCATCCACACCATGATTGGATGACCGTTACATGTGACTGCTACTCCCTTTGTCCCAAAACACATGACCGCTTTGAGAACTACCTTTTTTTACATCCAATGGTCACTATACATGGTGCGGATGAATTTTTTACTCACCAATTAGCAAGAGATCATTACCCTATATACATACATATATACATATATATATATATATATATGTATATATATATATATATATGCATTGAAATACATAACAAGCTATTCAGTAATTGGAGGTTCTGTAAGAGGAGCATTGGCCTATCTTATGTTTCAATTTTCCTCATAACAATGACCTGAAACTAATTCAAACCTTCAGAGTATAGGTAATGAATCAATGACTGAGAAACTAGCACTTTCATTTCAAATTATACACACCAATCGATCTGCTAATAGGGATTTCGACCTTGCAACTCTCCCATTGAGGAGACAGGCAACACCATACTAGGTAACAGCTCATGGTACTATGGTAGTGATAGAGCTCATCATGTTTTCAGATTGCCATTTAAATTAGCTGGCCTTGTTTCAAAATTTCCCAAAGAGAGATGACACACTATCATCCTTTGTTACTTTGTCAGTATCAAATGTACAAAAGAGATGAGCATGCAACAGAAGTCAAGCTCTAGACACCTAAAGATGAGGAGATCCGGCAACAATCCAAAAAATATTATCTGATGTATAATATACATTTGAATACAAGAAAACATTTACCTGAATTCTAAGAGAAACACCCTGTAGTTGGGATTTAAGCTTATAAAATTTTTCAATCTGATGCCGTGTTCTAATAAGGTCTTTGGCCATCACCTTCACAGCTCCCTGGAACAAAAGTACTTCATATCAAAAATAGTGTGCTTAAAACACTTTAAATATGCATTCTTAGATGATGCTACAGACACAATAATTCTATCAATGAACAACCAAAAATTAATCAAAAATGCTGCAAGCCACAAGAAAAAATGCCATACAATGCTCTATTCAATTGCCAAAAAAAAGGATTAGAAAAAAGAAAGTATTAGATATCAAAGTCAAACAGAGAAAAAATGATTGCAAAACTATGTCAATCTGTTCACACAAATAACATCTCCAAAAGAGTAGACTAATGACTGAAGCACAGAGATAAAAATCGATAACGTATTACAGAAATACAGAAACTGACAGGAAATACAAATAAGAGACTATAAACCTCTTATTAAAATAAACAAAGTTGCAATCAAGTTGACAATTCTTTTTTTCATTAAACAACTAGAAAATTTATTCAAGAAGATGAGGAAGAAATACAACAAAGAAGGGTGCACTATCCTTTGATACAATGAAAAGGGAAATAGCCAATCAACACAATAAGAAGCCATAAACCCCAAAGGAAGGGGGAGAAAGAAAAAACTATATATATAAACCAGTAAACCTCTGGATCAGCTAGTAGCCAAAAAAATGGCCGCTCATAGGAGCTAAAGAAAAAACTTCATGTTTAATCAAAGTCAATGAGACTTGTCTGACCTTGAGATCCATATTATCTTCATCTTCAAAGAAGAAAACATAGTCAATATTTCTCCAGAAGACTTATAGTGCCAAAGGCTAAAAAAACCCGTCTTACAACCATGTAGGAAACACCCTCAAGCACCCTCAATTAAAAAAGCAGAAAATCAGAGTAGATACCTCTCTGAGACCTTTCAAAAGGGATTAGATCTCAGCCTCTATCAATGTCCTATACTTGCTGGCCAATAAAATGAAAATGGTAAACCCACCATCATTCATGAGTATAACGCAATGTCTGACCGCCCTGACTCACCAAATGATCATCCTCAATCAAGTCCACAGTCCTTTCAGGTACACACTAATATATATACCAAACTCCTCAGATTTGCAGAGTATAAAGCAATGCATGTTCATCTTTCAGCTTCTTTTTTAATAATCCTCCATAACAGTGTGATGTAATTATGATCACAGAGGCTGAACAAATACACTGCATAAAACTCATATAAAGGAAAATACTCTTGTAGAGTACATGGACAACCAATCTCTTGTTACCTCCAGTAACATAAATAGAGGAAACGAAGTGCCTCTCAAAGGCTTCCATAGAGCACCAGCTTAACATTAACATCCCCAACTCAAATTGCTTACAATATGCTTCCATTTAGATACACAAGATAAATGTTTTCTCCTATTAGAAGTTCTTTCATTCAATCTTCTAACCAAATTGTAAAGTTGATACAGCTCAACAATCATATCCACTGATGGAGGATGAAAGCACAGCATCTTCAGTTTATTAATCAAATTGATGTAATTTTTCAACATGATAAATTATGATAATGCAGTCTGTGACCATATGTTGATTTCAACAAGTTAGGTTCATATACCGTGTTTTTTTCAGTATACTTCGCAAAGTGTTGGCACATTAGTTCACCACAGTTCAAAAAAATTATTAATGAATGCCAACAAATTTAATATGAGTTAATCTGAGCTGAAAGTGAAGATAAGGGCCAAATAAGAATTCCCTAACATGTTCACTGAGATCAGAATATGCTTCGATTAAAAAAAGTACATTTTCAAATTTACCCAGTCAAGCAGCATAAAAACAAGTGAATATCTTAGTCCAGACCAGCACTAGAGTTTCCAAAACACATAGATGTACAGACCTAATCCATCTCTAAGCATTACGGAAATGAATTGGGTGATTTGAAGCTATTGTTCAATCATAATTTCAACTATGGATAAGTCATACTTGGATTCCCATCTTAATTGAAGTGGCAAAGGCATCCCTTTTCAAATGGCTAGTGGAGATCTTGTTTTCAAAATAACTAACCAATATTAATGCAGAGTTGTAGAATAGCCTATGCACTAACACACACACATATATGACACAAATAAAAAAAAAAAAAAAATACATACCATTTGTCCTTGTTTGGCACTTTTCTTTATTTCAAGAATTAATTTCTTCTCTTGTGTTTGTAAACCTTGCCTCTCTCTTTCTATTTCTCTAATAGATTTGTCCAGCATCCTCTTGTTCTCCCGTAGGAGTTCTGAAAATCACAACCACCGAAAAATGTTATACTAAATGCCAGGTTTCAGGGAAAATAAGTAACCGACACCTCAAGCTGTATGGTCAATAGAATTATCATTTGTTGACATGAATTACCAAATAAGTATGCACCCGGGTAAAAGCACAAACTGAAACTCAAAGGTTCCTGCTCTAATTGAATAGGATATGTATATACAGAATGCACAAAAAAAGGGAAAGGGAGAGAGAGAGAGATTCCTCATCCACCCCCAATGATAAGCTGTGTTTTTCCCACATTTTATTTATTCTGATTGTGCAAAAAAAAAACACGAATTAAACCCTTAAAACCAAATTAAATGGCAAACTTACATACTCGATCACACAAGTAAATAGTTCAAAAGGCTAACTCTAATTGTAAATCACTTCACTTAAATAAAATACAAGTAAATAAATCCAGACCAAAGTATTTCAAGTTCCTTGTTTTTACAATCCATTTCTCCATATCACCAAAATTTATCGGCAGAGATGAAAACCCTAACTCAAGAGATCACAAGCAGAGAGTCCATCTTACAACAACAAAATCCAAATTTTTATTTATTTATATATATATTTTTTGTACGAGTAAAATTCCATAAAATCATTATGAACAACTCAAATTTCGAAAACTTTAAATCAATATAAATCATATCATTAGAGTTACATGCATAATTTAAAAAGGAAAAAAATCAAAAAAGGGGTAAAAATCAAGTAATTGATATCCAATGATTGATACTGTGTACAAGTACAAGCATATACATATAGATCGAAATATGAACCTGCGGGTGTCTTTTTCTTGCCGAAAAGAAAACTCATCTTGCTCGATCAACGAATACACGAAGAATTCCGATGAAACTCGCTTTCTTCTCTCTCTAATCTGTTTCTGTCTCTAAAAAGGATTCTTCAATTAAGCAAAGGTTTGCTTCTGGCCTCCTCCGATCATATCCCACAATTCAACGCGGTATGCATTCTAGTGGTTGAGGCCTACTGGGCAAACTACAATGACCTCCCATGAGGTTTGACATAATTGTAATTAAATCTGAGATTTGTCAAATTTTTGCAAAGACCTCCCCATGTCAAAATTTGGTATAAATTTACTTATTACCCTCATTATTATATTATTAAAATGTCAAATATTTGAGTATATCAAATGACTCTTTTACCCCCGATAATTGTTATACTTAATCAATATATATATATATATATATATATATATATATAAGAACATATATATACACATATATGTATATATACAAACACATACTCTGCAACAATGGTCGCCACAGAGACCAGCAAGACCCAACAAACCCTGCCGGAGACGAATCCCAATCGGAATCAGACTCAAACCATGGCACCGGAATTTGACCGCGACCCACAAACCAGCTAGATTTTGACACCCACTTCACTGGAAGAAAAGAAGATGACAACCGCACCAACCGTTGACGGCGCAGCAACCCACGGCTGGAGAAGAACACAATTCCAGCACCGAACCCGCAAGCGATGCAAAACAGCGACCAACAAACCATGGCCGGAGAAGAATGCTACCCACGATGCCCGACAGACCCAATCGACTGTGGCCGGAGAAGAATCCCCAACCTGGTATTGCACCCTGTCGCCGGAATTGGACACCCAGTGTACCGTGGAAGAGAAGAATAGAAAGGTGAGGGACGCTGATTGAATTGGACACCCACTGTACCGACGGTACGAGCTTATTTTCCGGAGATGGTGATTGGTGAAGATGCCGAAGCCGACGACGGAGACGAAGCCAAACCAGATCAGTCTCAAAATTATGGTTGTGATTAGCTTCAATTTATAGATTGTTGGGCAAAAGAAATTAGGGTTTGAAATTCAAAGTACTGCAAAAACAAAGTAAGAAATTGAAAAAAATAAAAATAAAAAATTGATAGAGAACGATATCATAACATACAAAGCCAAACCCAGAAAATAAACCATCAAAAGAATATATACAGATCAACAAAATATCATGGCCATGGCGGCAGTGAAGGGTGGAAAATGAGGTGGAGAGGAGAAAGATGGTGGTTGTGACGATGGTGGGTGGAGAAGATGAGGTGGAGATGAGCGAGATGGTGGAGGCAGTGGGTGGAGAGGAGCGAGAATACAGATGAATTTGTATAAATTTGTTAACATATATGCATTATATGCGTGTGTGTGTGTGAATTTTGCACACAAAATACATTATTTTATTTGATTTGGATGTTACATATGGATTTAGCAGAAGTGATGGTGGCAATGAAGCAGTGAAGGCGGGTGAGAGAGAGAGACAATGAGGAGTGGTTTAAGGGTAGTTTGGTCCATTTAACATAAATTTTATTGTCATTTGTTTACATTACAAGGGTAATAGCATCTTTTTACGTTATTGATAGGTATTTTAGTCACTTCAAACTAATTTTTTAATAAAAAATATTTTTTTTGTACGGAGGAAAGGTTATTGCAAAATAGAGAAAACTTCAGGGGTCATATTGCGACAAAATAACAAATCTCAGGTTTAGTTGTAATTAGTCCAAACCTCAGGGACTTTATTGTAGTTTTCCCAGGAATGAATAATAGTAGGAACACCGCTTTTAAAAATGTCCTTTTTGATGGGTCGATTAGGAACCATTCATTTTGGGATGTGTACACGTGGCGAGCATCTGAAGCTGTAGGTCCCATTTAACTGCTGATAAGTGGGGTCATCCTTACCGCAATCTTAATTCATAAGGTTCGACCGGGTCGGGCTTTAACCAAGGTTCTGTGGCACCGGCACGGCAAAGAACTTCAATTTGGGCCCGTCTGAAGAAAAGCTTAAATTTGGGCCTAACCTTGTTATCATATTGGGCTACACCATCTCATGCAACTGTCGTGGGCCTAATAACACCACCAACATCTATAATAATTACTAATTAGAAATATAGTACGTCATTATTTTTATTAAGATATATTAATGCATAGTAGATTAGTAACCAAGTAATGACATAACATATTTAATAATTTTTAATATATTAATGTAAAAATCTAAATATTACATTTAAACACCTTTTAAAAATTACCATCATTCACATTATAAATATTTAATTCTTTTTTAACTCAACATTTTAAAAATTACTTTTTAAATGTTCCAGACAACTTTTCACATGTAAAAAGACACTTGCTACACCCTTAGACTCTCTACATTGACTTAGGAAAGGGGTCGAGACTTACAACACCACATTTGTGTTTTATTTTTATAAAATAAAAGAAAATGATTCTGGCATAAATTTTTTTTTTACAAATGGTATTTTTCTCTACTCCAATTTTCACACTACTCTTATTTTTCAAAAAGAGACCAAAATCTTATTAATTATAGACAAATCAATTTATACTACTTGTTATTTGGTTTTAATATAAATAAGACCAACCAAAAAATAATTCTAACATTTTTTATACCCATTTACACATGGAAAATTTTCTTCCACTTTCCTGCTTACCTTTCATTTTTAACCCAACAAATGCTATGCTGAGTCGACGGAATCATCATCCACATTATTTTGGCAAACTGAAATGGTTCACTGTGTTTCATTCTTGTGCTCATCACTCCCATTTCACTCCTCCCCAAAGCTTCAAAGCCACTATTCAACTGATCATCACTCACCCGCTTCAGAATCCCTCAGAATTGATCTCCTCCACAAATTCAACTCCCCATTTGAACTCAAACAAGTTCATGCTCACATCATCAAAACCAACACTCATCACTCTATTCTACCCCTTACCAGAGTCGGATTTGTCTGCGCTTTTACTTCTAGTTTTGAATATGCTCATCAAATCTTTGAGCACGTCGATAAACCAGAGATTTTTGTCTGGAATTCTTGTTTGAAAGAATTGGCCCAAGGCGATTCTCCTAATGATGCTATTTTGCTGTTTTATCAGATGATACAGTATAATATTTGTCCTGACACTTTCACTTGTTCTTTTGTTCTCAAGGCTTGCTCACAATTACTGGACCTTTTACATGGTAGAATTGTTCATGGGTTCATAGAGAAACTTGGGTTTCAATCAAATTTGTTCTTGCAAAACACAATTGTTCATCTCTATGCATCTTGTGGTGCGATGGCCGATGCTCGGCTTCTGTTTGATAAAATGTCGCAACGAGACACAGTGACTTGGAATATAATGATAACTCAACTGGTAAAACGAGAAGACATTGAGGGAGCGTATGCACTGTTTTCCGAAATGCCGGAGAGAAGTGTGAGGTCGTGGACGTCGATGATTGCTGGTTTTGTTCAGTGTGGGAAGCCAAAGGAGGCTGTTGAGCTTTTCACAGAGATGGAGGAAGCAGGGTTGAGTCCGAATGAGGTCACGGTGGTGGCTGTTCTCGCGGCATGTGCTGATTTGGGTTCACTTGATCTTGGCAGGAGGATTCATGAGTACTCGAACATAAGTGGGTTTGGAAGAAACACTCGTATTTGTAACACACTGATTGATATGTACATCAAGTGTGGATGTTTGGAAGCTGCTAGTAGAGTTTTCGGGGACATGGAGGAACGAACAATCGTGTCATGGTCAGCCATGATCCAAGGGCTTGCCATGCATGGGCAAGCTGAGGAAGCTATGAGACTCTTCGATAAGATGATCCGGATTGGCGTCAAACCCAATGGGGTCACCTTCATTGGAATCTTGCATGCTTGTAGCCACATGGGGTTGATAAATCAGGGTAGGATGTTCTTTTCTAGCATGACTAGAGATTATGGAATAATTCCCAAGATTGAGCATTATGGTTGTATGGTTGATCTTTTCAGCCGGGCAGGGCTCCTTCAGGAGGCCTACGAGTTCATCATGAACATGCCCATCAAGCCAAATGGGGTTGTCTGGGGTGCTCTTCTCGGCGGATGCAGGGTTCACAAGAACATCGAATTGGCTGAAGAGGCAATCAAACACCTCCTTGAATTGGACCCCGCAAATGATGGATACTATGTGGTTTTGTCGAACATTTATGCAGAAGCAAAACGGTGGGAAGACACTGCAAGACTGAGGAAGTTGATGAGGGATCGAGGGGTGAAGAAGACACCGGGGTGGAGCTCAATCAGTGTAGATGGAATGGTCCATGAGTTTGTGGCTGGGGATGAGACCCATCCTCAAGCTGAGGAGATATTTCAAATGTGGGAAAAGTTGTTTGGGAAAATGAAGCTAAAAGGTTACGTACCAAACACTTCAGTAGTTCTGCTGGACGTGGAAGAGAGTGAGAAAGAAAAGGTTTTATTTCGCCACAGCGAGAAACTAGCACTGGTTTTTGGGCTAATGAAAACACCAACTGGAACACCAATTAGGATAATGAAGAATCTTCGAGTTTGTGAAGATTGTCACGCAGCCTTGAAACTGATATCAGAGATCGTTCAGAGAGAGATTGTTGTGCGTGACCGGAATCGGTTCCATTGTTTCAAAGATGGTTCTTGCTCTTGTGGAGATTACTGGTAGTGGATTCAATTGCTAACAAATCACGTAAGTTCTATTGAATTAGCACATTCAAATGCAATGTACATCCAAAATTCATTTTGTAATTTATGGTGCTCCTTAGCTGAAGAGTCCTTTGATCTGCTGTTTCATATGATTTATTTTGCACGCAACAAAATATTGATCAGATCCCTTTTGCAATGCTCTGGGTTATTAACTTTGAAACTAACCTGTTTTAGACTTGGAACCTGCCTGCCTTTACTATAATAAATGCTAATTCTAAAATGTGACCATATTGTTGAAATATAAAACTACCAGATGGCTCTATTTTGTTACTATAAGCCATGCAATCTTCAAGATGTAACCACTTTCTCAAAATGCAACACAAACGACTAGCCAACAATGAGAGAGAAATTACTTAAATTATCCCTTTATTTTAGGCAAATGAAGGCTGTATGACATTAAAGAAACATCCAACAAACCCATTCGGGCACAGTTCATCCTAACAACGCCAAATAAATGTTCTTTTTTTTTTTTTTTTTTTTTTTTTTTAATAAAGTTAACGCCAAATAAATGGTTGATCCAGTCTCATTCACCAAGTGGAGAATGTTCTCTTTCGTTGACTAGATCATCATGCCGATAACACCCCGTGAGATGTTCTCATGTTTGCTGTCCTCATCACCATTTAACTCTCACATTTTCACATCCCTTCAGAGTTTCTCAAATTCCTTATTTGGTCGATCTGGGGTTCAACCTTTGAACATCTACCAACTGGTACAAATCCCCTCGCCTCTGCTTCTGGAATGGAAGGTATGTCCTGCAAGTTATAATGCAAGTTAAAAACTAAGGACCATGGAGAATTGAGTTAAATCATTTGTAGGGCCGTTTATTTCTGTGGAAAAAAATATCCTCATTGAAAATGGACATAACGTGGCCACAAAGTGCAAAAATGATTTTGTTATGCATCTGTATCATTTCAGATCGGAAAAAAAATGGTGAAAACTCATCTGCCTAAATTCTTATAAGATCATGGAAAGTAATAAAAAGCAGGAAAATTGATGAATGAATGATCTCTACAAATACATGCTAGGGTCAGGATTGTTTAGTTTAGTGAGGTGGCCAGTAGAATGATGGAATTTACCAAGGAAATGACTACCATAATTAATCAAGACTAAGTAATTTGGAAGAATTTTACTAAGTTTATTATTCCATGGTTGGTAAGCATCTTACCTTCTGAGATCAATTAGCGAATAATCGATCTCTGCAATGACTATCACCTCATCATGCTCTGTTGTCGCAATTACCTCTCCATACTGCCACATTAATTTTCTTTAGACATTGGTATTCAACGCTCAAAACAAATAAATTATATCATTGAAAGGTTCAAAGTTTTAGGCCTATTTATATTATTTGTCAGAACACATGCTCCATTATTTAGATCATTAAAATCACGAGCAAAAAATGAGAAATAAAAATGAAATACAACTGTCATGCAAGTTAGATGTAAGAAACTACGTAAGACTTAATATTGAAAGTATATGCTCACCGGTCCAACAAGGGTGGAGTGCCCCCAAGCCACATAACCAGCACCAGCATCTCGGGCAGGAGAACAAGTTGCGACATACAACTGTCAGTTGAGTGTGGACACCAAATAAGTCGTAAACAAAAAAATTATGACAGGAAATATGTAGTGAAACCTAAACATAACACAAATCATTATTTTGTTCAATTATGAGATGATGTTCGATACGTACTTCAAACATCAGTAATTTTCCAAGCAATGACGTGGCAATGACTAAAGTTCTACAGAATTGAACAGTGTGCTGTTCAGGGGCAAGACCCATGTTCACCAGCTAAGTGATCAGCAGGTGTTTAAGAACTGGAAGCTACTGAACCAACTAGGTAATCTATTTATCAACTTTTTTTTTTTTTTCCTTCCTGAGAGATCAATAGTCTGTGAATGACAGTTTTTCTTATAAGAACTACAAATGTAAAGAGCAGCAATAACCTTACCAAATTGAGAACATCACGATTTAGGAACAAAAATGGAGAAGAAAACTTGGATATGTGTAAGAATTTAAACACAAAAAATAAAATAAAAGAAGCTTGGTTTTGACATTTGAATTTGTGACTTTTATTTGTTTTATTTTATTATTTCTGAAAGGTTCTCCAAAAACCTTTTATACAGAAAGGAATTTTGAGTTACACAACAGCAGGTCAGATAAGACCACCTAAAAGAAAAGGAGAGGAAAAAGTAGAAGTAATAGCTCCTTTCAATATTTAAAATGGCTTAGAACTGAAAATAAAAGATGGATTAATAGGTTCCACTTCAAACCAATCAAACTCCCACTGTCTATGTTAAAAGCATCAGTGCTGCTAAGCATGGAATCTTTTGGTCTTAAGATTTGACAATTGGAAATATATTATTAAGTGTCATAAATGTATTACTAGCAGTTTCAACATGTAACAAAAATAGAAGTTACGAAGAGAATACCTGACAATCTGCTGCCCTGCAGATCAACAGACAAAAATAGAATCAGTACTGTTAAGAGGTACACTTCACACAAGCCATACAATTCACCAATAATTACATCATAGTAGGAAGAAAGATGAGCAAAACATTTAAAAAAAAAAAAAAAAGAAGTGAATTTAAAATATATACATTTAAAAGAGGAAAAATGCAAATGAAAACTTCAATCAGTACTCCTCAAAAGACCACAGCAAAGGTCAGTCACTAAGACCATTAGCATTTGATTGGCTGCTTGTTATTTGTCACACATAAAGGACAACTTCTTCCATATTGTTAATATTATATCTTCTTTGCCATTTGTTATAAGACAAAACACCCATGATTGCATGATTCATTTCGGTCCTCCACAGTCAATGACAAAGCAAGAAAATGTATTATGAATGGCAGATTTTTAATAGTAATGGACATATTAGGTGTTCAAGGCAACATTAACCCTTTTTCCAGCACAGGCACATGACCTAACATATAAGTAATCAACAGTTAAAAAATACAGAGCAAGCAGAAGTCCATAAAACAAACAGAAGCCCGGAGATGCACTTGTCTATTGCAAAGAATTCCAAATTTCATCTTCCCCCAATCAAACAGAATTTTATATTCTCCCAAAAGGACTTACAATTGAAGATTTCTACATGGAAGTAACTTGCAGATACTACATGCTAAAGCATTACCTTGCCCTCTGCAATAGCTCCCAATGCAGTGGCCCAGTAGTCATGTTAAATGCTCCAGGATAGCAAAGCAAGTGAGCTCCTAATATTCAGGTTGGCACAGTCCTGATGTTAGAAACATCTATGCCAATATAATAAGCAGAGAGAATCATATGAATAATTTTTTCAACAATTTCAGACCAAGGGAATCAATAAGGGTGAAAAAAAGTAAAGAAAATTAATAGGAAATGGTCGGATTTGCAATTTCAATCTGTCAGAATTGCAATGGAGATGGAATTATACTTCCACTGTGAAGAGTAAGCACCAGATACCAATGCAGTAATAATGACGTTCAGGGTTTAACATGTGTGTGCATCTTTCAATATTTAAATGCTCTTTAGTAGCTTAACTATGTCTTTCAAAATTCAAATGTTCTTAATGAAGAAAATAAATTATTTTCCATTATTTTACCTTTTTATTGTAAATTGGATGCTTTATTTTCTTTTATCTTAAAGATGTAACTAACAATTTGACACTTCTTAGTCACAAAACAAATCAACACTGTCAATCTAACATTGTCAGTGGCTTTGGGGATCACAGGTTTTGAGAGGTCTTTGGTTCCCATTTTTCCTAATTTCCAACATTGCATCAACAGCAATTTTATCTTTACTTGAATCTCAAGTTAAAATTAAGACGCACCAGTATCTTCTGAGAGTATAACTTATAAAAGATATCCAATATTAAAAAGATACCTTCTGAACATTATTTAATTCATAGGAAATCATCTTTACGGATTGGATGGCAGACGGCCTTGTGGATGCACAATCCTACAGCTCATATGCTTAACATGTAATCAAACTGCTTAAAGATTAACCATTCAAAAAACAAAAAACAAAAAAAAAAAAAACCTGCTTAAAGATTTATGATGATTCACAGGTAATAGTAATAACAAAAACACTGCACAAATTTACACTTTCCACCAAAGATCAAAGACAAAGCTTAACAATTCCTAATATAAATTTTACCTCTGAGAAGTAGATTCCCAAGGAAAAATTAGTTATGACATCATAGTTGTTTTGGTAAACATATAATGGTCCATCTAACTGTTAAGAATTATGTCTCAAATTCCCATTATTATTAGTTTCTATTTTAGAGTGTATTTTTATGGTAATTTCTTATAGAGACGTGAATTGGGCTCTAAGAAATTGTAATCATTGTCCACAAAGGAATTGGGTATGTGACTCTATAAATAGACACTTGGGCTATTGTTGAGAGTTATGAGTTGAGAGAGATGTAGCATCATGAGGGAGTACGTTGATGGTAGGGGTGAGTTACGGGTTTGGTAGAGTGAACACTGATGGCGAGAGGGAGTTTCGTGGAGTACACGGAGAACTCAGTCAAGAGTTTGTGTGCATGGTCCAATGTTGAAATTCTCTACTATTGTAATATCTCTACATATATAGTGAATCTCTTCTCATCCGTGGATGTAACCCTGATTTTGGGTGAACCACGTATATATATCGTGTTGTGGTTTGAATTATTGTTTTCTTTCTTTCTTTTGCTTCCGTTGTGCCCCAACACTAACCCCAGCTTACCAATTGAGGTAAAGTACAACAAATTTGCATCTATCCCCAAGGTCCTTCAATATAAATCACCATACTGAAAGACACCCATTCTTGATGTACATGAACACAATAATTGTAGAAATGTTAGCATGATGAGAAAAATCGAAAAACGGTCTTCTTAGATGACAGAAATTACTGAAATAAGCCTCCAAATGAAATCAATAGCAACTAATTTTAATAAAGGAAAAAAAAAAACACACACACACCTCTTGCCGCATATAATGTAGCTAATTCCAGGAACCGAATGTCATAACATATACCGATACCAATACGACCTACATCTGCAAATCAAACTCGCTTGTTTATTTTCTGCTACATCAAACAAAAGATTAGTGGATAAGAAATGAACTAATAACAAAATTTTCCTGTTAAAAAGGAAAAACGTTAAGGGTTTCATTATGAAAATTTAATTAACTGCAGAGAGAAAAAGAAAGTCAGAATTTGACAATCCATATCAATGGAGGTGAACAACTAGGTGGCTGTTAAATCTTCTATGTCATTATATTTCCTTTTCCATATCAAATCGTTAACAGTCAACAGAGGAGAAAGACTAAATATTGTCCAAACATGATACATCCTACAGTTCTATTAGGAGAATATCTAGGCAATGATACCAGATCTGGAGTATAGTCAAATTCAGATGTCAAAGGATTACAGACTTTAATACCCCGTGTAAATTTATTAAAATCCATATTAATTTTATCTATCCAAAAAAATCTATATTTTTTCGGTCTGAATATATATTGATAATACGTAAAAAAAGCTGCTCATTACGACTTGGAACAACCCTTTTTATAAGACACAAGGGAGGCACTAGCAAAGATTTAATCCTAGCCCGATTAAAAAAATCTATATTGTTTCTAATAAAATTAAGACTTAAATTATACTCTTTGATAGCATTTCTAACGCTTATATATTCTTCTTAAAGCATCTGTTGTAGAGGATGTTAATATGAAAAGAAGCAAATTGTAAACCCTTGGAGCTTGAGTTAGAGTTAGATCTCGTCTAATGAAGATTGGATATAATTCAAGTCTTATTTTGTGTTAGTTTTACAGAAATGTACAGTTAATATACTTTTATTATTTAGTTTTTTTAGGTTTTGGGAGTCAAGTGTATTTGATGTTTTATTTGGGGTCAAGTTATTCAATTGAATTTTCATATAGAAACCTAGTTGGACTTCAAAATTTTAATCTATTAGGTGATTCCTAGGGTTTGTTTGGTTAGCATGAAATAGATAGAAAGGAAAAGAAAAGGAAAATATTTAACTTTTTTAGGAGTTTGGTTAGCGTGAAAGAGAAAATTTTCAGGAAAGTAATTTTCTTGAACTGCTTAATTTTCCTCAAAAATTTTCTGACATAAAACACAGGGAAATTTTACTTTCCCATGAAAGTGGTGCCTTCACATCTTAGTTTCCGATCATGTCCATGTCACTCTCCTCACTTTCTCCACAAACTTTTATAACAAGTGAGTTTCATTCTTTTGTAAATTGCTTATAAGATCATGTAAATACTAATTTAATTGTATATAGTTTTATATCAAAATTAAAATTTTTTTTTATTTTTATTTTTTTCCTTCCACAATTAATAATGATTGAGAGTGATATATATATATATATATATATAAATCTGAGTATTTAGTAAAAAAGTGTTGGGTAAAAAACTAGGTTAGTGTCTTTACGTATATAAGTTTTTAAATTATAATTTAATTCATATATATATTTTTTTATACATAGACTTCTAATGACTTTAGGACTCAACTACTGAAATGTACCAAACTCATTTAATTTTAACTCTACATATATTAGATATACCAAATTAATTTAGTTTTAACTCTACGTATATTATATGTACGAAACTAATTTAGTTACAAGTATTTTATTTCTATGAATATTTTTTTTTTTTTTTTTTTTTTTTTTTCTATGACTAAAAATATATATATTAACTTCAACCTTTTATCCTCAAGAATATTCGGATTAAAATTTTTTATTAATTAAACTTGTACCTATAATCACATATATCTAATTATTAAACATCAGAAGACAAATACTATAATGTCCATTAATTTATCTTTGAACTTAAAATTTTAATTTTGTTCATAATTCTGGAGATATAATAGTATCTCAACAGAGTACAAAATAATCTTATAATTAAAAGGGTAGTTTTGGGAACTGCAATCACTTTCTTTTCACTTTCATTCTTTCCAAACTCACAAAACAATATTTTCTTACAACTTTCTTGAAAAATTTTCTTGCTAACCAAATACATAATAGAAACTTGATTTTCTTTTCCTTTCATTTACTTTCTTTCACTTTCAATTTCCATCAAAAATTTCTATCTAACCAAATGGACCCCTAAGGAATTCTAAGTGGAACATAAATTAGTTTCTTTTATTCTCCCCCCCACCAAAAAAAAAAAAAAAAAGAAAAGAAAAGAAAAGAAAAGAAAAAGAAAGTCCTAATCAGTCCCGACTGTTTTCCCCACCTTTTAACCTTCAATTTGACACCTGAACACCTTATTTAGTTGTCATGGCTAATTTTTAGCAATCAAATTTATAAATTTCAACTTATCACTTCTTAAAATAAATAAATAACTTCCAAACCCTTTCTTTTCTAAACTCTACATTCTTTTTTTCCGCCCTACCTAATCCACAAGCTTTTCACTAAGAGTCATTCTGTCTGTCAGTAACTTGTTGAATAATAGTAGCCGGATGAGATATTTTGTTTTCCAATTTCCTGCTATTGCATTCCTTCCAAAATGTGAAGCTCAGCAGCACCTTTCATGCTTCCAATTGTCCTTGCATTGGGAGTTAATCATCTTGACTGCATATAATGAGTCAAACTCTACCCAAAATATCTGGCTTTAACACACCAAAAATGTGATTAAGTTTCTTAAATCCGTCTTGCATCAGCATCCTTAATGCTTTAGGATTCAAGGAACAACCCAACCTCTAATTTATTTTAATGGTTCTAAAGATGTTTCACATGGTACTAACTTGTATCACCATATGCTATGGAAAATGACAATTCAATATCCAAAAGGCGCTTATAAACCCCTCTAAACTGACTAAAGGAGCATTTTTGAGAGCCTATCATAAATTCCCTCTATCTTTTATAAATATCTACTTAACAAATCATTAGACATGTCAATTAAGCCTTTGATATAAACCAATTAATGGATTATTAGCATAATACAAATTTTGATATGAAAAAAAGAAAAAAAGAAAAGGAAAAGAAAGAAGAGTTCAATCTATGTCGTACTGTCCTTGTAACAGGTGAAGGGAGAGCACTCCAAACCTGTGTCTACAATTGTAGGTGTCTCCCCTGCTGTAAGAGTTTTTGATTCCTTAAAGGTCATCTGGCCTGGAATATCAATGTCAAAGAGATGTATCTGTATTCATGGAATGTGACCAAAATTTTTTGTTAGATGCACATAGAGGAATATTGCAAAGCAGTTAAATGGGGAATTCTATATGAATAATATTTCTAATAGATAGCAAATTAGCAAACTGGTTAAATGATGACTTAGTAAGAATAGCTAGGACATATACCTTCCTGTGTTTGGCCAAGAGCTTTCCATCAGTTCCAAAGACGCAACAGGTATTATACAACCGATCACCAGAGCGCTCTGGTATAGAGCCACCAACTATTGTGATCTGTAGACTCCGAGAAAGTTCAGACAGCATTGCAGTTGAAGGGGATGCATCACCACCAGAATCAATATCCTCTGCATATACTGGAAAACTATCATTTGAATATGGGCTATTCCATATTTCCTGACATGACGGGAGGGAAACCATTATTAATTCTAGTTCTAGAAGGACCAGTGCCCAAAGAAAGTTGCAGTACCAATATATCATAGGAAGATTAAATGCGAGGAGACAGAGGATGTCCATCCACAATCCACAAATAGACAATCACAGATGGGGGAAAAACAAACATGGGAATATCAAATGCCTTTGAATATATAAACTGTGACAAAAAAACCCATTATTGAAGACCTGTTTGGGTAGACCAAAGAGAAAATCTTATGGAACTTTCCTTTATGTCCTATGTGCACACATACAAACATACGTTCCAACAGGGACATGATTGATGCACCTTTCCCTTTGGAGTGGCAAGAGATATCACTCAAACTAACAGCCAGTGTAATCTCATGGCAATTGATTTATTAAAGTAATTAGATCCATGTTATGAATTCTTCACATAATAATGCTGCAATTTCCAATATTGAAGCATTTTTTAGGTATGCAATTTTAGTACTGATAGATAGAAAGTGTTTTAGAAGGTTTTTACTTATTTTTAGGGTTTTACAAGCCTATAAAATACGAGTACCATTTTGAAGCAGTGTTAAGCCAGTGATTTCATAATTGAACTTTGAAAGAGCTTTAAGAAAATCCAAAATATTAAAATGGCTCCAGACAAAATACTAAACAGGCAGTAATTAAACATTGTTTATTTAACAATTTTTAAAAAAAAATTATTTGACTTCCATTCCTGCTGCCGTGCTTTTCTATCCGGACCAAACAATCTGTAAGTCTTACATATTGGACAACATGAACATCGAATGGCACTAGGGTCGTAAACCTGATGAGATAAGGTTAAAATAGTACGGGAAAACTTATCATAGTGATTCTCTTGTTCCACTCAAGCTTCCAAAACCAGAATGTTTTTACTTGAACATTTAAGAAAAATTTAGTAGTCACATAGAGAAGTGATGCCAATGTGCAGAAAATGAGATTGCATGCTCAGATACACTTAAATTCCTTCACTTACCGGAAGAAGAACAAGCTGAGCACCCTTCTCTGCAGCCTCCTCGATTGCTTTTCGAGCATGAATAATGTTTCTCTCCTTGTCAGTAGTCACTGACAGCTGGCAAAGAGCGATCTTGAACTGAAATAGAAGGAAGTAAGTGTTATAGCCTGATGATCCAAAGGTAGAATATTTAGAAACAAATGTCACAACTCTTCTAAACACTTCAGAACACATCCAGTAAAAAAAAATAGTGAGACAAAATCCATTCAGTTTAAGTTAACATTATGAGAGAAAAATAGTACTCAAAAACCTAACCTAGTTCTTCTTTGACATGCCATACCATTTCCTATAGCCTTTACAAGTAATTCACCAACAGCTAACACACTTCCAATAAAATGACTAATGCATGATAGCACTTCACTCGTAAATCATTCAGTCTCTATACTCCTGATCAGCTAAAAATTTAAAGCATACTTGTTCAATTTTCAAGCAATCTCTTTTCCTTACTCATTCTTTCCGAGAAAAATTTAGACATTCAAATACATAGTTGAACAAATTTGAATCAAGGAGCACAAAATCTACAGGAAGCGTCTGACATGAATCGTCTAGAACACACATACACACGAATACACACATATGCGCGTTTGGAATCAATTAAGAGCAACAGAGTATTACAACGTATAACTAACAGGACCGAAAAAAAAAAAAAAAAAAAAAAAAAAAACAGATCAAAAGAACAATTATGTATAAGTACACGCATAAAATATATATATATATGTATGTATGTTTGAGTTTGGATTTTTGCCTTGGTAACAGGAGGAGTGGGCAAAGGAAGAGCAGGAGGAACCCTAGCTTCGTCAGGCTTGAAAGAAGTAGCCATTCTTGCAGCCGAGACGACGGTGTGGACCGCCTTGGAAAACTTCTTGGTTTTACTGTAATTGTTGAGGCTTACGAGGGCAAATGAAGAAGAATTAAGTGATGAAAGCTTGTGGACTTGAGAAACAGAGTTGAATACACCGAGATTTGCAGTGTTGTCGAGGGTTGAAGAGGAGAGCGATCCAATATCAGCCTTCATTTTCACGAGCATTGAGCAACAGACTGGACCCACTGTGGACATATAAATTGGAGAGGAGCTCTGGAATTCAGGATTTCTTTTTCTTTTTCTTTTTCTTTTTCTTTTTCCATTTTCATTTTCATTTTCATTTTCATTTTCCCACTCTTGTTGCCAATGAGTAAACGACAAAATCAATCACCTGCCTCTGGATTAAAAGGAAAGAATAAAAAGAAAGGAAAAGAGAAAAGAACAAAAAGAAAGTGTGGCCCTAACCGATAAAAAGAGGAAAAAAGAGATAATAAAACCATCCTCCTTAATTTCTTTAATAGTAGTTTCTTTAATTTCTTTTTTACTCTGGATCAATTTTTTTTTTCTTCATCCTACTTTTTATAAAAAAAGGAATTACAACTATTTTTCTTTTACTTGTACAAACAGAAAGAGATAATAAAACCATATTTTCTTTTTTTATTGTTGTAAAGCACCTGTTAGTATAACGGACAGAGCTCCCTGTTGCTTATTTTATAACCTAAACTTTTTTTTTTTTTTTTCGAAAAATGAAGCTATGATATAAATATAAAAAAGTTACAGAAAAAGGCCTTTGGCCCGAACAAACCCAAAACAAATGGGGAAAAATGAGCCCAATCCCAACCCAAAACAAACCTAATAACATCATAAGAGCTTATGGCCCTAAACCTAAAACAAAGAAATCATTTGGTGACAGTTATGAAGCCATTACCGGAGGATTTTAGGTGCAATTCTGGTGGCAAGGCCTGTGACGGCAAAGACAGCCCTTGGCTTCGAGACTCAGTCTGGCTGCCTCGGCGGAGGACGGTAACAAGAAGGGAAGATGTCCCAGTCCTTTAGGATGAGATGACCAGCATTGGAATTCCTTAGAACCCCCAGTTTTAGGGTTGAGGTGATGCTGTTAGAAACCCGTGTCAGAATTGAGTTTTGGGATAACTTGAAACCTTTAAAGATGCAAGCATTCATTTCTTCCCAAATATGGTGCACCAGAGTAGCGAGACAAAGCTTTCTAACCTAGTTCCAAGGAAATGGAGAGGACCATTGAACACGGAAATTAGAGATTAACTCCGGCCAAGAGAGCTGCGCAATGGATATTTTGCATTTAGCCTTGAAGAAACTCTAAAATGGTGCTGTGTAATCACATGAGAAGAAGAGATGTGAGTGGGATTATGGGCTGGCATTGCAGAGGGGACATTCATTCTGATGCCGAGCCATGGATATCTTGTCCAAAGTTGGGAGACGACCTTGCACAGCTGACCAGAGATTGAATCTCATATGAGGGATAGCTGGGGAGTGCCAAACGAGATTGAACCATGGCACTCTTGGCAGGGTTGGGGATAATTGAGCCAAGGTGTGCTTGATTGGGGCAGGCAAACCAAGCAGCTCAGGGATTGCCCTTGATAAAGAAGTTGGGAAATGCCAAGAATTGTTGGTGATGAAGCTGCTGACTGTGGTTGTGCGCTCAAATCCTGCATCAGAGAGGAGGTGTGATTGGAATCTAAGGCTCAATGGACCCAAAGGAAGCCAGTTATCATTCCAAAAGCAAGTAGAGGTACCATTGCCAATATGGTGTTTGCTGATGTGTCTAGCTGAATGTCTAAGATGCAGGAGTTTCCTCCAACTCCAAGACCAGGATTGTGGAATCTCTAAAGCCCAAATATTCCTGTCTTTAATGAGGTAAGTTTTGTACCATCCAATCCACACTCTTTCACTGTTGTCAGTCAATAAATCCCAAATATACCTTGTAATGGCTGCCTGGTTTGAAATTACCAAATTAGGGATGTCCAAACCCCCAGCCTCCTTAGGTTTACATATAAACATCCAAGCAATCTTTGCACATGTGGGCTTTATCTCAATGCCAGACCATAGAAAGGACATGAAAATTATGTTGAGCTAATCAATAACCCCTTTTGGGAAAATGAAGATACTTAACCAGTAAATCTGAATGGACACCAAAACTAATTTGATTAATTGTAATCTTCCTCCATATGAAAGGGATCTTGAGGTCCAGTGAGTGATCCTATAGGTAATCCTTTCTACGAGAGGCCTGCAGTCAGTTGATCTTAGGCATTTAGAGATCAAAGGCACCCCTAAGTGCCTAATGGGGAGAGAACCAGTCCCAATGCTTAGCAAACTTGAGATTGCAAGTTATGTGGGTGGATCAATACTAGAGAGAAATAATGAGCTTTTGTTCAAGTTAATAGATAACCCTGACATGGTACAAAAGTGGTCTAATTCACATTTTAGGATTGACATTGATGTAATATCACCGTGATAGAAAAGAAACAAATCATCAGCAAAAGCAAGATGGGTAGTACCCAAGTCTTTACATCTCCAATTGTATCTAAACCTTGGAGCTCTTGACACAAAAATTTTCACAATGGAGGTAAAAACATCCATGATAATGACAAATAAGAATGGAGAGATAGGATCACCTTGTCTTAAGCTTTTGCCTTTGAAATAAACCTTGAATTCACCATTAATAGCCACTGTAAAGGATAGGGATGAGATGCAAGCATAAATGAGTTGAATAAATGTAATACCTCTAATTTTTAAAAGGATATAATTAGGATTTAATTTATTTATTTTATTTGCATTTTAATTTATTAGTAGTTTCTTTAATTTCCTTTTTACTATGGATCAATGTTTTTTTTCATCATCCTCCTTTTTTATAAAAAAAAGAATTACAACTATATTTTCTTTTACTTGTACAAACAAAAAGAGATAATAAAACCATTTTTTTTTTTCTTATTGTTGTAAAGCACTTGTTAGCATAACGAACAGAGTTTGGAAATTCTATTAGGCTCCCTATTGCTTATTTTATAATTTAACATTTTTTTTTTTTTCAAAAAGTGAAGCTATGATATAAATATAGAAAAAGTTACAGAAAAGGCCTTTGGCCCAAACAAACCCAAAACAGATGGGGAACAAGAGCCCAATACAATCTCTGTTTCTCTCTCTAAGAAGGATTCTTGAATTAAGCAAAGGTTTGCTTCGGGCCTCCGATCATATCTCAGAATTCAACGCATTTTAAAAGTGTCCTTTTTGATGGATCAATTAGGAGCCATTCATTTTGGGATGTGTACACGTGGCGAGAATCTGAAGCTGTAGGTCCCATTTAACTGCTGATAAGTGGGGTCATTCCTTATTGGTATCTCACTCTTTCCATCTTATAAAAAGTGTCATGTTTGGAAAACCGTGACTCACAACTTTATATGTTCGGAGGGAGTAATTCTTAAGGTTCGATCGGGTCGGGCTTTAACCAAAGTTATGGCATAGAAACAAACTTCAATTTCAATTTGGGTCGTTGGAAGAAAAAGCTTAAATTTGGGCCTAACCTTGTTTTCATATTGGGCTATACCATCTCATGCAACCAACAATTTTTTATTTATTTATTTTTAGTGTACGTGTATATAATAAGACACATATCATTCAAGTTAAAAGTGCGATTCAAAAGAGAGGTTTCAAAAACTTACTTTCCGAATCCTTGCGAATGCCGCTATATCCATGAGGCTAACACCACCAACATTTGACATGGCATTATTTTTATTAAGATATATTAATGCATAGTAAATTAGTAACCAAGTAATCACATGGCATGTTTAATATTTTTAATATAACTTTGGATGTGGGCTTGTAGCTACTTGAAGAGATTTTTCTTTTATTTTTATTTTTTTTAACTTGTTCCTCCTATTAGGACTGCATAGATGTAAGATCAGACGATTATTATCTTGAAATTTCAAGTTTAAGTCATAATTTAAGCAATATTTGTGATTTTACGAATTATTATAAAAATTCTTACATACGTTGTAGTCGGTACGTGTCCATAAAATGCACAATTAAAATTAAACGTCAACTCACATTCAAAATTTAAAAAGGGTTAGATATGCAATTTAGTTACCCCTACTTATACAAGACCCAAAAATATAAAAAATTCAAAACAAATTCTCAGTAAATTAATTTTTAATAGATTAGTATAAAATAAATTAAAATTTAAAGAAAAAGAAACAAACGAAGAAAAGTTGATTAAAATTAGGGTGAACTACATTAAACTCCACTCTTTTCTATTTGTGTTTTTTCACTAAACCTCTCTTTTCTATTTTTTTGTCAAGAAACCCCCCCTCAACTATTAGAAGGGAGTGATTTAACTAAATTTCGTTAACTAACTATTTGAGGGGGTGATTTAATTCTCATATATATATATATATATATATATATATATATATATATATAGCAAATAAATTTCAAGAAAAAAAAAATTAGGCATTATTTTTGGTAGTGTCCCTTTAATAAATCTATATAAAATGAAAATTAATAAAAATCAAATAAATGAATGCACAATATAGTTCTTAAATATATATATATGGCAAATAAATTTTAAGAAAAAAAAACCTAGATTTATATTGGGAAAAAAAACTATTGCAACAACATGTACTCTTCTTGTTTAACTTCTTTTATTTACCCATCATTATAATATTATATATAATTTCTATCATAATATAATGGTATATATAATATGTATCATTAAATATTATTTAAATATATTTTCATTTCCATCTAGCCATCAGACCAATATAAAAGTAGGTTTTTATTATATTTTTTTATTTAGGAAAAAAATCTAGGTTTTTTTTTCTTGAAATTTATTTGCTATATATATATTTGAAAATTATATTGTGCATTCATTTATTTGGTTTTTATTGATTTTCATTTTATATAGATTTATTAAAGGGACACTACCAGAAATAATGCCTAATTTTTTTTTTTGCCAATATAAACCTAGGTTTTTTTTCTTGAAATTTATTTGCTATATATATATATATATATATATATATATATTTGAGAATTCAAGCACCCCCATCTAATAGTTAGTTAACGGAAGTTAGTTAAATCACCCCCCTCTAATAGTTGAGGGGGGTTTTTTGACAAAAAAATAGAAAAGGGAGGTTTAGTGAAAAACACAGATAGAAAAAGGGGGTTTAATGTAGTTCACCTTTAAAATTATAAAAATATATAATATATCTAAAATTTAAAATATACAAAAAAAGTTATGTATCATTCGGGTTCAAGTTACTTACACCTCAACCCAATATCAATCATAATTAAGTTCATTTGAGGTTTTTCAATTTTAGAAATATTATATACCATGTTCAAACTTGTAACAACACATTTGTGTTTTATCTCTATAAAATAAAATAAAATAATTCTGAGGCCTATTCATGCATAAATTTTTTTTACAAATCATATTTTTCTCTACCAAAATCCTAAAGAATTATCTATTCCAATTTTCACACTACTTTTATTTTTCAAAAAGGGACCAAAATCCTATTGATTATAGGCAAATCAATTTATACTTGTTATTTGGTTTTATAATATAAATAAAAACAACAAATAAATAATACTATCATATTTTTTTTTTTATAGCCATTACACCATTTGATGGAAAATTTTGTTCCACTTTCTTGCATACTTTTTGAGTACGTTTGGATATGTTAGATTTGGAGGGTTAAGGAGAGAAAAAAAAGAAATGAAATGATAGTAAGAGTGTGTTCGATTGGTTAAAAATGAGAAAAAAGAAATGACAAAGAGAGATAAGGATATTTCTTATTTCCTATATATCAAAAAATGAGAAGATAAAGAGAGAAATGACAGAGTTTAAGTAATATTTTTATAATTTTGAAATTGACCTCAATAATTAAAAGGAGAAAATTATTATTTCACTCGTATTTCATCTATTCAAAAGAAGATGATAGGAATTTGGTAGTAATCATTTCTCTTAGTATTCCATCTCTTCATTACATACATCCACCATAGGCTGTCCACAATGACACTCCCAGGGAGGACTTTCTCTCTCTAACTTCTAGAGCAAGAAACATCAAATTTCAATTTGATCTTCACCCTTTCCTTCCAAAATCTTCCCGATCAATTCTTGTTGCTTCTATCTTCTGTTTGTTCTTTGTTCATCAAAGTTGTTTCTTCCTCTACCCGTAGGGTTTCTCTGTTCATCAGAGTTTTTTTCTCTTCTCTCCATGATGTATTCAGTTGGGTTATTTTCCATCCAGTCTCAAATTCGTTGTTTATGTGGGTGGTCAGCTTGAATGGGTTCATGGTTTATGCGGTATGTTGGATTGGGAGTTTTGATCGGGGGCAATCGAATGGGTCCATATCCATAGCCACCGATATTCCCTTTTGACCCGGGTATTGAGTTGGTTTTATTGGCTTCTCTTTTAGTTCTCACTTTTTCAGGTTAGTCGTTTATAAGAGTCGAGTTTTTGGCCGTGGCCATGGCATTTGGGTTATGGTTGGTTGTTGCAAGTGTTTGTCTTTCGGCGAGTACGATATTTGGGAATCGACTTTTCGTTTCTTATGGTGCTTTGTTTTCTTTGTTGTCCACAAGCAACGCATCTCAGTCTTTTGCTAGTTGGACGATTTCTTGCAACAGGTTTGATGCTCCTTTCTCTTGCTCCGATAAAGGATGCCTCTCCTCCGACCGCCATTGACTATAGGACGTGGCTAGGTGTCGCCAGAAAGATTTGTCAGGCTGGACTCACAATGATTGTGGTTCGTTGGCGTTTGGTCCCTTCCCGACGTTTGGTCTTCATGTTCTCCAAGGTCTTCCTCATTTCTCAGGTTCTGCAGTGTGGGATCCGCTTTTGTTTGTTGATGCGTGGGAAAAACGCAAAGACTATTGTTTCTGGAATGTTGGGCCCCCTATGGATAAACAAAACGTCAGGTACTTGATTGAAATAGTGAGTATATTAACCGTGGGGCTGATGTTAAGTTTGGTCCAGCTTAAGTCCCTCTTTGTGGCCTGCATTTATAAATGACCAATTCATTATGGGTCTTTAGTTTGGGCTGGGACGTGAAATACTTTTACGGTTGCAAAGTCTTTGGGCCTTATCTTATATTATGGTAACTTTGTTTGGTGTTTGTCCCTGTGAAAAAAAGCCAAGAAAGAGAGAAATTACTTAAATTATCCAAATGAAGGCTGTATAACATTAAAGAAACATCCAACAAACCCATTCGGGCACAGTTCATCCTAACACCACCAAGTGGAGAATGTTCTCTTTCGTTGACTAGATCATCATGCCGATAACACCCTGTGAGATGCTCTCATGGTTGCTGTCCTCATCACAATTTAACTCACATTTTCACATCCTTTTAGAGTTTCTCAAATTCCTTACTTGGTCGATTTGGGGTTCAACCTTTGAACATCTACCAACTGGTACAAATCCCCTCGCCTCTGCTTCTGGAATGGAAGGTATGTCCTGCAAGTTATAACGCAAGTTAAAAACTAAGGAACCATGGAGAATGAGCTAAATCATTTGTAGGGTCCATTTATTTCTGTGGAAAAAATATCCTCGTTGAAAATGGACATAATGTGGCCACAAAGTGCAAAAATGATTGTTATGCATCTGTATCATTTCAGATCCGAGAAAAAAATGGTGAAAAACTCATCTGCCTAAATTCTTATAAGATCGTTGTAGGTAATTTAGAGAAAAACTTGTAATACTGGATGATCTTTATTGTAGGTCTAAGCCTCTATTTATATACAAAAAGAAGGTGAAATTATGGTAGGATTCGCTATGCCTGTCCTCCAATTCATTCCATATATAATTCTTTACCAACAAGGTTCTTTCCTTTTATAATTCCTTCCATGCAAGACTTTTCCCATGCAGAACTTCCTTATGCGAAGGATCCTTTGTTAAGCAGGACTTGATTAACTTGATTATAATGTAAATGGGCCGAATGGGTTTCTTAGCGGGCTGAGAGGTTAATATTAATAACGTTGGATCGATATTGACCATATTTGGGCTTGATCAAGATTGGGCTTTGATGGGCTATTGGAGAAGAAATAAGGTTATATGATTCTTATTGGAGAGGAATTTTTCAATCCACAATCGTGGAAACTAATAAAAAGCAGGAAAATTGATGAATGAATGACTGACCTCTACAAATACATGGATCGGGAATGATTAGTTTAGTAAGGTGGCCAGTAAAATGATGGAATTTATCAAGGAAATGACTACCACATAATCAATCAAAACTAAGAAATTTGGAAGATTTTTAGAAAGTTTATTATTCCATGGTGGGTAAGCATCTTACCTTCTGAGATCAATTAGCGAATAATCGATCTCTGCAATGACTATCGCCTCATCATGCTCAGTTGTCGCAAGTACCTCTCCATACTGCCACATTAATTTTCTTTAGACATTGGCATTCAAGGATAAAAAAATTTGTAAACATCAGAGGCTTCTTCAACGCTCAAAACAAATAAATTATATCATTGAAAGGTTCAAATTTTTAGGCCTATTCTATTATTTGTCAGAACACATGCTCCATTATTTAGATCATTAAAATCATAAGCAAAAACTGAGAAATAAAAATGAATCACCACTGTCATGCAAGTAAGATGTAAGAAACTACGGAAGACTCAATATTGACAGTATATGCTCACCGGTCCAACAAGGGTGGAGTGCCCCCAAGCCACATAACCAGCACCAGCATCTCGGGCAGGTGAACAAGTTGCAACATACAACTGTCAGTTGAGTGTGGACACCAAATAAGTCACAAACGAAAAAATTTATGACAGGAAATATGTAGTGAAACCTAAACATGACACAAATCATTATTTTGTTCAATTAATGTGATGATGTTCGATACATACTTCAAACATCAGTAATTTTCCAAGCAATGACGTGGCAATGACTAAAGTTCTACAGAATTAAACAGTGTGTTGTTCAGGACAAGACCCATGTTCACCAGCTAAGTGATCACCAGGTGTTTAAGAACTGGAAGCTACTAAACCAACTAGGTAATCTATGCATTAACTTCTTTTTCTTCTTTTTTTCTTCTCTTCCTGGGAGATCAATAATCTGTGAATGACAGTTTTTCTTATAAGACCTACAAATGTACAGAGCAGCAATAACCTTACCAAATTGAGAACATCACGATTTAGGAACAAAAATGGAGAAGAATACTATGTGATAAAGGGGTCACAACTAAATGTGATATGTGGTTTCCCAATTTGTAGAACACCACTAGACCTTATAATGGAAGAGTAAATAGCTTGTATTAAATGACAAAAGAAAATAAGAAAAATAAAATAAAGAAGCCTGGTTTTGACATTTGAAGTTGTGGCTTTTACTTGTTTTATTTTTTTTATTTCTGAAAGGTTCTCCAAAAACCTTTGAGGAATTTTGAGTTACACAACAGCAGGTCAGATAAGACCCACCTAAAAGTAAAAGAGAGGAAAAAGTAGAAGCAATAGCTCCTTTCAATATTTAAAATGGCTTAGAACTGAAAATAAAAGATGGATTAATAGGTTCCATTTCAAACCAATCAAACTCCCACTGTCTATGTTAAAAGCATCAGTGCGCTAAGCATGGAACCTTTCAGTCTTAAGATTTGACAATCGGAAATATATTATTATGTGCCATAAATATATTACTAGCAGTTTTAACATGCAACAAAATTAGAAAGTTACGAAGAGAATACCTGACAATCCGCTGCCCTGCAGGTCAACAGACGAACATAGAATCAGTACAGTTAAGAGGTACACTTCACACAAGCCATGCAATTCAGTAATAATTACATCATAGCAGGAAGAAAGATGAGCAAAACATTAAACAAAAAGTGAATTTAAAATATATAAAAAATTAAAAGAGGAAAAAAGCAAATGAAATCTTCAATCAGTACTCCTCAAAAGACCACAGCAAAGTTCAGTCACTAAGAACATTAGCATTTGATTGGTGCTTGTTATTTGTCACACATAAAGGACAACTTCCTCCATATTGTTAATATTATATCTTCTTTGCCATTTGTTATAAGACAAAACACCCATGATTGCATGATTCATTTCAGTCCTCCACAGCCAATGACAAAGCAAGAAAATGTATTATGAATGGTGGATTTCTACTAGTGATGGACATATTAGATGTTCAAGGCAACACTAACTTTTTTATAGCACAGGCACATGACCAAACATATAAGTAATCAACACTTAAAAAATACAGAGCAGGCAGAAGTCCATAAAACAAACAGAAGCCCGGAGATGCACTTGTCTACTGCAAAGAATTCCAAATTTCATCTTCCCCCAATCAACCAGAATTTTATATACTCCCAAAAGGACTTACAATTGAAAATTTCTACAAGGAAGTAACTTGCAGATACTACATGCTAAAGCATTACCTTGCCCTCTGCATTAGCTCCCAATGCAGTGGACCAGTAGTCATGTTAAATGCTCCAGGATAGCAAAGCAAGTGAGCTCCTAATATTCAGGTTGGCACAGTCCTGATGTTAGCAACATCTATGCCAATATAATAATCAGAAAGAATCATATGAATAATTTTTTCAACAATTTCAGACCAAGGGAAATCAATAAGGGTAAAAAAAGTAAAGACAATTAACAGGAAATGGTCGGATTTGCAATTTCAATCTGTCAGAATTGCAATGGAGATGGAATTATACTTCCACTGTAAAGAGTAAGCACCAGATACCAATGCAGTAATAATGTCAGCGTTCAGGGTTTAACATGTGTGTGCATCTTTCAATATTTAAATGCTCTTTAGTAGCTTAACTATGTCTTTCGAAATTTAAATGTTCTTAATGAAGAAAATAAATTTTTTTCCATTATTTTGCTTTTTTATGGTAAATTGGATGCTTTATTTTCTTTTATCTTAAAGATGTAATTAACAATTTGACACTTCTCAGTCACAAAACAATTCAACACTGTCAATGTAACCATTGTCAGTGGCTTTGGGGATCACAGGTTTTGAGAGGTCTTTGGTTCCCATTTTTGCTAATTTCCAACATTGCATCAACAACAATTTTATCTTTACTTGAATCACAACTTAAAATTAAGATGCATCAGTATCTTGTGAGAGTATAACTTATAAAAGATATCTAATATTAAAAAGATACCTTCTGAACATTATTTAATTCATAGGAAATCATCTTTATGGATTGGATGGCAGACAGCCTTGTGGATGCACAATCCTATCGCTCATATGCTTAACAAGTAATCAAACTGCTTAAAGATTAACCATTTTATAAAAAAAAAACTGCTTAAAGATCTCTGATGGTTCACGGGAAACAAAAACACTGCACAAATTTACATTTTTCACCAAAGATCAAAGAAAAAGCTTAACAATTCCTAATATAAATTTTACCTCTGAGAAGTAGATTACTAAGGAAAAATTAGTTATGATGGTCCATCTAACCCCAGCTTACCAATTGAGGTAAAGTACATCTTATCCCCAAGGTCCTTCAGTATAAATCACCATACTGAAGGACACCCATTCTTGATGTACATGAACACAATAATTGTAGAAATGTTAGCATGATGAGAAAAATCGAAAAACTGTCCTCTTAGATGACAGAAATGACTGAAATAAGCCTCCAAATGAAATCAATAGCAACTAATTTTAATAAAGGAAAAAATAAAAATAAAAATAAAAACACACCTCTTGCCGCATATAATGTCGCTAATTCCTGGAACTGAATGTCATAACATATACCGATACCAATACGACCTACATCTGCAAATCAAACTCGCTTGTTTATTTTCTGCTACATCAAACAAAATATTAGTGGATAAGAAATGAACTAATAACAAAATTTTCCTGTTAAAAAGGAAAAACGTTAAGGACCCTTAACGTTTTTTCCTTTTTATGAAAATTTAATTTACTGCAGAGAGAAAAAGAAAGTCAGAATTTGACAATCCACATCAATGGAGGTGAACAACTGGGTGGCTGTTAAATATTCTATGTCATTATATTTCCTTTTCCATATCAAATCGTTAAGAGTCAACAGAGGAGAAAGACTAAATATTGTCCAAACATGATACAACATACAGTTCTATTAGGAGAATATCTAGGCAATGATATCAGATCTGGAGTATAGTCAAATTCAGACGTCAAAGGATTACAGACTCTAATACCCCATGTAAATTTATTAAAATCCATATTAATTTTATCTATCCAAAAAAATCTATATTTTTTCGGTCTGAATATATTGATAATATGTAAAAAAAAACCAGCTCATTACGACTCGGAACAACCCTTTAGTAAGACACAAGGGAGGCCCTAGCAAAGATTTAATCCTAGCCCAAGTAAAAAAGTCTATATTGTTTCTAATAAAATTAAGACTTAAATTATACTCTTTGATAGCATTTCTAAAGCTTATATATTTTTCTTAAAGCATCTGTTGTAGAGGATGTTAATAAGAAAAGAAGCAAATTGTAAACCCCTTGGAGCTTGAGTTAGATCTTGTCTAATGAAGCTTGGATATAATTCAAGTACTAATATGTGTTACTTTTACAGAAATATACAGTTAATATAGTTTTATTATTTAGTTTTTTTAGGTTTTGGGAGTCAAGTGTATTTGATGTTTTATTTAGGGTCAAGTTATTTGATTGAATTTTCATATAGAAACCTAGTTGGTCTTCAATACCTTAATCTATTAGGTGAATCCTAAGGAATTCTAAGTGGAACATTCAGTCCTGACTTTTCCCCGTCTTTTAACCTTCAATTTGACACCTGAACACCTTATTTACTTGTCATGCCTAATTTTTAGCAATCAAATTTATAAATTTCCTAATAATTCTAAGTGGAACATTCAGTCCTGCTGTTTTTCCCATCTTTTAACCTTCAATTTGACACCTGAACACCTTATTTAGCTGTCACGCCTAATTTTTAGCAATCAAATTTATAAATTTCAGCAACTTATCACTTCTTAAAATAAATATAGAACTTCCAAACCCTTTCTTTTCTAAAATCTACATTCTTTTTTCCACCCTACCTAATCCACATGCGTTTCACTAAGAGTCACTCTGTCTGTCAGTAACTTGTTGAATAAATAATAGTAGCCAGATGAGATATTTTGTTTTCCAATTTCCTGCTATTGCATTCCTTCCAAAATATGAAGCTCAGCAGCACCTTTCATGCTTCCAATTGTGCTTGCATTGGGAGTTAATCATCTTGACTGCATATAATGAGTCAAACTCTACCCAAAGTATCTGGCTTTAACACACCTAAAATGTGATTAAGTTTCTTAAAGCCGTCTTGCATCAGCATCCTTAATGCTTTAGAATTCAAGAAACAACCCAACCTCTAATTTATTTTAATGGTTCTAAAGATGTTTTCACATGGTACTAACTTGGATCACCAGATGCTATGGAAAATGACAATTCAATATCCAAAAGGCTTATAAACCCCTCTTAACTGACTAAAGGAGCATTTTTGAGAGCCTATCGTAAATTCCCTCTATCTTTTATAAATATCTACTTAACAAAACATTAGACATGTCAATCAAGCCTTTGATACAAACCAATTAATGGATTATTAGCATAATACAAATTTTGATATGAAAAAAGGAAAAAAAGAAAAGAAAATGAAAGAAGAGTTCAATCTATGTCATACTGTCCTTGTAAAAGGCGAAGGGAGAGCACTCCAAACCTGTGTCTACAATCGTAGGTGTCTCCCCTGCTGTAAGAGTTTTTGATTCCTTAAAGGTCATCTGGCCTGGAATATCAATGTCAAAGAGATGTATCTGTATTCATGGAATGTGACCAAAATTTTTTGTTAGATGCACAAAGAGGAACTATTGCAAAGCGGTTAAATGGGGAACTCTATATGAATAATATTCCTAATTGGCCATTAGCAAATTAGCAAACTGGTTAAATGACGACTGAGTAAGAATAGCTAGGACACATACCTTCCTGTGTTTGGCCAAGAGCTTTCCATCATTTCCAAAGACGCAACAGGTATTATACAACCGATCACCAGAGCGCTCTGGTATAGAGCCACCAACTATTGTGATATGTAGACTCCGAGAAAGTTCAGACAGCATTGCAGTTGAAGGGGTTGCATCACCACCAGCATCAATATCCTCTGCATATACTGGAAAACTATCATTTGAATACGGACTATTCCATATTTCCTGACATGATGGGAGGGGAACCATTATTAATTCTAGATCTAGAAGGACCAGTGCCCAAAGAAAGATGCAGTACCAATATATCATAGGAAGATTAAGTGCGAGTAGACAGAGGATGTCCATCCACAGGCCACAAATAGACAATCACAGATGGGGGAAAAACAAACATGGGAATATCAAATGTCATTGAGTATATAAACTGTGACAAAAAAACACATTATTGAAGGCCGGTTTGGGCAGAATAAAGAGAAAATCTTATGGCACTTTCTTTTATGTCCCATGTACACATACAAACATATGTTCCAACAGGGAAATGATTGATGCACCTTTCCCTTTGGGGTGGCAACAGATATCACTCAAACTAACAGCCGGTGTAATCTCATGGCAATTGATTTATTAAAGTAATTAGAGCCATGTTATGAATTCTTCACATAATAATGCTGCAATTTCCAATATTAAAGCATTTTTTAGGTATGCAATTTTAGTACTGATAGATAGAAAGTGTTTTAGAAGGTTTTTACTTATTTTTAGGGTTTTACAAGCCTATAAAATACGAGTACCATTTTGAAGCAGTGTTAAGCCAGTGATTTCATAATTGAACTTTGAAAGAGCTTTAAGAAAATCCAAAATATTAAAATGGCTCCAGAAAAAATACTGAACAGGCAGTAGTTAAACATTGTTTACTTAACAATTTTAAAAAAAAAAATTATTTGACTCCATTCCTGCTGCCGTGCTTTTCTATCTGGTCCAAACAAGCTGTAAGTCTTACGTATTGGACAACATGAACATCCAATGGCACCAGGGTCGTAAACCTGATGAGATAAGGTTAAAATAGTACGGGAAAACTTATTATTGTGATTCTCTTGTTCCACTCAAGCTTCCAAAACCTGAATGTGTTTACTTGAACATCTAAGAAAATTTTAGTAGTCACATAGAGAAGTGATGCCAATGTGCAGAACATGAGATTGCACCCTCAGATACACTTAAATTCCTTCACTTACAGGAAGAACAACAAGCTGAGAACCCTTCTCTGCTGCCTCCTCGATTGCTTTTCGAGCATGAACAATGTTTCTCTCCTTGTCAGTAGTCACTGACAGCTGGCAAAGAGCGATCTTGAACTGAAATAGAAGGAACAAAGTGTTATAGCCTGATGATCCAAAGGTGGAATCTTTAGAAACAAATGTCACAACTCTACTAAACACTTCAGAAGACATCCAGGAAAAAAAGATAGTGAGACAAAATCCATTCAGTTTAAGTTAACATTATGAGAGAAAAATAGTACTCAAAAACCCAACCTAGTTCTTCTTTGACATACCATACAATTTCCCATAGCCCTTACAAGTAATTCACCAACAGCTAACACACTTACAATAAAATGACTAATGTATGATAACACTTCACTCGTAAATCATTCACTCTCTATTCTACCGATCAGTTAAAAATTCAAGCAGACTTGTTCAATTTTCAAGCAATCTCATTTACTTACTCATTCTTTCCGAGAAAAATTTAAACATTCAAATACAAAGTTGAACAAATTTGAATCAAGGAGCACAAAATCTATAATAAGCGTCTGACATGAATCGTTCGGAACACACACATACACACGAATACACGCATATGCGCGTTTTGAATCAATTAAGAGCAACAGAGTATTACAACGTATAACTAGCAATGACCGAAACAAAAAAACAAAAACAGATCAAAAGAACAATTATGTATAAATACACACATAAATATATATATATATATGAGTTTGGATTTTTGCCTTGGTAACAGGAGGAGTGGGCAAAGGAAGAGCAGGAGGAACCCTAGCTTCGTCAGGCTTGAAGGAAGTGGCCATTGTTGCAGCCGAGACGACGATGTTGATCGCCTTGGTAAACTTCTTGGTTTTACTGATTGTTGAGGCTCACGAGGGCAAATGAAGAAGAATGAAGTGATGAAAGCTTGTTGAGTTGAGAAACAGAGTTGAATAGACCGAGATTTGCAGTGTTGTCGAGGGTTGAAGAGGAGAGCAATCCAATATCAGCCTTCATTTTCATAAGCATTGATCCATGCCCAGGATAAGATGCCACTTAATTGAGATCGAAGCTGGGGAGAGACATTTGGACAAAAAAATGCCCCCCACTGGTCATAGATTCATAATTGATTGACTTACCCTAGAGAGCTTCGTATTTAGACAAAATGCTTATTTGGGTCTTCCATCGAAACTTGGTCGCTCCAAATTAGCTTCATTTAATTTTCTTTCTGAGCGGATTAGTTCAAAAATTAAACAAGTTAAGGGGAGATGCTTTCCAAAGCAGGAACGGAAGTTCTTATTAAGTCTACTTCCCAATTATTGTATGTCATGCTTTAAAATACATGTTTTTACGTGTAACGATCTCTCAAAAAGATGATGAACTTTTTTGTGTAGTGGAAAAGGAATATAGTTCTCATCTCAAGTGGGTTGGGTGGTGGAAGCTTCGTACTCGAAGTGTTGTTGGTGGTCTGGGCTTTAAAGATTTACAAGCATTTAATTTTGCATTACTCTCCAAATTAGCCTGGAGAATGGAAAGTTCTGATGGTTCTTTATGTGAGCAGATCATGGAAGTGGAGAGTGGTGAATGGCAATAAAATTGATTGCTGGAAGGATCCCCACCTTCTTGATCCAAATAATTTTTTTGTGACACCCCTCGATCCTGGATCCTATTCAATTCTAAAGTTGCGGACCTTATAAATCATAATCTCAAGCAATGGAAGAAAGATTTAGTTGTCAGAATTTTCAACAAAAGAGATGCAGCTCTTATCCTTCAAATTCCCCTTAGAGAGTACAGTGGTGAAGATGTCAAAATTTGGGGTTTATCACAAAATGGGTTGTTTAGTGTTCGAAGTGCTTATAAGGCAAGCTTATAAGGCAATCATTGATTCTGATCATCATCTTTTTAAATCTTTAGGACGTCCATGTCGCAGCATTGACCAAGAGTTTCTTTCCAAATGGAAGGAAATTTGGAAAAATAAAAATAAGAGAAAGATTCAAATTTTCATTTGGCAAAGTTGATGGATCGCTTACCGGTCATGCTGAATCTTAAAAAATATCATGTAGTGCCTGAAGCTATTTGTAAAGTTTGTGGGATAGAAGATGAATCTACTCTTCATATGTTTTGTAAATGCCCTATTGCTCTAGTTGCTTGGAAATATAGTCCATTGTGTCTGGGCTTCAGTAATGAGGCTTCTAACTGTTGGCAGGCAGTATGGTGCACATTATCGGATAAGTGGAAGAAAGCTGAATATTTTGGCCAACTTATAAGCCTGCTTTCATTCATGTGTTGGCAGATATGGAAGGCAAGAAATGATTTTTGTTTCAATGGTATAAAATGGAATCCAAAGAACATTGTGGACCGAGCTTTATTTAATTTTAATGAGTTTTGGTCTTTCCTTGATTAAGGTATTCCTTCTACGATTTCTTCTTCTCGGTTGGCTTCTCTCTCTCACTTGGTTCCTCCAACTGATGCATCTTCTAGATCTACTTCAAAAAAAGCTAGCAGTGGTCTTATTTTGAGAAATTCTAATGGTAATCCAATTAGAATTACATCTGTTTTTACTTCTCATGTGGCCAGTTCAGAGGTCGCTGAGGCTTGGGTTCTCTGCAAAGGAATGAAGATATTAATCCAATGGGGTTATGACAAGATAGATATAGAAGGTGATTGCTTATCCATCTTTACTTCCAATCTTTAGGATCCCTTTTCATTTCCTTTAGTGATCCGGTTCATGTTGAAGACAAATTCTCATTTTCGACTTGGTTGGACGCCGAGGGAAAATAATTTCGTTGCTCACAAATTCTCAATCTGGTGATGTGAGGTGGGATGTTTGGCCTACCCAGGTGCTGAAGGTTATTGAACTGGATATCAGGGTGTTTTTGTGTTTTTTGTTTGTTGAAAAAAAAAAAAAGCATCTGACTGGACCCACTGTAGACATATAAATTGGAGAGGAGCTTTGGAATTCAGGTTTTCCTTTTCCATTTCCATTTCCATTTTCATTTCCCCCCTCTTGTTGCCAATGAGTAAACGACAAAATCAATCACCCCAATGTTTGCCTTTGGATTAAAAGGAAAGACTGAAAAGAAAGGAAAAGAGAAAAGAACAAAAAGAAAGTGGACCTAACCGATAAAAAGAGAAAAAAAAAATTGACAGAATGAAGGTTTCTCGCTAGTGTTGTTAGTATTGTTTATTACTATAATGTATTAGTAGTTTCTTTAATTTCCTTCTTTAATTTCCTTTTTACTCGTATCAAAATTTTTTTACCTCATCCTCCTTTTTATATAAAAAAAAAGAATTACAACTATTTTTTCTTTTTCTCTTTCTTTAGTTATACAAACAAGAAGAGATAATAAAACCATATATTTTTTTCTTCTTATTGTAAAGCACTTTTTAGTATTATGCACTTAGTTTGAAAATTCTATTCGACTCCCTATTGCTTATTTTATATCTCAACACTGAACCATCATCAGTAATCCATCGTTTTCAAGCACCAAAATAAATTTATTTTGTTACATTAGAAAAGTAATCGAGTAATTTCAAGCATCCAAATGATTTTATGTTGTTCCACTAGAATCGAGTAGACAAATGCTATTGATTGTACAATGGTGGAAGGATGAACTGTAACAAGTGTTCGATTGAGTGTCTCTAATAGTCCATTTGACATGTGATTTGTTTTAAGCGTTATGTTTTTCGTCAATATCAAAACAACCGTTTTGTCGTAGGAGTGTTTTGAGTAGAAATCGAACCATGGTTAGTAACGAAAATTTGTTTTGAGAAGTTCAGAAATTTGCGATAGTTCCTCGGCTAAAATATCAAAACACACTATATCCCAATTTGGTGATATGTGTTTTGCCCAAAAAAACCTGATATGGTATGAACTATTCCACGCTAATATCAACCGTCCCAAATATGATATGAGTTCAAATTTGGATATCAATATCAGAAAAACAATATTATAACGCATGTCAAACGAGCCATTAGTATAGAAGTTTGACAATAATTAATGAAGACCAAATTCGACCAAAGTGTACTTTAACAGTATCTTCTTTGCCTTTTAACGTAAAATGTCTAGGCTCAGTCTTTTTCTCCCAACCACCTTTTCTTGTCACAGTGAGTTTCAGTTGGGTACAGTGATCGGAGCTGCAGATTTAGTTCAGTCAATCTCTCAAGCACGTTGGTTGTTCAATATCAGTTCAATTTCATATTCTTTGCAGCCAATTATAGGCTTTATAGCTATGTTTCTGACAGAAGCAATTTTACTTCACGTACCATAATTCCCAGTACATATTGTTCCATATAGAAAAAAACAATAACCCTGATAGAGACATTTCCTGATAAGAAAATCTGCGTGGCCTGTGATCAATTGAGGCAAGGAGAAGAAAGATAATTTTTGCCCCCTCTTGGCATTAAAATAAAGTTTTCATTCAAATTCGACATTTGTCAACTTTCACCTTCTATACCCAACCAACTCCACTTCCAAATACACAATTGTTGTTCTACATCCACCGTAATTTTATATTACTTAGAAAAAAGAAAAAAGAGATATTAATAGGGAAATCCACTGACCACAAGCTGGGCAGGTAGCATTTGAAATGGTGTCACTGATCACCCCAAAGGTGCCTGCTGCATCTTTTGATTCTTCTAAAGAAAACATTTTACTGGGAATAACAGGAACAAGAACGCAGAAGAACCACATGCATGCTCAATTACAAGTATTGTTTATGTATCCTTGCTCGGTTCTCTTCCCACCACAATCTAGCATGCATCTCCCCGAACATTTCCCGGCTGCACCGCACAAATATAGCATGGAAATAACCCAATTCAGTCCAAACCAATATGAGGGGAAAAAAAAAAATCAAATGATAAACATAGAAGAGTAATGTATCCATCCTTATAATCATTTATAAATTTTCCATGCACCCAAATAACAGAGATAGAAGTAGATTCATCTGTGAAATTCCAATTAGTTGGTTCAAGAAGTTGAATATGAAGATGTGTTTAGCAACAAGTAGAACCTCAATTAATGGCCCAGAAATTGAGCATGTATCAACCTTCCTCTGAGCCAAACCTACAGAAAGTTCAGGCAAATAGAGAATATTCACTTTTGGATTAACTTCAAAAGGCCTATCCGCAACACTTCCAATCCGACAAAGACAAAAAATATACCCTCTATCTACATAGCCAGGAATTGATCTTCTTCAGTTCAACCAGGAAAAATTATTGAGCTGGAATAATTTTACAAAAATATACCCTTCAAAATGCCACAAATATGCAATGCCGCTCTTCCTGCCACAAGTAGTGGCCAATTGAGGGGTTTTATAGAGTTTGCATGGGAGAAAAGTTAAACTAACCTGAATCTGACACGTCTGAGTTCCTTTGTGCCTCCAGGCAGTGCTCTGATAGTAATGTAAACTCCTGGCTCATCCTGTTCAACCCATTCTGTCTCTACATCACTGGAATTGCTGATGGATAACTCTCCGGAGTGATCTGCCTCTCTTGATGAGCTAGTCCTTATAGAGGCCTCCACTGATGATGTTTCTGTCTTAGCCCCACTAATGCTTGAGAGGTTTGGGGTCGACGCGAGACCGGAAGAGTCATGGTTATTTCGAGATTGCATTGGATGGTGGTGTTCAAGTGAATCCGAGGAAGAGTATCCCATTCCCATTCCCACTCCCACTTGACGGTGCAATGAACGAGGCAGGCGTTCTCTGCTCAGCGCCGGTGTTACAGGACTGTCAGCAGATTCAATTTTTGAAACCTGGAAGAAGTGGGTGAATGAAATCATTGGCATAAAACAAAAAGAACAAAATCCCAATGTACTTGATTAACTTTGATTCAAGACAAAATAAGCCGAGCTTCATCAGTAAGCTTTTGTTTAGGCCAAATTATTTGATATATATATGGATTAGGATCCTCTCCACAGAATCTTTCTCCTGAATTCCGCTGGCTTAGTCCAATTCTGCCACGTCATCATCTTATTCAACTTTACCGCTCACAAATTAGTTTAAAAAAAAAAAATTCAATATTGGGTTGGAGACGATGATGTGGCTGAAGCTGGACAACCTAAGCTTATAAATAATAATGTCTTAAATGGTAAATGGGGCAAGCAAAACCACTCTATACATGCCTTTTCAAGGTTACAACTTACAAGTCTGAGAGCTAATTAAGCTCGGATCTCACCTCATCTTCAGATCTTGGAGGGGTAGGAAGTGGGAAAGCGTGGCGGTTCAACCTCTGGACATTGTAGAGTTCCATTACCCTGTCATGATTCTCTGCCCACCACCTTTGAGCTTGCCATTTATTGAATATTCCTCGACTATTTAAAAATAAATAAACCATTAATCAGGATCGTTACTAAACCCGTTGAAATACGTGAGTGACAACTTTTTAATTTTTTTTTATGAACGAATCACAAAAGTGATAACATATCACATGCAGTGCATTTGAAATAACTTTTAAGAAATCAATTAAGAAGAAAGAGTGGTCTTAGGAAAATGATATTAGGATGATGCTTGCTATGCAGCCTATGCATGCCAAAAAGGTGAAGCAATAAAAAACGCATGGTCATGGCAATAACTAATCTTAGTGCCATGAGCATGACGCCTAGGCTAGAATGTATACGCTTAAAGCATCAAACACATCAAGACAAAGTAATCCTAAGAATTATAGTAGGTGGTCTTTTTATGAAATATTGATTATGTTAGGCCACTAAAGTGGACCTTCGCAAAACTTTTTTGACAAAAAAAGAAGAAGTAAAAAGAACACCCCCTCCATATTTTAAGGATACTGTCGTACTGATAACCCAAAACTGCCCTTACTGCGTGGAGTAATAATTTACATTGACTTTGCATGGGGGCATCTAATTTTCCACAAAAGTGTTAATAATTGATACTAAAAAGCAAGGAACGGATCAAACAACTAAAATAACTTAAGGGGAACCGGTTTTGATTACAGTACTCCAGCCAAGGTGTGAATATGGTCAATTCTCAATTCTTCAACAATTGTGCTGTTTCAAGATTTGTATAAGTCATGCTTTCAATGTGCTCTGAGTATTCATTTAGGTGTCTCATGGATGCTATTAGCCCAATGCCAAAGGAGTAATATGAGCATTGGGGTATTTACTCCCAGAACCAAGCACCACTTAATCAAATAGGAAATGAGACCACTGATGGGCAATTCCGTCCATGGAGAAATTGCTAATGATGTTAGTCCACAGTAATTAATGGAACTGGAAGGGGAATGCCATCATGGATGCACTCTATTGCCCCTCAAGTTGTATCACAGACATGAGGAAGGAAAAGAAGAGAAAATGAGTGACAAGGAGGGATCACTTAACCCCTATAACAGTGTTTTCACTATTCTTGGAGAATTTGAAGAGAAATGATAACTCTTTTAATGGAACTTTTCAAAACAACCTTATAATTACAAAGAAAACAAAATTGAAAAATACATCTCAGTCCTAAGGCTTTTTTAATATCTTCTTTATTTACCAAAGGGCCGTTGGCCCCTATTCTCAAAAAGGAGGGGAGAGATCCAGTCCGACAAAAGGGTGTGTGTATTTGTTTTACCAAAAGAGTGTGTGTATTTGTTTTAGCACTCAGAATTGTTTTCTGACAAAAGGAGGCTCTTGCCATTGTCTAGCTTTGGAAAATTGTTGTTGTTTACGGGACAAATAAAGTAACAAGTAACAACCATTCTCCAAATCCTGACAATGGCAGGAGCCTCTGGGCTAGCCTGTTTTAAAATTTAAAAGGTAATATTGCGTATAATCAATGGCATTTGTGTTTGGACCTAAGTCACATTAAGCGGGAAGAGGAGCGAAAGCGAATTTGAGAGTAGGAGCGTGAGAGTAGTAGAATAAAGTCATAAATAGTTAAAATTTGAGCCAGAGCGTGAGAGCGCTAGTAAGAGTGATACCTGTTAAGAAAGATTGTGTGACTTAGGTTTGGACCATATCTTTTAATGTGGTCCAATCACAAATGCACATAGTCTTTAATTATAAAATAAGGAAACTAATATATAAGGAAAACCACGTATTCCTTTTATTTTATTCATTTATTACTTTTCAGATTTTATAATGAAGACAATATGTATATTTGTGATTGGATCACACATGGCCGTGAGTAAGCAAGTATTGTCCTATATTTTTTAAAAAACATAATAAGCTTTGGGATTTGTAATATAGTAGCATTACTTTTGTGAACATTTTTAATGCACCAATGCTTTACTATTTTTTATCTAAATGAAAATGGGCAAAATTGTAAATTTAATAAAATACAGTAATTTCTGTCTTTTCTCTTCATACTTTCCAAACAAGAATATAGGTTATATACTTTAGATTATCCTCCTTTGCTTTTCCATTCCACTTAAGAAACGGGGAAACAATTAATCAGACAAATCAGGATCGTCCAAAGCAAAATCAGAGAACACTAAAGTACCTGAACCGAATGCGTTTGAGATCGTTTCCGCCACGTGGAAGCGAGACAAAATTGATGAGAACACCGGGCTCCACCTGTGCAACCCACTCCTTGGGCTCGTTTTCCTCCACGAACACGACCGGGTCAACTCGGCGCCCACTCACCGATGCCGCCGGCGTCCCTTCGCCGCTCGAAATCCCCTTCAGCCTCGCCTCCATTTCCTTTCCCCACGGCCTCACCGTCGTCGAGCTCGATTTCGAGCTCCCCGTCCGTCGATACGTCCGCCGGAACCTCTCCGACGCCGAGTCCCACTCGGCATAGCTTTTGTGTCGGTTCTGAGCCGACGGTCCCGAACACGGATTGCAGTTCCTATACGCTCCCGATGCCTTCAATGCCATGTCCTTGATCTAAAACCCCAAATACACAGTCACACACACATATCTATACACATCATAGGAAGAAAAGAAAAGAAAATGATAGTATGAGAAGATGAATTACCTGATAAGTGAGAGATTTGATGGCATGCTTGGTACCATGCGTGCCATTACTATTAGGGTCTATTTCATGATCAGGTTGATTAAGAGATTCATCGCTGTGCTCGTTTGAACGAGCTATGCATGTAATCATTTTCGATTCTCTAAGTGTATGTGTGTGTGAATAAGGATATATATATACAATCTTCGGAAGAGAATTGATTGTGAAATGAAGAAAGAATTAAACACTATACGGATTGTGGAGACGAGTAGATAAGAAAGAACAGAGCAATCGTTCAACAAAATGCTTACATTAATTACTAATTAATATATATGCAGATATAGAGATACATATACATATATAGAGATACATGTGATATGTGTTTGATATATATGGGGCCTCTGAAATGGAAGGATCAGTTGTGGTAAGAGTTTGAGAGCGCAGTGAACGAGGCAGCAGTGTCCCTGCACGGGAACTTTTAAAGCCTCTGCTTAAATGACACCACCAAAGAGAGAGTCCTGAAATAAATAGCTAAAAGTCAAAAATGGAGAAGATTAAAGAGAATGAACAAGGTGGTTTGTGTATGAAGCAAAATGATACAAAGATTGAAGAAAATGCTATATATATGTGTGTGTGTGTGTGTGTGTGTTGAAGAAGGCGAGCTAGGAAGATACAAGGATTAGCGAAATTTACATACTAAAAAGCAAATTTGTTTTTTGGGGTTTGGGGCGATTTGAAATTGGCAGATCCAAAATTATTAGAGCTTCAAGAGGAAGAAAGTGAAAGTATTTATTTCACTTTTTAGTGGGGGGACTTTTTCTTTTTTGGCTCTTCTCATTTTCGCTTCAAAACGGGGCGACTTTCTTTTTCTCCTTTTACCTGCAACCGGAATCTACGGGTGTTTCTGTAAGCTACAACCATCATAGGAATAGCTACGCCATCCCATTTGCTTCTTTACGTTCTCGTCGTCCCAATCTCGTCTCTCGAGTCTCGCCTCACTTTACAAAATTACTTTTAAATTTTTTTTTTTTTTTTTCAAAAATTAATATCAGTTTTCTTACTTTTCTAAAATTATTAATTATTAAAAAATAATCTATAAATTAAGGTATGCACACATTCGATTTGGTATGGTTTTAAGCTAAATTGGAAATAAATCTTTTCCAATTATTTGGTTTAGTTCTAAATCACAATTTTTTTTTTTTTAATAATATTGTGAAAATAATCGGTTTACTTTTCAATATATATATTGTGGGAATAAATTACATGGATACAAAAGCAAATACAAAATTTGTGACATGTTATAAATTAAAGATTTCTAATTTTAGAATCGAAACCGAACCGTAAAAAAATTGAACCAAATCTTCAGTTTAGTTCGGTTCATATCGATTTACTAATTTCAATAATTATTTGTGCACAATTTCTATATACTCAATTAGTACATCGAATAATAAATTAATAAATATATTTTATTACATCTAATAATAAAGTATACAAGTAATTATATTTAATTTTGTGACATAAACAAAATGGATTCATAGATCTTATAACTCCAACGAATAACCTCCTCACCTCATACGTACAAGGTTGAAAAATCATCTTTGAGCGTCCCCAAGAAAATTTTTCAATAATTGTTTGGTGCATATGGTAGAGGAGATCACATGCGTCGATGGTGGATTATCAATACTCTTAAGACACCACCATCAGTCAGTAGATTAAAGAAAGTTTGAACCATTTATCTAAAACGTATTTGAGAATATAATTTTTTGAGGATAAATTATATTCATATCTCTTAAAGTTTCATTAATATATACTGACTTCCTCCTCATTTGTCAAATTATACTTATCTACCTTAAAAATTTTATATAAATAATACATACATCATCTTTGTTAACAGTTAACGAAAAAAAATCCTGATATTAGTAATTTTGTAACTTTTAAATTCTAATCACCTTTGGAAGACAAACTCGGTAAAATGAGAGGTTAGTGTATAATATACATTGACAAAACATCAGTAAATGTCAGTGTAGTTTATCATAATTCCTATATAATGTATAAAAAAAGAGGGTTTGTACATTTAAACTGGTTCAGAATATTGTGAAACGGTTCAGAGTATATCCGATGTGAACGTTAAAATATTGAAAGTACCTTTTTTTTCCTAGTATGAGAAGACCTGAAAGGACACATCTCTGATGTACAATTAAATTCTTCTGTTTGTTGGTTTGATGAGTTGTGCAAAGTGTTGTTGAATTGTTGAGGGAGAATTTTTTTCTTTTTTTCTTTTTTTGCTTTGCATCACTGTACTCAATAATGTTTATGAAATTAATTAAAATTGAATTTTCCTTTTGAGGAAAACGATATTTACATTATGTAAAAGTTGTAGTCTCAAACTTTCACTTCTTTTAAGGAATCGATACAATTAAGCCCTTAAAAATGTTGTCACACTCTCTACATGTGTCAAATAAAAAATAAAAAAAAAATACTTTAGAGTCCAGTACTCCACTTTTAAACAAAATTTATGTTATTTACTTTACTAAAAGATCAATGAAGTGTGCCAGTACTTTTATAGAATGTGAATACCACTTTACTTTTTCTTAATCATGTTTAATTATAAATGGAATTTCTTTTAATAATTTATTCTGGTACATACCAGAGTGAATATGAGATCCGGTATTATTAGATATAGATTGAATTGACTTTATTCGGATAGGATGAGATTTGGATAAATCTCAACGGATCCAATAATAATCACGCAATCCAGTCCGGGCTAGGCCTGTTTCCTTCTATTTGAGCTTTGAGGCTTTGTAAGCCCACATACTGGTCCTAGGATAGAGTCGGAACAATAATTTTTAGTACTTACTACTACTTTTGGGCCCAAAACCCTCACACCATTCTCTCTCCGTGTCTCGAAGCTCATCTAATATTGGAATGGACCATACCTCGTGAGTAATTGCTTGTTTTTGTTAGGGTAGGGACTTGGACGGTTTGGCAGCCCACTCCAGATTCAAACTTGAATGGTCCGTGCCAAGTTCAAGTTTCCAAGAACTTACTCACATTTTAACTCGCGCCATATTTGGGATTTTCAGGTCATTTAAAATTGTAATCTTCTACTAATAAATAGTGATTATATAAAAAATTGTTAACCAAACTAAGTATATTATATCTTTTAACAATAATTTATAAATTGTAATAAAAGATAATATCAATCATTCGATGATTCCAAGTGTGTCAAGTTTAGGTGAATACCCTCCAATAAATATTATGTCATTTGGTTTTAACATTATTTTATATAAATAACATAGAACATTAAAAATATAAAAATTATACTTTCTTTTTTATAGGGGCATTTGGGTTAAAACATTTGTCCAATTGTCATTCAAAATAAAATCTGATTCTAAAATTTAAATATAGCCTCGTTTTATGGTTCCAAGTATCATGATCAGACACGTAAAATTTTCAGGTGAGCCTCGAATTGCTAGAGTTAGGCCCACTCAAGTCTCACCCAAAGACAAATGTAAGATAGAAAAAATAAAGTAAAATTATACATTGTTCCATACTTCTTCTATCTGTATCAATTGGATCTTTCAATTTTTATTTTTTTATTTTTTCCACTGTCAGTAAATAATTTGTCCAATTATCTTTTTCAATAAATGTCGGTTAATAGTATATTTCATTATAGGTTATCATTACTTGCTATATTAAAGAGACACATATTGGTTGGAGAAGAAAATGCACTAGAAGAGTTCAAATAGTACAATAGCAACAAATGTTGTGGTGATTATATATGAATTCGCTCGCCATTTCTCTCCTTAACAAAGAATGGTATCTATTGATTACATACTACGTTTTAATAGGATAGAATTTAAATAAGATATTAAATGTGTTCGGCGCCTCTAATAAAATATAATATATTATTTCGTTATTAGTAATTTTATAAATAAGTGGACCAATTTTTTTTTGAAATAATGCATTGTCATTAAATAAGTACACTAATTACATGGCGCGTAAGACACACTTAACATCTACTCGAACTCAAAAACCCCAACAACAACTTAATTTTATTATGAAATTGCTTATTTTAGGAGAGCTATCCTGTCTTCATCACATGGAAACAAGAATACAAAATAGTGTCTACTGAAATCACTTTGGACTGATCGATAATACTAGTTGAAAAAGAAAAATAAGGTATAATACTTTAGGTCAGATAATACTTTCAATTTACAATCATATCTTAAAAGACTATTATTAGGTTCAAGTCTGGTCAATTGATATTACAGGAGGAGTAAATGTTTGGCTTTATTAATTTTACACAAGGAGCTTTTAATATGAGACCATCATTAAAGTGCCAAGAAGTATGAATACTAATACTAGATACTGATAATCATGGTTACGATACGAGAATACGATAATTTTTTTTTTATTTAAAAGAAAAATATACGAATATGACACGTACACATTAAAAATAACATATAATGCATTTTTATATAAAATAAAATTAATAATAGCTAGATGCTTTTTATTATTATTATTATTATTTTATATTATTTTTTACTTAATCCATAATATTTAAATTGCATTGAATTTAATTTTTTTTAAATAATAATAATTATAAAAAAGTGTCAGTACTTCATCATTAACAAGTAAATATTTCGTGTGGTCCATACACTACGTACCGAGCACATCGCAACCATCAGGGCACATCGTGTACCGAGCATATCACAATGGTTCACCAGCACAAGCATGAACGATTCCAATGTGCCCCATAACAAGTTATTAAATTAAATATTTCAAAATCAAATTGGAACCAAACTTGATTCATTGGCAGGCCAAAAACATTGAAGATTTTGATTTGTATCAAAAGTTCTGAACCTTCTTCGCTTTTATTTATTTATTTTGGGCCGGCATACACTACTATTTTGGAGAGAAGTATTTCTCTTTCTTTTTTCAATCTAAGCCGACGACGCAACTAACTGGTCATATTTTTGTCTCTTTCGGCGTCGTTTTGCAACGGGAAGGAGTCAGAATCCGCCGGACTTCCAAAGCGTTCCTATTAGTTTAAGTCCAAGTAACTACAGTTAATATACTACATTGAAAAACCGATAAATATTCTTTTACCCTTACGAATATTCTTAATTTACTACTAAACTATACTCCCTCTTGCTCTTGTGACGCTAGGTGCACTTATAATTACAGTATTTAATTTTGTGATATTTGTATCATTGTCTTTTTGAATTGTGATGGAGAGTCTAAAAATACAAAATGATGTCATTAAAATTGATAAGATCATCCTAATGGCATTCTTTATCTACATAAAATAGTTTGATTAATTTGAGAATTGGACTAACTATTATTATTTTTTGTTTTAAAAGTTCAAGCGAACACACATATACAAAATTACTCTTAATTGTGTTCAAATTAGGATGACAATTTCCTCCGATCCAGCAGGTTTTCGCCCCGCCTTGTCTCTAATAGGGTGGGCTTGGTAGTCTTTGAAATGGGTTTGGGGCAGGGGTGGATTTAGTGATGAACCTACTTCGACTCCGTCTTGATTGTATATGTGCCTTAAAAAATTATATATATATATATATATATAATTTTTTTAAGACTCTTGTTACTTTATTACAATTGTCATTCAATAATTTAAAAGTTGTGCCAACTTATTTATCGATCAATATAACATTGGGTTAGTTTTTTTTTTTTTTTTTTTTACTAAATAATAAAAGTGGCATTACCCAACTCGCTTTGCAATTAAACGAAATATGCGTGGGGGAGTCAGTATTTTGTTCGTCAGGACGGGGATGATATACCGATTACAAATTCATTCCGGAGTAAGTATGACGAATTTTTTAATAAAGTGGAATATAATTTAGCCAAACTCGCTCCAACTCCGTTCGGTTCAAATAATCAATCTTTCTTTTGAGCCTACAGTTCATATTATGTTAGCTAATGCTCATTTTAGTGGTATCATTTTTCAAGTCAAAAACTCATCAAAAGTTAAAATCATAAAAAATTATATATATTTAGTTCATAATGAAAAATGATATTTAAGCCAACGTTTTAGACCTAAAACACACTAGGGCTTATCTACATTGACGAACCCATGATAAAAAAATTCATTCCACGCTTGCTTATCTACCTTATAGATATATTTTAAGTAAAATTCGTAGAATAAAAGTCCTCCTATTAGTGTTTTAAATCTAATTTATTGATGGTAACATTATTCTTAATCTATATCATATGGTGTTTTTTTTTTTTTTCAATCTTATCCTTATAAGCAAGAAGTCAATGTTGACAAAGTTGAACTCTTAACCAAAACTGTGATGAACAGAGAGAAGATAACATAAACTATGTGGGGGTATTATAGCAAATAAACGAACAGAGTGGGGGCAAGTGCAAAGTAAAACTCATAAACTCTGGAGCGTGGAAAGCGCGTGGCTTGTTAGTTGTATAAACTCTCTATTAACAAAAGCCAAAATATTGAAGGGTGCGTTTGTTTGTTTGCGTGTGGTGTAGGTGGGGTCCACTGAGAAAAACGACGTTAAATGCTAAAAAAACAAAACAAAGGACAAACAAGGTGGGTTGATGACTTGATGTTAATGGTGTTGGAGGTGGGTGGCGTGTCTTTATTCAGACTATTGTATCACTTGTAGCAATGCCAGCGAGATACTCCTCAAAATTTTAGAGAGAGAAAGCGCGTTTGTGTTATGGAGAGAGAAAGAGAAGACGACCTGAAGGTTTCATGGGAGGAGACATGCCCAATTTCATCCCTACAGTTGTAGTCCTTGCTCATTCATCCCAAAGGTCTCTTTCATTTCTATTTCTCCATGACTCTCTCTCTCTCTAATTATATATATACATGTGTAGAAGAAGTAATAGTAGTAGTAGTTTCTTCTTCTCATGGAGTCTCCACCTTTCATATTTCATCTGCTCATTTTTTTTTTTTTTGTTTTGGTTCTGTTACCTTCTGATCCTTTTTGTCTTTCCTCTTTATAACATAACTTTTTCCTTTTCCATCATACACATATATGGTCTATGATAAGTGTGGTTTGGTTTTATTTGTTAATTTTTGAATGCATGTGGAGTTTGGGATCATGGTGGTGTTATTGGTGTAGATGGTGAAGGAGATTTGGGTAAAATTGTTACTTTTATCGGGTTCAGGACTTATTTATTTATTCTTGGTTCTTGATAGAGACTCTCTCTGTCTACACACACACATATCAGAGTGAGTGATGGATTCTAAATGATGAAATTGTTTTCACATTTGCATTTGCCCTTTGGTTCTGATGAGTTTTATGTTTGGTTAGTGGGCAAGATACATGTTTATCATGGTTGATATCTATAGGCTTCTGTGATTGGTTGTGTTGTGCAAGTTTTGCAGTTGGTCTGATGGTTTGATTTTTATATATTTAATGAGTTCCTATTAGGTTATTGACTTCTGTTGTTGCATGTTTACCAAGTGCCAAACTGATCTATATATTGATTGATGAAGAATTGTGTTGATCATATCCTTTAGGGGTTTTCCTTTTTTCTTTAACTAGGTTTCTGAGTATTAGCCCATCAAGACTACCCTTACTTTGTTGGGTTGTGATAAGTTGAAAGCTGTTTGGAACCCCTTGTTAAGAATTGAATTTTGAATTCAAAATTGAGATTGTCTTTGTTTCTTATGCAAACTGCTCAAGCTGTATCTGGTATATCTAGCTTTCATGCTTACTAGTGTTACCGAGTTTAGAGACAATGAGGTAGAATGTGTGGTCGTTGAAGAAAGAATATAGATTTAGGAGCATATATTAGAAGTTTGGGATGTCAAGCGTGAGAGAGGGTTGGAGTTTTGATGTTGCCTCCTAACCTTTTATTCATTCGGACCAACACTGGGATTTGGCCTTTTTAAAACTGCATAGTGTTGTAATCTTTAAAGTAATTTTTGGAATTGAACTTCTAAACACTGCCTAACGACGACGAACTTCTAAACAGCAACTAATATTAGGCTGTCAATTGTCAACCTAATTTCTTTACTAATATCCCACAGTTTGACACAAAATCATAACTGGCAACTCCGAAATGCTATGTCTGCTTAGAGAACTGTTACATTTTAAGCATCCCATATTATATACCCACATCTCTTATATTAACATAGCTGTATCCTAAAGAGGTATGTGTCTGGACTCATTCCAGGGCAGCGAATTGTTCATACTGAGATAACTATCGCTGTTGTCTTTGACTTTGATAAGTTAATTCCTTTTTCTTTATGTTCTGGTAATTACTATACATACCCACACATCACTGCGGGACTTAACGTTGCATCTCCCACCTTTGGAGTTTCGTGAATTTCCACCCAAGCTTATGATGGTGGCATTGTGCTTGTTTGCCTTTTGACTGCGGTGGTTCTCTGTAAATATGTTGGCACTCTGGTGAGCATTTGTGATGTAGTGTGGACCGGTCACTTCTATTAATTGATGAGTTTAACAGTGCGTTTGGATTGAAGAAGTTGGAAGGAAATGAATGCAAGGAAGAGGAGGGAGACCTTATCTTGTGTATGCTTTAAAAATGAAGAGGGAAATGAAAGGAAAAAAGGACGGAGAAAGAGGTGGGTTTGTTAACTTCTCCAAGAGTAATTTTGCTATCCGGCTAAAGGTGTGAAGATTTGGAAGGAAAATATTAAGTAGTCAGTGACTAACTATTTGTCCCTGTTGACTAAACTTAAATTTATGGAAATTGTTGACTAAACTATGGCCGATTTTCCCTTTGGACTCTTAGGACTTTTGCATATTTTCTCATTAAAATAAATTAATACAGATCAATTCTCTTGATTGAAATCAATGTTGCTAATTTCATAATTTTCTGTATATTTGGAAATAATTAAGGCATTGGTGACTTATTTTTATGCCTTGTATTTATTTATTTTTATTTTTATTTTTTTAAGCAGCTAATCTCAAAGTGATCCAAAAAGAACTATTTTTCGTAAAGGATCTTCAGGATTTCCTGTCACAGTTCAGAATTCTTTGGTTAACCAAATGCCTATTCAAGTTCATAACTTACCCAATAAAAGTTTTGGTCGAAGTCCCATCCATGCAATGTCGTATTTTTCTCTTAATTGTCCATCATGGAGGAATTCACATGAACACCAACTTCACGAGTCTTTATCCAAGAATTCAAGTTTGGAAGTGGAATCTCCACCCCGACACCGTAAAGAGGCAAAGCGTTTAGGTTTCCAACTGCAAAACCAGAACTCATCCTCATCTCAGTCAACTGATCAATCTCACCAGGAAGTGACTGTTATTGGAGGGACTAATTCTCAAGCTCAATGCATTTCATCAGAATCTGGTATGAGGCTTTAAATTTCTTGATTTTTTTGTAATGTGTTGTTCCTGATATTGGCTATTGCACAAGTAAGGTAGAAGTGGTTATTGTTAAGGTGGCTTCAACAACTTTTCATTTTAAATTTCTTGTTGCATAGATTTCTTTTAATGGGATTGCAGTGATGGGAGTACACTAATAAAACCGTCATCTAGTTGTACCATGTTTCATTTTTATTGTTGTGTGGGTGATCTTCATTGTTGACACTACATTTGATGTCCTTTATTGATTAGTATTTCTCCTGTAAACCTAAAGAGTACTGATGCAAGGTTGAGAACTGGTTGTAAAATGAAATGATCATAAATCTTTGGTTAATCATATGATTTGATATTTACAGTTGATCCCAACGAGTGGGAATTTATGTTTTCTAAAATGAAATGATCATAAGTCTTTGGTGAATCACATAATTTGATCTATATGGTTGATCCCAATGAGTGGGAATTTATGTTTTCTGATTTATTTATTTATTTTCCTGATTCCAAATCTAGTTTTAACTAACACCATCTGTGTTTTTAGTGTTTAAATGGAGTACAATGCATCATCTTTCTCTATAGTGCCATCAGTCCGTTGTGTTATTGTTTGCATCACATTAATTTGCTCATGACTGGAGCCACCAAGGGGCTACCTTCACAAATTATTTAAATCATGTATCCTGAGTTGCTGGCATATGTCGATGATCTTACGCTCATCTAGTCTGACCTTAAACCTATTGTTTTTTTCCATCTACCAAGATCAAGACAAAAGTCATGGGAAACGTATAGAAGACCAAATGAAGCCAGTTTTCTTAATGGCCAATCCGGATTTAGTCATCAATCCTTCACAAGTTGATATTAGGCACACAATGGTAAATCGAGATGTTACTTTTTGGTTTGCCTTTGGCTTTGTCATTAATCTAATACGTATAACCTTCCATTTCAGTCTTGCATTCCCCATAATTATGCTGATCCGTGCTTCACTGGGTTATATACTGCCTATGGACCGCAGGCCATCGTAAGTACTGTTGAGCACATTATTAATGCTTTACATTGTTTTGACAATACCATTGTGCTGCCTTGTCGATTATATCCAGTAGAAATTACTGAGCTGTTGGAATCTCTGAGTACATTTATGGTGGTGAATTATCAGTGCAACCAGTTTGTGTTCAATGGAGGCTCAATCTGGATATCTATCTTTCTGAGCTTGAAGTTCATTGAATGTGTTTCAGTCAAATGTCATGTAGTGTATGAAGAGTTTTATGAGTCAACATTATTCCTCTTTCTGACTGTTGTTCCTTTTATGATGTAATTATTATGTGAACTTGATAAGATTCAGCCCCAAATGGTGGGAATAGCACCTGCACGGGTCCCACTGCCTCCTGAACTTTCAGAAGATGGCCCCATTTATGTCAATGCAAAACAGTATCATGGAATTCTCAGAAGGAGACAGACACGGGCAAGGCTCGAGGCTCAAAATAAGCTTGTCAAAAATCGAAAGGTACGTACTTTCACTCCAGATTTACTTGAGAATTGGCTTGCCATCATTTATAGATTTCCTCTAATTGCTTCACTCTAGAATGAAAACAGAAAAATACAGGGGGGAAAAAAAGAAATGAAGATAAGAATTATACCTACCATTGGATGTGTCCCCTTGTTAATCAGCTTTTGTGAAACCATCTTAATTTGATTATTCCTGCAAAATTTTACCAACTTATGGTTGTGTACAATCGTTTGAACACGCCAGAAAAAAAGAATGCAGTTCGGAAAATCAAAACTCATGTAATTAGGCTGCTTGTTGAATAGATGCTCTACTACATGGACATCTAATGTGGTGGGTTTCAGTACTCTTTTGGGGGTACAGCGATGTATGGTCAGTTTCTAGACCCATCATGTGGGGTTGTGATGAGTTTCAATTGTCTAGGGTCAAATTAAAATAAAGGAAGAGGAGCCAAAATTTATTAAATCCGAACTCATGCACTATATTTGGCACCATAAAAAGGTAGATCCTGAAAGTTACACGTCACCTTCATTTTTTACTGTATGGCATTGATACTTCACTGAATACATAGCTACTTACCAAAAAAGAAAAATGAAACCTACTCTATATTTTTAAGATAAAGGGAATTGATTTCTATTACTTAATACTTTTTGAATGTCGTTACAGGCGGATGTGTTTATTTTGATATCAAATTACACATTACTTCAATAAGAATGACAACACGCTGTTGTTCCGGGGAAAATTATTAGTGATAATAACAAGATACCGTTGTATCACTATAGTGTTTGTCCCATTGAACAACAATAATGCAGTCCTTTTATCCAAATAAATCCTGTTGATATGAAAATGGACTGAATACCTGCTTTCAAATCATTGCAGCCATATCTTCACGAGTCTCGGCATCTCCATGCATTGAATAGGGTAAGAGGTTCTGGTGGACGCTTTCTCAGCACCAAAAAGCTTCAACAATCTGAGCAGAGCCCCACTACCAACTCCCATTATCCTTCGGGCTCTCGTCACTTTTGTCAAAAGGGATATATGTCACAGTTTGATAACCATCAGTCTGAAAGCAGCACGAGTGTCACCAACACTGATGTCCATTTACAGCAGCAGGATCACAGATTCTCAGTCATCTCTCCACACATGGGCGTCACTGTTGCAGGCAACGGGAGCCTTATGTGCAATGGCACTTGGCCCCGAGCTCCAGTTGTCCGGTGAGGTGGGAGCAAATGCTCCCCTGCCACCGGCTGGGCAATTCATCCTTGGCTTTGTCACTTCAACTTCCTATGGTTTGAGTTTGTTATTAAAGACGTTGAGAATCCTCCTAATCCTAAAATACTCTGTTACTTTCTTATTCTATATAAATTCTGAATAAATAGACATAATTTTAAAGTGGTCATGTTCATGTTTGGGGGTTTATAGCTTTTGTGATCCATTAGTTAATTAGACAGTCTAGTATGATATCACATGATGTTTTTCAGGAACATGTTCAATGGTTGTATGTGAATTTGGACATGAGTAGACGAATCCTGTCGGCTTCTTGTCCAGATTCAACTTGGGTGCCCAAAATAAATTGATGGTTCCAGTGGTTGAGTTTTTATTCTCCTTCAATTTTGAAAATTGTTTCCAGAAGGTGACCTTTCTCCATTCTCGGTATCGCGTACCACCGAACCTAACCACCTCCATAACCGTTCTTCAAATAAAGACGGGTGTTTTGCCAGGATTCATCACCTCAAATTGAATCACTTTCAGAATTGGCTAAGGTTTACAGATTTTGCTACAATGTTACTTTGCATTGAACAAAGTTATAACAAAAATTTGACCGCGAAATTTGTTAACTTAACCGTGAAATAAACTTAAAAAAGATAAAGGAAACCAGAACTTTAAATATACTTAAAAAAGATTAAACAAATGTAAAAGTATTTACTAAATTATAAACTTTATTTAAAGAGAGGGATGACAAAATTACAGTTGTACTAATCCATGCATGATAAGAAGTTGATCCATCAAAAAAAAAAATAATAATAATCCATCAATCTTTTTCGAAAGTGTGTATATATTATTATTTCCTTTACATATTAAAAGCAGAAATTAAAGCGACTGTAAGATACTAAAATACACACACAATAAAGTTAATGGAATTATTGTTTAATAATCAGATGGATCATCTTTAAGTTATCATAACCATTATTTAGAATTAGAGTTAAGCATGTATTTAAGTAACCAACTTATTAAATGGATTATTTAGATTCAACTTTTCACGAGAGCCATCTTTTGACAAGCTATTTATAAACATAAATAATAATGCATGATGTTAACAATGTATTTAAAAATAATCAAAATTCTATGAAATATGGTGATAAAAATGAAATTTCACCATAAAAAAAGTAGGTAATATTTCTTTGCTGCTACATTTGAGTTTTTCTTCTTCTTCCATTGTCAAGAGATTCTCCTACCCATAACTATTTCTGTGAATATGTTAAGGGAAACGGGAGAATATATGTAACATATAATTAAAAAAATTGGGTAAGATTGGACTGAGGTTTTTAACTAAATTCCATAATTAGGTTAAATTCAATTAAATTTATTTATATGTTAATACAAAAATACATTAAAATGCAAATTGCTATTATTTTATAAAAATACTCTTGTATAATTTGATTTATATAGTATGGTTTGTAAGGATGAGAATCCAAATCAAATGTGCACCTACCCAAAAAAAAAAAAAAAAAGTGAGATTCCAATATGCTGTTAATGATAATACATCGTTTCCGTACTATATATATATATATATATATATCCATGGGACTTGAATTCCCACCATTTTTACCTTCCATTTTCAGTACAACCCCACCAAGCGAAGCGCTTCTCTTCTGAGATATATCGAAGGAGAGAGGGAGAGAAAGTTAGAGAGAGAGGGAGAGAAAGTATGTGAGATACATCGAAGGAGAGAGAATGGTGTCGTACGTGAGTGTGCTGCTGTACGGAGTGGGAGGCCTAGTGTTCGTAGGGATGTCATTGCTGGTGGCGTTTCAGGAGAAGCTAGTCTACGTGCCAGTGGTGCCTGGTTTCACCAAATCCTATCCGATCACGCCCGCTCGTTTTCGTCTCACGTACGAGGACGTGTGGCTCAGATCTTCCGACGGAGTTCGTCTTCATTCTTGGTTCATCAAACTCATCCCTGAATGCAGAGGTTTTTTCTTTTACACATATATATACATATAGTATTTGTGTACACAGATTATGCATATATTTTCGATCGCATTTGCGTTTACTGTTCCATATTTTTTTATGGATTTTTCTGCTTTAATTTTGTGTGGCAAAATTCCTTCTGTCTGGTTACGATTTCGTTTTTGTTTAATTTGATTCCAATTAACGGTTATAGATTTAGGGCTTCCTGTTCTTGTTGTTTTATGGGAAATTGGAATTGACAAGTGTTATGAAATAAGAATGGAATAGGAGTTTATGAGAACAAGAGAAAAATAAATGACAAAGAAGATAAAATAGGCACACACAAACGAGATAAGGATTAACATGGTTCGGCTATGCCTACGTTCACGGAGAGAAGTCCACAGGGAGAAGACAGGACAATACTTCACTATAGAAATAAAGGGACACAAAGCAAGGTGGCTCACACCGAAAATCCAATTACACTCAAGCTCTCTCACTCCAAATGATACTGATACAAACTGAATTGATGATTTCAGATCATTTCATCAAGTGTGTGCAAGGCTATTTATAACCCAAAAAATACTTGGTGTCCAAGCATGTTACAAAGCTTCCATTGGAAGCTTCACCATCATACTTCTGTAGCCAATATACTTCCTTTTCTTGTAAGCTTTGTGCAAGTTGGGTTGTAATAATTTTTGAGCCACATAATTCAACAAATCTCCACCTTGGCCAAAAATTTCAAATGAGCCACTGTATCTCTGCCAAACAAATTATCTTCTCCACAAAACAAAATTAATAAAGAATTTTAGTTAAGTTTGAGTTATCATGAAACTTAACCCTCATTCTTCAACCCATACATGTCTTGCGCAGCCACAAGTATACCTCCAGTATTTATGTCAAACTCTAAGCGCTTACCAAAAACATCATCAGAAACTCTAAGTTTGACATATCCTTCAGCAACCTTCTCCAACCGCCCACTAACCACCGGTTGGTAATGAAAATTCATCTTCTCATCCTTGTGGAGAATAGGACGTCCTTTACTTTTCCTCACATCTCTATTGTGACCAACTACTTGCCTCCCACATATCTTAATGGAACTCAAATGGACTATCTCATTTCCACTAAGATTATTGTAAGTTAATATCACACCTGTCCTCATAGGTCTGCCTCCCTGTAAGGACTGCTGCAATTTCGATTGCCATCTGAAAATGAATTTCATTCTCCCATCACGTTGTGTAGTCCCTTCACAACCTTTTTGAGAACTAAGATCGTTACTCATCTTTCTAACTCCTCCTTTGCCAATACCTGAATGCAAATTTCTGCGAACAGTAGAATATCCTGTAGTAGCTCCACCTGTTACTGTATTCCCTTGGAGAAGATACAAATTTCCCACCTCGGTGCCCTGTAGCACAATAAGAGAATCCATCACGACCATCATTGCTCCACCCTCTGTTACAACCGTGTAACCTTTGGAATCTAACACACCTACTGAAATAAGATTCATCTTCAGATCCGGTACATGTCGCACATCTGACAATGTTCTCCCCAACCCATTATACGTTTTGATCTTGACTGTTCCACTTCCCAAAATTTTGAAAGCTTTCCTGTCTGCCGTCTAAATCGAACCACCTTTCACCTCTTTATAAGAGGAGAAAGAATCCTTACTGGGACACATATGAACGGAACAACCAGAATAAAAAATCCAACTGTCATTAAATGACATATCTGGTGACATATCTGAACACATGGTTGTCATGAGAACATATTCATCACTTTCCGAATCACTCATTGTAGCAGTTGCCACAAAAGCTGCTTCTTGAACCTTCTCTTTGCCATTCCCATTCTTTGTATTTAGTTTGGGATAATGCTTGATGATGTGCCGCATCTCGTGACAGTAGTAACATTCTAAATTTTTATGAGATCTAGATTTACCTCTACTAGCGGAACCCTTTGTCTCACTTTTGCCTCTTACAAATAGACCCTTTGCCTGTTCATCTCTAATATCCCCAGACACCTTTTTCCTCAACTCCGGAGAGTTCAATGAGGATTTAATATCCTCCATACTAATACTATCTTTTCCATAGAGCAATGTAGTAACAAAATGCTCATAAGAAGCATGCAAAGAACACAACAAAATAAGGGCTTGATCATCGTCATCAATTTTAATATCAGTATTTTTCAAATCCATAATAATAGAATTGAAATTATCAATATGCTCCTTAAGAGGCATACCTTCCTTCATACGAAGGGTGTAGAGTTTGTCAGTGAGAGACTTCATCACATACAGACTCTCCAATTTCAGCAATAACTTTGCCGCCGTGTCTTCATCAATAACTTCACGCAGCACCTCATTAGCTAGATTCAAAAAAATTGCACTGCGCGCCTTTTCATCGACCTCATCCTTGTCTTCATTGGACATAGTTGTTGACAACTTATCCTTCCCCAACAACACCTTCTTTAGACCTTGCTGAGTCAGCAGGGCCTGCATCTTAATGCGCCAAAGACTGAAGCTAATCTTGCCATCAAATTTCTTAATCTCGTATCTGGTTTACATCTCAAAAAACTCCCCAAAATATATCTCGGTGAATAGTACCGTATTTGTGAATAGTACCTGAATAGTATATGTGTACAGTACTGTACGTGTGAACAGTATCTGTACACAATATACGAACCGATCTATAATACCAGTTTGTTATAAAATAAGGATCGAATAGGAGTTTATGAGAGCAAGAGAAAAATAAATGACCAGAAGATAACATAGGCACACACACAAACGAATTTACGTGGTTCGGCTATGCCTACGTCCATGGGGAGAAGACAAAACAATATTTTACTATGGAAATAAAGAGATACAAAGCAAAGTGGCTCACACCCAAAACCCAATTACACCCAAGCTCTCTCACTCCAAATGATACTGATACAAACTCACTGGATTGATGATTTCAGATGCATTTCATCAAGTGTGTGCAAGGCTATTTATAGACCAAAAGTTACTTGGTGTCTAAGTATATTACAAAGCTTCATTTGGAAGCCAAATGGCACTTGCTGCCCAAGAATAATTCTTGTTGCCCAAGAATTTCAAAGCTTCCTTTGGAAGTTAATTTGGAAGTTTCACCATCAGACTTCTGTAGGCAATATATTTCCTTTTCTTGTAAGCATTGTGCAAGTTGGGTTGTAATAATTTTTGAGCCGCATAATTCAACTAGAAGTTTAGCTTACGAACTGGAGTTATTTTAAAATTCATTGGAGGATTGGAAATTTGGAATTACATTGAGCACATAGGTAAGGGAGAGGCTGGTTCATTGTTTCGAACCATAACCTCCCCAGAACCCACAATGGTGGGAGCCTAGTGCGTTTCATTGTTTCGAACCATGATTTCAGATGCATTTTATCATCATATTATGTTGTTTTCCATTTTTGTTTCCGGGTTGTATAATTATTTGAAAGAGCTATAGTTAGGATATGGATTTGATGACTTGATTTAACCGAACTTCAAACTTCTTCGTTACCATGTCCATGTCAGTTTGTTCTACAATTTGAGGTTCACGGGGTTGGTGCCTACACATTCTCTTTCCATGTCCAATGTGTCATAGCTTCTCACTTTTATCTCCAATTTTAATGCTACTTCTACCATCTCACAAATGTGACTATCTCCAATTTACACTTATTTTACCACCTTTGCATTTGGCCATGTTTATATTAATAGCCGACAATCTTATGGGTGCACAAAAGTCACCAGAAGTAAACCTCCATTAGATCTATCTTATTTTTGTCCTATTAGAAAAATTCATATTCAATCTCTCCCTTTTGTGAATTGTGGGGAAAGAAAACAATAACTATTTGGACTACATCCCCGTTTGTATTTCCAGATTTTCCAACGTCATATTTAATCTTACCTATGTCTAATTCTTGGATTCTACTTCAGACTTCTAATTTAGCATTTAGATTTATCAATTTGTAACTTGTAGGGCTTCATTTTGTGTGACTAATGCAAACAAGATAAGGATTTAATTCTAATTTCTGATGTATAACCTAAGAAAATAGGAATTCAGTTTCTAAAGCATCATTTATACAAGAAAAAAAGTTATAATAGCAGGACCTTCTTTGCTTTCTTTACTTTCATACACTATTGAAGTTTCATTACATTTTAATGTACTTTGAAACTTAGAAAGTAGCGCTGTTGGTTTTGCAGGTCCAACCATCCTTTTTTTCCAAGAAAATGCCGGAAGTATCCTTTTGTTGTTATTGCTGCTGTCGGGGAAACTGGCATTAGGTTGTACTTGCATTATTACATATTTCAATTACTTCTAACATTTTTGACCTTTTGAAAAGTCTTGATGAGATCTAGTTACTGTTGGTGGCCTTTACTAGTTAATCGCAGATATCGCCCACAGGCTTGAAATGGTTCGCATATTGTTACAGAAGTTGCAGTGCAATATTTTTATGCTTTCCTACAGAGGGTAATATATTTTTTGTACTAGCTGCTAGAATTGTTTACTTCTAGTGGCTTGCTGTGTTACTACCAGCTGCTAGAATTGTATTCACATATGTATGCTGCTTGTCTAACTGAATGGAAAATAATTTGTCTTTAATCAGCTTTGGGGCTAGTGATGGCTATCCTTCTCAACATGGAATCACAAGGGATGCTCAGGTTTGGTTTCCAGACAATGTCTTTCAGTTAACATTATTTTCTACATCTGTTCTATAAATGATTGGCATTTTTTTTCTTCCTTTTGGTTAGGCTGCATTGGATCATCTAATTCAGAGGACTGACATTGACACATCTAGAATAGTTGTCTTTGGTAGGTCACTTGGGGGAGCAGTTGGAGCTGTGCTCACTAAAAACAACCCTGACAAGGTAAGATTGTAAGTTTTGCAACTTGATTTTTTTTTTTTTTTTTTTTTTTTTTTTTTCAAATGTGTTATTTTGTTTACATTCATAAAGCATTCCATCATTTGGTTTAGGACTTTTGAATCATTAAGTCTTGTTAATAGCCCAGCCAGTGGGCTCATAGCTTGTATTTTTAATTTTTGGACAAATTGTTGTAAATTGATAGCTGATGTTATCGGACAGTGTTTATAAAGGCACCAGTTGAGACATCATTGTTTGCATTATAAAAATTCAAGATAGAACAGTTGGTATTATGTTTTGATTCTTTGACACCATATTAGGTATTGAATATCACCTTGGTTAATTCCCTGTACAGGGTGCTCAGAATTCTCAGATTTGTGAGCGTGTAATATTTGTAATTGCCTCCTCAAAAAAAGAGCACCGAATACAATAGGCTGTAATTCAAGTGATAAGACATCTTATTTGATAGAGATGTTGGGGGGTCAAAAACATGGGAATAGGATCAATGGAGTGGTTTCTTCTCATGTTCGGCAAAGAACTAAAAAGACTAATTACTATATTAGCTTGTGATAGAGAATATTGGCTTACATACACTATATTTTTAGTTTCTTCTTAATGAACCCATGCATGGCTTTCTTTCTCTCTCTTGTTTTCATTGGATGGGGTATTTGGAAGACTTCGTTACAGGTAAATACAGCAACTACAAGACCAGCCACCAATAACCTTAAGATCCACTGCATACTTCATCGCAATACATAAAAGATGATCTATCACGACTAAGAAATTTGTGGAGAACTACGAATATTGAATTCTCTAGTATTCGTATTGAATTCATAATGAAAACATTATTATGAAACACGGTTATCCTCTCTAACTTCATATCACGTGCTATATCATTTCAATCATAAATGCTCACTACATCCTTGAGTGAGGATCTTTGGTTTCTCATTTAATTAGTTTCCTTTGTTATGATAGGTTGATTAAAGTGTCATCAACTTCTTTGTGGTAAAAAGACAGCTGCTTTTATTTGTGAATATTTCATATCAGAAACTATTTGTATATAAATTGCCTTGTAGACCACAGTTCTGCAAATGTAAAAAGATGGAACTCAAATGATTTGGCAGATTTTCTAGACCCTTTCAGTTGCAAACTAAATTTAAGAGATTCCTTTTCCATTTATCTGCTGAATGTTATGGGTACCTTTTTCTGGTAGTAACAGGCAGCATGCATGAGCTCCAATTGACATAATGAATGTGTGTGTGTGTGTGTGCATATCTTTTTATTCTTTGTTTCTCATCTAGAACAATTGAGTTGGAGACTGGGATCATGGTTTAGTGGTTGATGACTGTATTGCACATGTAGTTGAATCCCGTTCTGTTTTTAATTTATCTTCCAACAAAACTATAAATGTGAATACCGCTCCCTTTTGGTCTGTCATGGTCTGTTCGTATATCTTAATCTGTCACTTTCTTGATATTTTAATAAACCATGCAACTGGATTGTGATAACATTATGTTATTCCTCAAGTTTTCTTAGTTTTAGTTGACCCCATAGGGTCTTGTCTATCATCTCGGGAAGTAGTCAAATTGATATGGTGCAATCATGATATGATGTGTTGGTGATGGACAGGCACCATCATCTTGTAGTTTTTTTATTTAGTTTGTTCTCACTGAAATTGTGCTTCAGTCTTGTCTCCTATTGGTCCATGTACTTCCATAATTATCTTGGTATGGGGTTTCTGTTTTTAGTTATGCATTTTTGCTATGACTGCATTGAATTCAATTTGTTGTTATGATGTTTGAAGATGCCACTACTTTGCTGGTAAAACACGACGGCAGTAAAATCAAATTCTAGAGTTCGTCTCCTAAGGAGCTTGAACACCATCTTCTTCCCTGTTTGCCATGGCCTACCCAAATCCGAAAGGAAACAGGCGTTATAATCCTCAAAATATATCTCCTTATGCTCAATCTCTTACACACATCATTCATGGGTGTTCCTAATTTTGCAGGTTGCTGCACTTATTTTGGAGAATACTTTCACATCTATTCTGGACATGGCTGGAGTTATACTGCCCTTTTTGAAGTGGTTTATTGGAGGAAGTGGCTCAAAAGGTCCTAGGGTTCTTAACCGCCTTGTTCGCTCTCCATGGAGTACTATTGATATTATTGGTCAGGTGAGGCTAGACGTTGGTAGAAGCTCTTGTTTGCACCTGTAAACTATTAAACCATGCTCTGTGGGCACTTCTAAGGATGTAAGCTGAGTGACATGTATATGCCATATCAAAATTTCTTTTCCCTTAACATTAATTATTATGATATATAATCGAGCATTCATCAGTCTGCACCTATGCAAAGTCTGCAACTGAATGGAATAGCTCTTCTAAGCATAAAATGCACCTGTTATCGCATTTGTAATGCCCTTTTTTAGAATGTATTAATGTTTCATTTAAACTCTGTTGCAAAGTTCGATGGAATCTATTAATGTCTTATTTAAATAATATAGTCGTAACCAGCACTGTAAGTTCTCAAATTTCTGAATCTATCCCTTTGTAACAGTATTTGATTTTGTCGAAATCAAACTTCCTTGTACTTGAAATCAAACTTGTATACCTATCAAAAAAATATTTTACCTATCAAAAAGAAATCAAACGTGTATGCCTTTGCTTTTGAGATTATGATTCCTTTAGTCAAAATTGTACCTATGGTCTCTAAAAGCAACATCCTCACAAGATTTGTGCATTGCACTATTTTTTGACCTTTCTGACTGCAGATCAAACAGCCAATCCTTTTTGTCTCTGGATTGCGAGATGAAATGGTTCCTCCTCCTCACATGCAGAGGCTGTATGTTAAAGCAGCTACGGGTAACAGGCGGTGCACCTTTGTGGATTTTCCTACTGGCATGCATATGGACACATGGCTGGCTGATGGCGATCGCTATTGGAGAACTATTCAGCTATTTTTGGAACAAAATGTTCCAGAGAACAAGGATGATGAGAATTCCCACAGGGGCAATGGTAAGTTTTGGAGATCAAATCTTCAGAACTCCTATTATTGAGACGCTTTGATAGCTTTTACCTCATTATGGATTCCCATGTTTCTTTTGTGTTCCACATGCTCTGACTGGACTCTCTGCCTCTCTGCTATTACTCCTTCTTTTATATTTATTGTTTTACGGAGTATTATTTTTTCTAGGTTTCCGAGACAGCAGCATTTTGTAGTAACATTCATAATAGTCACAAGCATTTATACTTGTCGCTAAAATTACCCTCCTCTGTCTACTTGTTGATGGTTATTTTAACTGATTTCAGATTTTGAGGCAAGGTAACTGGCTTATATTCAAGACTCTTGAGTGGCAATCAATTTGCTATATTGGTAGCTTTTTGACAGACATTCCAGTGATTGGAAGCCCTTTGTGATCGCTAGCTTTTTGTATTGCTCATTGTTATATTGTCGGACTCTGACATACTGCTCAAGCACAGTATGGGATCTGTCCCAGTTTTGTTATTTCAAAAGGGTTAGATTTGAATTTGATTGATTAGTTCATGGCCCTTTTAATATATGACCAGTCAAATATATCCATATGAGTAATGGCGGCCTTGTTGAATCAAATAAAAATGTAAATGGAAGTGATTCTGAAATGTTGTTTAAACATTGTGAGAGTGAGAGAGACTGTTTTACTCAACTTGTTCCTAGGTGTAGAATACATGGATGATCCAGTTGGACATGAATTCTCATTTGGGGATGTAGAAATCACTGGCTTTAGCCCATCAAAGGTAAAGATTCAAAATGAGAAATCTAGAATGGTGGAAGATTCGATTGTCAAAATGAGAAATTCAAGTTAGAGTTTGAGGGTAATTGTGTCTTCTTCATGTAAATAGTGTTGCACTTCACTCCTGCCAAAAAAAGGAACCATCATGGTGCGCTAGCTAGCACCCCCGCGCACTAACCGTGCAATGGTCGGTGAAAAAGGGTGGTTTTGTTGTACGGTTCTGACAGTGCACCCAAAAAGCCATCCCATTGAGAATGAGACAGCTTTGGTAATAGGATCCATCTTAACCCTTACACACTGTAGCACTTAATCTTTTTAGTGATGAGGATGAGGTGCTCTAACAGATCTGATATGACGATCATCAATTCAAAGTTCAAACACTGCTTACATTTTTTTGATAATTGGTTCAGTTTGTTTCGACCTAAAATATATTTTAAAAAAAATATATATATATTTTTCAGGTAAAATATTATTTTATATTTATTTTGTTGGTATTTGACAAAGGTTTACGTAGAGGCTGAGGTCGAGTCTATCGGATGAGACATGTAAAATAACTTTCTGAACATTAATGAATAAATTATTTTTGTTAAATTTTAATATTTTTTTTTCATTCGTAAATATTTTACTACAACCAAATACTAAAAAAATATATATATATATTTTACGTCCAAACAAACGGAACCCTAATGCTAAATATTTTTAACTAGCCGAACCTTCCCTTCACGAAATTAAGGGTGAATTTGAACAAGTTAGGATGAGGTCCCAAAATAAGTATATTTTCACTCTCATTCAGTCCAATCCGACTTTTGATCTAAGTTCCATCTATTTGGATTAGTTGGTATGGATTTCGGGTTCGGCAAGGGAGGTTAAAAATCAGTTTTGAATTTGGATCAATTCCAAGTTGCCTGATACAATCTGCATCCTTGTACAAGATCCATATTGGTACGAAGTAAATTCAAATTGAAAATAGTTTGGTTTCGTTAAATTTCTCTACTGTTTAAAAACTTTTAGTACAATAATGCATAACAAACAGATTAAAATCTGCATGTTATATGAACTCATATGATACAAACATAGTATATGTATACAAATTGCTTGTGAATTTCACTTTTGTTTTTACAGGGTTAAGTGCAAAAAAAGAAAAAAAAGCAACCTGTTATATAAAAAAAAATTGTTCAAAAATACACCCATGTATGTGCATATAAATCCATATAAATACCTAATATTTAAAAATATGTACAAATTGTGTCCAGTCAATTTGACCATTTTTTTTTTTTTTTTTATTATATATATATATGAAACCCAAAATACCTTATAATCTCTCCCTCCCCTCTCTCATCCCGAAATCAATGTTTTTTATTTTTATTTTATTTTAAGGACATTTTAGGTATTTTGGTTTTCAAATCGACAAAAATATCCTTATTTGCTCAATTTTTAAAAAATATAATTATGTGTATGACAAGATTTTATTTTTTTTTTTTTTTTCTGAGGTCGATCTCACAATTAGAGATAGACCTATCAAAAGTTTAGGGGGGATGAATCCAATTATATAAGTTCGTCACTGTTTACAATAACTGTCATAAACTTTCGTCATATAAGCGTTTACTTGGTTAAGGGGGTTCATTTCCGGCTAGGGATTGAATTTGATATCATTTATCACGATCCGTCCTCAATCGTGTACATATTATCTTTGCACATTCTTCTTATTATAATTTTACACAAAACGTGTTGAACTCGTGTAAATATTATCTTTGCACACTCTTTTCTTAATGTTTATAATTTTACACAAAACTTGCCTATATCTTTACGAAATATCCACAAATATAAATATCATAGCCTCTTCCCGAGATAATGTGGGACTTATATAATTACTATCATATTTTTATATTTTATTTTATGATATTTTGAACATATTTTTTTTCCAAATGAGATTCCTTGAATCTATAGGCAAAAAATATATGTTATTGGTTACATGCTAGTTTACAAAAGAGCTCATAACAAGCATTATGAGATTCCACCTCACATAACATTAGTCTAAATAACTATTTTTTATTGATACATACTTCTCAAGGTCTAGTAATTGACTCCATTCCCTGCAAATTGCAATGTTTGTTTTTGGTCCTCGCAGTCGTTGTATCTCAATAGAATACCCTAGAAAACTATTAATTTTCGAATAAATACCCCTCTCTCTCTCTCTCTCTCTCTCTCTCTCTCTCTTGTTCAGTTTCAATATTTATTTTACCTTGGAGTACATTCCAACTCTCTGCAAAAAGGGAATTGTGAAGCTTGCGTACGGCCATGGAAGGAAGCACGCTTTACAACCCTCGAACGGTAGAGGAGGTTTTCAGGGATTTCAAAGGTCGCCGAGCCGGCCTCATCAAAGCTCTCACCACTGGTATATCATATTATACAAGTGTGTGTGTGTATAATTATGTATATGTATATGTATATACGGATTTTCAAGTTTGAGTTTTAGGGTTTTGCGTAGTTATGTTTTAGCACATTTTTCATAAAGAAGTGTAACGAAAATGTTTTTATCTTCATTAATTTTCTGATTTTTTTTTTTTTGGCAGATGTTGAAGAATTTTATCAGCAGTGCGACCCTGGTAAGTTAGGTTTTCAATTTGTAGTTCTTTTTTACTTTTTTTCTACCTCGCGCCATTTATATGGGTATAAATTATTACTGCTATTTCTATTTTGTGTGTTCTTTCACGTTGGAATGTCTGAATGTGTGGTATTATTTTGGGTTGCAGTTTGTAATGTGGTGATGGGGAGTGATTAGGTTTATATTTGCGGAGAAAGCTGGTGTTCAAATTTTTGCTTTGGTTGCTTTGATATCTTCTGTTCTGCGTTTTTGTCTTATCTGATCACATCAACCGTATGTATACATGTATATCATGTATGAACTTTCAATCGCCTTGCAATTCATGGCTGCATTTATATGTCTTTCTTACATTTGTGGCTACAGTCATATTTTCATGTGCTTTAGAGTGTAAAATGTTAAAACTTACCCTCTTCTGCCCCCATAAACACACACAGAGGGACGTGCGTACCCATGTTAATTTATTCATATACACATGGGTATGTGAATATGTGTATAAATACATAATTATGTGTTTGTGTGTATATATCTTATTCTGTATATTAGAATGCACGATTACCTGTCTGTCTTGTAATGATTATTTTTCATAAAGAGAGCAAATCAGATGCTCTGTAACTAACATTGTTCCTTTTTTTTCAACGTAATTTATACGAAAACATGGAAAATGTTGGTTAATGGACAATGTGATTTCGAGCATGGTATATCTGTTGTCCTATGTGTTTCTAAAAGTGTTTAAAAGGCTAATAATTGGCTGCTAAAGAGATACTCTGAAACGATGGCTGTAACATGCTTGTTTTTAAAAGAGATTTTTATTTGAGATGATTGAAAATGTCAATAATTTTGGAAAGAAGAAAACTTCCCCTCCGGATTTGTGTATTTGTGACAACCAACTCAAGACTGCATAGTGGGACTTAATGAGTAAATAATATATCTCCCTTTTGTTGTTCCTACAAACAAAGCTCGGCATCAATAAATTGGTATTGGTCATTCGTTAGTTTCAGTCCAAAGCCATAGACTAGATTTTGCAAGGATATTAACAGAAGATCTTTCTCATCTCACCATGTCTTGTAATTGTTGTTTGTTTTAGTCAGATTATCTGTTATTCTGATGACTAGTTTAATATTATTATGGGCAATGAATTATGCAGTACATGTCTGTTTTATTCTGGTGGTTGTGACGAAATAATAATTAATGTAATGAACTTCTGGAAGTTTCTCAACTTATATGTCAAAATTGGCTTTTGATTAGTGCGGGGGGTTAGAAATTAGGATTTTCTACTCTTATAAACAACATCTGTTCATGTGGACTTATTTTGCATTATTTATCTAACCATCTCATGGGTACCATTTCTTGAACTCCTTGCAACCTTCTTGATTATAGGTGCAAATTCTGGCCTCCGTTATTTTTTGTTTGCTGTGCATCTTTCCTGACATGGTGGAATGAGCCTCCATTTATCTACACTCTCTACTTTGCTGGTGATTTTGGTAGGAATGCATTTTTATGCATTTTTAAAGTTGTGTACCAGATTCAATTTAGTCTGACTCCTTTCCTTTCTCTGTGTTTGTGTGATTATTACTCATTTTGATCATGTTAATCTACTCATGAATGGCAATCACTATGTGTTGACTTTTGCTCTGTGAGTTTGATTCTCTCTACCGGGACCAATTTCCATGGACTTGCTTTTATCCTTCTACAAGTACCGACTCTTAGCCTATAGGATAGGTAGACCTCAGGGTATGATGTCGTCATGTGGTGTTTCTGATGTTTTGATGAATACATATTCTGCACCTTTTCAGTGTTTTTTTGTCACACAGAGGAAATTAAATCCAAAGGGTTTCAAATAAGCCTGATCTTCAACTGCGTGTTTTTTGAAGTAGGTTGTGCATCATCTCAGGAATGACTCGAGGATTGTTGTTTGGCTGTTAGAGCAAAAGGTAATTGATTCATTGAGATGACTTAGCAGTCTGGGTCAATACAACTAACTTGATTTGCATATCTCAAGAGAAGTATGTGGCCTCTGAACCGACATCATAGTATTCCTGATGGTCAATTGTAGCCCGCTGGTGATCTTAAATGAACCTTTGTGTTTGTCAACTTTGCTACATTAATTTTTGACCATTTAGTGATGGAGGCCACTGTTAGACATTGGAGATTTTACCGCATATTTCCCAGAATAGTTATTAGCCATGTTAATGTGGGATTACAGATTTAAGTACTTTGGTGTTTGGCATTAGAGAATTTTTGGAATTACTGGTGATACAAAAGTTAATTAGGGGTAATTCTCTTTCTAGATGTAATATATGTATGATATCCTGTATTATTTGTCAAAAATGAGAAGTTAATATGGGTTTATGTTCTGTTTTAGACTTTAGTGCTTCTAAAAGACAGTGTAAGATATTTGAGGTTTACATTCATTCACTAGCACTCTCTCTCTCTCTCTCTCTCATTTAATATTTTATCTTTCGTAATACTGCTTTTGTTATGCTTATTAGCTTTATGTGGTGCTGTACTACCAGTGGTTTGTGAAATATATAGCTGAATGTTTATATGTTCTTTTGCTATTCTACCATTTATATGGCTATGGTTTAAATGAGTTAAAATGCAGTGCTATATTATAAGTGGTTTTTGAAATATATAACTGAATGTTTATATGTACTTTGTGCGAAATATATAACTGAATGGTTATTTGTTCTTTTGTGCTATGCTACCATTTATATGGTTATGGTTTAACGGAGTTTGTATTTTAACTGATTATGTTTGGTTAGATGAAAAATTCTGATTTTTAGTTCACCTTTGTGGCTTTTATTCTCTTTTATCCCCCAAACAAATATGATTCTATAGTTAGTTTCAGTGGCTACTTTTCTTTTGTATTGATGTTTTTATTTCTGAATAACTGGGTACCTTGCAGAGAAGGAAAATCTTTGTTTGTATGGATTTCCTAGTGAGCAGTGGGAAGTTAATTTGCCTGCCGAAGAGGTACCTCCGGAGCTCCCAGAGCCTGCATTAGGTATCAACTTTGCTAGAGATGGGATGCAAGATAAGGACTGGTTGGCTCTTGTTGCTGTCCATAGTGATGCATGGTTACTTGCTGTGGCTTTCTATTTTGGTGCTAGATTTGGTTTTGATAAAGCTGACAGGTATTTTTCTCTTTCCTCCCGCCCTGCCACAAGTCCTTTAAAGAAAGGTTGATGTAGAAACATGCCATTGTTTTATTTTTGTTTGCATTGGGTTCTTCTCTGTTTTCACTTATTTGATTATTACCTAAACCAATTGCATCCTTAAATCATTGCCGAGTTAATTGATTTAAATAGGATTCAAATTGACTGCAAAAAAGTACATGAGTCATCAAGAAAAATATCAATTACCTAAATGGAGATTAGTTTTAACAAGTTTTCTGTGTCCAATATTTGATAGTAAACTATGCTCCATGTAAAGGACAAACTAATGCCTTTTTATACAATTTGACCCAAGAATGGAGGAGCATTCCTTTTGTCATTGAAGAGTTCTCTATTTTTTAGCACAAGCAAAATGAGTTCTCAACCAAGGTAGATATATTTTTTTTCCCTGAATGGGGTTGGTGTTTCATTGAAGAAAAATGTAGAATTACAAGGCATTAAGAGCGCGCATTCCCCCTATGTAGAAATCAAAAACTGAGAAATGGAAAAGGCCCATTTACAGTACATATCATCATAGAAAGAATTGCCACAAGGAACTAGAATGTATCAGAATATACATGATAGGTCATCAAGAGAGACATGCAAAGCAATCAGGACCTCCCAACAGATATTCCTGGCAGCATCATCCACTCTGCTCTTGTGATTCTGGTGGTAGGCTGAGTTTCTTTCCTTCCAAATCATCCAAATAGTGGTAGAGAAGATACAACAGAGGACCTTGGATCTGATGGATGGTCTCCCAGTGACTGTGCAGAACCACTGTACCAGCTGTGGGAGGGAATTTACATCAGGTAAATCCCACTTGATATACTGGAATAACTTACGCCAAATGGCCTTTGCATAAGGGCAGCTGTAGAATAAATGATCAAGTTAGTTATTTTTGTTCAGGATATCTGGAAAGCACACTAATAAGCCAGACTAAACACGTTTTCATTCCGTTTTTTTTTCTTCATAAAATCTGCCTGCTAAAGCGGGCGAGCAAATTCTCATCTTATTATCAAACTAGAAACTTATTGACCATTCATGCACCATCAGAACATATTTGGGACATATTAATTTTATGACCAATTATTCTATCGTGGTATACTAATTTATCAGATGTTAAAGTAAGTCGATTATCTATTTGATGTTAATATTATAACATGGACCATCTCAAGAGATTTTCAGTCAAAAGAGCATCCAATTTACCTGGTTTTGGTGTAGGGGGTGCAAATATGTAGTTGTCTTTGCTGTGTTGTACAATTATCCAATTGTGGATAGTCTATCATTGTCTTGGGTTGCTGTGTGCAAATATTATTAATTTTTCGTAAGTGCTGTATGCTAATTTCATCACGAACTTTTATGAAATATTGCTGGAATTCCTGTGATGCAGGAAGCGTCTCTTCGGTATGATGAATGAACTGCCAACAATATTTGAGGTGGTGACTGGAGCTGCAAAGAAACAAGTAAAGGATAAGCCGTTGATCTCAAACTATGGCAGCAACAAATCCAAGTCAAATTCAAAAGGGGTAAAAGAGACATCTTTCTTCCTGGTACTTCTGGATAATGAATTGAAATGGTATTTCCGAATTTGTTGTTTCAATTTATTGGTTTCTGGATAGTAAGTTGATTGATGATCATCAGTTGTTAGCTTTAGTGAAATCTCCCCACATTTCCAAAGAGGGGCGGGCAAGGTTCAAGTTATAGTTGGGATGTGAGTGCGCATATCATACATTCATACATACTTAATTACTTATTAGAAAATAAAAAGAAAAAAAGTAGACCATTCCAGGCACTAGAGTTCAATTTGAGTTCCAGAGCTGTCATATTTGTCAAAAAAGGTGGTAGATTGTGGCAAAAGGCGTCCAGGAGGCATGTGTCACAGTCACACTATTTCTTTTCCTTTTCTGGCTGTCTGATACGCTGAACTTGTGGGCTTTACAGATCATTTTGGGCTGCAGAGCTGCTGCATCCATATTAATTTACATTGTTTGAGGTCATAATATCTGTCATCCCCCCATTTTTTTGTTTTGGACACCAACAATGAACCAATGTAGGCTCAGGGGGGGACAAATGCCCCCCCTGGCCCGGCCCAGCCCCTCCCACTATATATATTTTTTCTTTTTATGTACATGTACATGAGAAATTTTACATAATGTCCCTCCTAAAATTTTCAATTTTTAAAATCATCTCTTAATTTTTTCTTTCTTTTCTCTTTTACTCTACAAATTCCTTTGATTTCCTTAAAGAAGTTACATTTTCCTTCTTAAATCAATCCCTAATTGATTTCCCTTCATATTTCTCTCATTTTTCTTTTTTAAAATTTATATTCTTTTCTTTTTATTTTACACTTATTGAGTATGATTTATGTACTTTAACCATTTTTTTTTTTTTTTTTTTTCTTCTTCTTATTTAAATTTATTACTGTAATTTCATGAATCAATGTGTCTTTTATATTTTTGAAATTTTCCTTTACTGTAATTTTTTATGAATAATTACATACTATTTGAAAATTGATTAATGCACCGTTACTGGAAGACGAATTTCTCATGTAAGGAGAAACTGAAGAATGTAGAATACAAGTGATGCCTAAACTATTTTCGATTATGTCTGTGTTTGGAGGGTTGAAGGGGGATATGTAAACTTATTTTCGGATTCGGATTGGCACAGGCTTTGCCTCTGCCTTTACCAAATAGATGGGTTTTGTTCAGCTAGACCTGTTGGTGGTTTTAGGTTCATTCAGTTCAAGCTCAACTGAGCTGCTCTGCAAACCAACAAAGCCCTAAAAGTCATTACATATGCCTTGAAAAACATAAATGCTATATGGTATCATTGTTCAGCCTGCCAAGCTCATCTTCAGCTTGCTAAGCATCACATTGCATTTTGGCATAGCTTGGCCTGTATGCAGTCATGATTTACACTCAACAGAACTATGACTGGTTGTTAACTGCTATGATCCAATTGGTGGATCCTGGGTCAGGGACGGACCCATGTAGCAGTCTGTGGGGGCGGCTGCCCCCACTGACATTCTCTTTATTTATATTATGCACCTAAAATTTTACTAAAATTCTAATAATATTCCTAATAAATTTTTGATAAAACACCTTATACATACTGGTCGTCCCCACTATTTTTCCTTATTTATATAACATACCTAAAATTTTCCTAACATGTCAGCTTGATAATAATTGAAATATATTATTTGCCTAAAAAAAAAACTAATTGAAATGGAAATATGAGCAAGTTTTAATTAAAATATCAAAGTTTTTTTGTTTACTCCCTTTGTCCCAAAATAAGTGTCCATCTTTTTTTTTTTGGGGCTCTCCCAAAATACTTGTCCCGCTTCAAACAAGGTATTTGACATCTTTCCGTGAATGCCCTTGAAGTTTTACAAAATTTCAAACTTGATTATATATTCAAATTTGAAAGGGTTACTTAGTAATTTTAAAAGGAGGGAATGCAATCATTGCATGTCCACTTAAAAACTTATACTCCCCAAAATGGACACTTATTTTGGGACGGAGTATGGTAGTTTGAATTATTTTATTTTATTTTATTGTGTTCAAGGCTGTCCGCTCTCAAATTTTTTTTTGTGTGGGTCCATCACTGTCCTGGGTAAGGCAGATCCAGGTTGAGTGTTTTCCGTTGTTCGTCCTTTGAATTGATTGTTAGTGGATCTGTCGTACATTTCCTTCACTATCCATGATAGTTTTTCTTCAGAAGTTTTCTTCTCTACAAGGACATGGAGGAATATATATATATATATATATAAAGAAAAAAAAAAAAAAAAACTAATTTCTTCAAATAGCATATTTCTTCGCTAATTGGACATCGATGTGTCACCTCATGCCACATGAATCATGAATTGTTGTTGTACCAAAAGTGGGGATGGATAGGAAATATGTTTCCACAATTTACATGCTTTCTGTTCTTTTTCTGTCAATGGATGAGTTTTAGTGGATTTGTTCTATTTTATCTTCTAGGCAGATCCATTATATTTTTTCTCCAGCAGTTATTTTTTTATTTTTATTTATTTTTATTTATTTATTTATTTTCTTTCTCTCCGTGGATATGGTGGGATTATCTGATCTCTTTTCTAGTTCATTTATAAATGGCAGAATTCTCCGCTTAGATGACTTGCTACGTGTATATTGTATTCATTGCTCCACAATTTACATGCTTTAATTTGTTGTACTTGTATATATTTTCACTCAATTCATGTTGAGCTAGTTCAGCATGAAATTTCCTTGTGTTTGTTTGGGCTAAATACATTTGTTGGATCAGATGAATTTCCGAATGAAGTTATTAAAGATGTAATACTATGAAGTTATATAGCTCCTCAAGAACAATAATACTTTGATTTGTTGTGAACTTGTGATACTTGTTGCCAGCACCAAGATTTATTAACCAATATATGGAAGACATGGCATGAGGAAAGAATATTTTTTTAATGATGTATTATATCATTTCTAACCAATGACAATATGTTATTTTAAAAGAAAACATAGTAGAAAGAACAGAAAAATAAAAAACCCAGAATAGGATTTCTTGAGAGAAAAAAATATATTTTTGGTACTTGAAATACTATCTAACTTGTTGAATGACCAACTGATGAAAGAGAGGTTTGACAGTCAAGTAAAGATAATTTTTAATTACATTAGTAACATAGACCTTTACTATAATTTGTGCAGTTTTGTGATAAACCGATGTAATAGGCATCCTTTGTCATATTGTGTATAGTGATCTTTATGTCCTTTCCACTCAATCGTTTAGGGTTCAAGTTATTTTATTTTGTCATATAATGTTATTTTTGCAATCATCGATGGCAATGATTCTTGAGTCTTGTTTAATTGCTAGGGTGTTAGATGATGATTCATTTTTTCCTAGTAATTAGATGACGAAATTTTAATTGATATTTCACCTGTAATAGTTTGCCTCCATTCTAATGATTTCTCTTTTGGAAATGAAAACAGCGAGGTTCTGAATCCCAGGGAAAATATTCCAAGGTGCTGCTGGCAAAGGATGAGGAGGAGGGATTGGATGAGGAAGATGAGGAGGAGGAGCATGGTGATACCTTGTGTGGAGCTTGTGGAGAGAACTATGCTTCAGATGAGTTCTGGATTTGCTGTGACATATGTGAGAGGTGGTTCCATGGTAAGTGCGTGAAGATAACTCCGGCCAGGGCTGAGCACATCAAGCAGTACAAGTGCCCGTCATGCAGCAACAAGAGAGTTCGGCCTTGATATCCCATTGAGGTTGGTGTGTTCTCAGTTGTCACCCCTTGTTTGTCTCACGTTGGACTCAACTAACTGTTTACTTTGTCAGATTTCATCTCTTGGCAATTAAACAAGGCATGTGTATTGGGTACTTGGTCTTGTTAATCTTATTAATTTGGACATATTTCTGGCGTGCAACTCCTGAACATGCTTATATTTGGTTCTAAATTGGATATATGTAGTTTTTACTTTTCTAGGAAAGCATATTCAATTCAAGTACAGTTATATATCCAACTTATTTTTCATCTTGATATAGGAAATTAGAATAAATTCTGTTGACTAATTTATAATTGCTGGAATGTTTTGACGTGGTTGAAATCTATGGCTACATTAATTATTTTGGTTTAATGTCAAATCCCCAGGATTTACAGCTCTAGGAAGTGAAGGGAAACCTAGCTTCCCTCCCTTTGAAGTGCACTAAAGGTTCACTTGGAAAATTTTCCAAGGACATTCATAGGCAATGGGCTGACAATTGAAAAACCTGTGAATGATTTCTGCATAGTGTTTTAGTAGTGCTTCCACATTGCGGATTGCTGTTGAAGGTGATTTAGTGCTAGATAAATTACTTGGGCAGTGTATTTTGCTGCTGCTTTTATGTGGATGTTTGCTTAAATGATTATGATATTTTGAGTGGAAGTCCACTTCAGTAGGAGTCAAAAAGTTCTATGGCTGCTAATGTCATCCTGGATGGGTGATTTTGAGGTGTGAACATAAGAACATCTATGTGGCAAACAGCGTGGATATATTTTTTTAACTTGGTTCGTGGTCACCTGTAGGTGGTAGATGATGGCTGCTGGCTGCTTTATATGATCTTTTGGAATGCATACTGCACTCATCAACTCACTATGAAACCTGCAGACATGAGTTTTTCGTACATGGACAGAAATGCAAATGTGATTTACTGATGAATTTGGACTTTGGAAACAAAAGATGTTGCATGCTCAATAGTTGCAATTACGCCTATTCTCTATGCAAATTTTTTAAACTGCCACATTCTATTCTATTTTGTGATACTTCAGAGTTAGTAGGTTTTTTTTTTATTTATTTATTTCTTTTTCTCGTTGAGTACAGGAATTGACCTATAGCCCATCAGAATTCGTATGTTATACATTGTTTTATGTTGTTATGGTGTAAGTTAAAGCACCTAAATATTGTCCTGAAAATGAGGTACTGCAGAAATTGGAGACCTAGCGAGAAAAATCTCACGTACACCATTTCTCTGTCAGTGCATACCTGAACATTCAGGAGTCAAAATTCTTTTTTAAGTGACTTGTATTCTGCCCAGGGGCTGAGATCAACACAACAGCAGATGCCTTCACTGCATGCGCCTCTCTCTCTCTCTCTCTCACGCGCGCGGGCGCACACAATTTCTTTAAAGTTGAAGAAGTGACCGCTGGTATTGGATATGCTTATCTCTGTGTTCTTTTTCTTGAAGGAAATTTTTTGGAAGTTTCAATGAAAAGTTGGAGAGGAAGACAGATAGTATTGGGTATCTTTATCTATTTCTTCTTTTCCTTGAAAGAAATTTTTTATTGGAAGTTTCAATGAAGGGTAAAATTTTCTTCTCTAACCACTCCCAACAACATTGAAGTATTGATCCTCATTAAAGAATAAGTTAGCTTGTTTGACGAGGTCTATCTTTTCTTCTACCCAAAAGAAAAAAAAATGGGAAGTTTCAATGAGAAGCTTTAAGAATTCTTACGTAACCACTTCCACAGCATTGGTTTAAAAAGTCTCTCTAGATATTTCTATCTTAATTGGGGTCTAAGGGTCGAAATCCATTTTCTAAATGAAAACTCAGCAGAAAGTAACCTATTATTTGTTAATTTTTGGGATTGGATACATCGTTAGTTTGTTATTATTTGTTACGAGATAACCGCAAGAATGATTACGATGATATAAGCACATTAATGCATTTCATTCGTTTTTATAGCATTGTTAACTTCAAATTAGGTATGGAAATGAAGATAGTATGTGGATTAGATGTCTGAAAGTCTTCCAATTGATCATTGTATATATATAATAATTTATCATTGTATTATTGTTAATTCAAGTATAAACCATAGGAAAAACGATATTAGGTATTTTTAGCTACTTTTGACAAAACTAACTTTTCTTGTGTTAAACGTTTAATACCAATCCTCACTCAATTCCCAGAACCTACCTTTTCTCTAAACATTAAAAGTTTGGAAAAAGACATCGCAGCGTTTTTGGTTGATTTCAACATGGAAATATAGCAAAAAGACATCAGATGGTTGTTGGTTGATTCAGCAATATGAATCCAACCAATTTGTCCCACCCTAACCATCCTGAACATGAAACTTTTTAATGAGAACCACAAACATCAATCCAATGAAGCATCTCTATTTGGTCAAGTGCAGGTTTTACATTCAACAAATTTAACATCCATGGCCCACCAAAACACCGTAGTATTCTCATGAAAAAAAGTTGAGCAAACTTCCACCATCTTTCCATGTAAATTAAGTCCTTGAATATAGATTTGACCATTGACGCAGCCTATCCCACTTCGTTTCATTTCCACTCACTCTCACTCCTATAAAGAGGCACCTCCACTTCCCTCTCTTATTCAAATCTTCCATACCAACTTAACAACACTTGTGTACTCATAAACCACCTCTCAAACTCTTCCCTCACCTTCAATTCCTGCAATGGCAACCACAGTTGAAAAAACCCCGATTTGTGTGTCGAAATTTTTTCATGATTCAGCCTCACCACACTGGTTAAAGGCTGCTGAGGCCCTTCAGTGTTCCCATTTTGATGAAGTACAACGCATGTTGTCACAATTCACTCAAGCCCAAACTGTTGACATTCAGGGCACAACCCTCAGTGTTGCAGAGGTCACAGCCATTGCGCGCCTTGGCCACGTCAAAGTTAACCTTGATGAAGCCATGGCTCGTGACCGTGTCACCAAAAGTGCCGACTGGGTTGCCCATAACATCTCAATTGGGAAGGACATATATGGTGTCACCACGGGATTCGGTTCCACATCCCAACGGCGCACCAACAAGACCTCTGACCTCCAAACAGAGCTCATTCGGTTCCTCAATGCCGGAGTGATTGGGAAAGACAATCTTCCCCAGAGTTACTCCAAGGCTGCCATGCTTGTCCGAGCCAACACACTCATGCAGGGTTATTCCGGCATCCGGTGGGAGATTCTCGAAGCCATGACCAAGCTTATGAATCAGAATTTGATCCCAAAACTCCCTCTAAGAGGGACTATCACTGCTTCAGGTGATCTCGTGCCATTATCTTACATTGCAGGACTCTTAACCGGACGACATAACTCGAAAGTGGTCACACCAGAAGGTGAAGAGATCACATCCATGGAGGCTTTAAAAAGAGCTGGAATAGCAGCCCCTTTCGAGCTACAAGCAAAGGAGGGTCTGGCTCTTGTCAATGGCACCGCCGTTGGTTCAGCCGTGGCTGCAACGGTCTGTTTTGATGCCAATCTATTGGCTCTGCTAGCTGAAATTCTCTCTGCTATGTTCTGTGAAGTGATGCATGGAAAGCCTGAGTTTGCGGACCCATTGACGCATGAGCTCAAACACCATCCCGGCCAGATTGAGGCGGCTTCTATCATGGAATTCCTTCTTGATGGAAGTGATTACATGAAAGAAGCAAGCATCCGCCACGAGAAAGACCCCCTCACGAAGCCTAAACAAGACAGGTACGCCCTCAGAACATCTCCACAATGGTTGGGGCCACAAATTGAAGTGATTCGAATGGCGACGCATTCAATTGAGAGGGAGATCAATTCAGTGAATGATAATCCATTGATTGATGTTGCTCGTGATATCGCTCTCCATGGAGGCAACTTTCAAGGCACACCTATTGGTGTTTCTATGGACAATCTAAGACTTGCCATTGCAGCAATTGGGAAGCTGATGTTTGCTCAATTTTCCGAACTTGTTTGTGACTACTACAACAATGGGTTGCCTTCAAATTTGAGTTGTGGTCCAAATCAAAGCTTGGACTATGGACTCAAAGGTGCAGAGATAGCCATGGCTGCATATTGCTCCGAGCTTCAGTACTTGGCAAACCCTGTCACAACACATGTACAAAGTGCTGAGCAACACAATCAGGATGTGAATTCTTTGGGCTTGATCTCAGCTAGAAAAAGTGCTGAAGCTATAGACATCCTCAAGCTCATGTCTGCAACTTTCATGGTGGGGCTTTGTCAAGCAATTGATCTGAGACACCTAGAAGAAAACATGAGGGAATCTGTAAAACAAGCTCTCCAGCAAGCAGTGAGAAAGACCCTTTACACTGCTGAAGATGGTTCGCTGCTCGAATCGCGTTTCTGCGAAAAGGAGCTCCTGCAAGTTATTGAGCACCAACCAGTCTTCACCTACCTTGATGATCCAGCAAACCCATCTAATGTGCTTTTGCCTCTACTCCGAGAAGTTCTTGTTAACAGAGCACTGAAAGATTCAGAAGCCGAAGAAGTGGGTAAAAATGGCGGGTTTTCGATCTTCAAGAGGATTCCAATTTTTGTGCAGGAGTTGAAGGGCAGATTGGGAGAGGCAGTGTCGAAAGGGAGAGAGAGATTTGAGAATGGTGATTTCATGGTAGAAAACAGAATCAAGAAATGTAGGACTTACCCAGTGTATGGGTTTGTGAGGAGTGAAGTAGGGACTGAGCTTCTTAGTGGTGCAAAGAAAGTGAGTCCAGGTGAAGATATAGAGAAGGTTCATGAAGCCATCAGTGAAGGGAAATTGGGTGGTGTTCTGATGAAGTGTTTGGCATTTTGAAAAGGGTCACAAATAGTGACTAATTAAGCAGTGTAATGCTGAGTACTTTTGGGGCATTAGGAGAGGGTTTTGCAACCCTTTATATTATAGTGTATTGGTTTTTGTTGCATGTAGCTTTGAGCAATATAGATTGTATGTAATTGCTGTTATTTTTTATTTAGTGTGTGTAGATTTCAATTTTTATCCAATATTAATTGAGTTTTAATGCAATATGAATGCTTTGCATTTTTAGACTCAAAATTTGATTGGTGAAAGTGTCTAATCTTATGTTTGGGAGTACAAAATTGGGTCTTAAATTTGTATTAATTTGGTGCTCCAAACATAACATAATAGATTAGATCACCAATAACATATAAATTTGGACTGATTTCTAGCTTTGAGTTTGAAGAGAAAATAAACATTGATGGACTTACTACAACTTTTATGATCTAGTTAAATTGGTTTACAAAATGGTGACTTTCAAAGTGAATTGTTTTAGCATTTTAATTAACTTTTGGTATTATGAAAAAATCCTGAATTTACAATACAGTAAGGTTCAAAAACTTGTTCAATTAATTGCTTGAATGAATAGAAAGTATGCAGTCCAAATTAAATGAGCGTATCAAATTTTTAAACACATGATAATACTCTTTGAATTGCTTTTTATTTTTATTTTTATTTTTTATGAATCAATCATATTTAAAAAAGTTGTACTGATTTTAATATTTATTAAATTTTAGCAAAATTCTCTTTCTTCGACATAAACTTGTTGAGTTGGGTCCTTTTTTAGAAAAGTGGTAAACTTCAATTGGATATGTTCCAAAACAAAACCCCAATTACCTATTAGAAAATTATAAATATTTTACATCTAACAAGTAAAGAAAAGGAACTTCAATAGAAAAATTTTCTCTGTATATTTATATATATATATAAACACACACACACAAAAAGAGTTTTACTAGAAGAAATAAATATATTGCTCTGTATTTAGTACGGTTGCATTCCCAGGGTAAAAGTGAGCATTTTATCGGGGACTTGATACTCTATATTCTGATGCACCGAAGGCATGTTCCTGGAATAGATATCTCAAGCACTTGATGAGTCCCAATGGGGTAGTTAATGTCTTATTTTAAAATGAACCTTATTAAAAATTAGAAGGCATAATATAATAAGATGTGTGATTTGATCAAATTCTAATTTTATAAATTGTTAATAAAAAATTATATTCCCATCTTTCTTCCATTTCTTTTCTCTATTGTTTACATTTTTTCTTCCCTCATATATTTTTTTTACCTCCCCTTTCTTACCCTCCAAACAAAACTAGCATTAGAGAGATAGGATATAGTGGTGGCATGGTTAGTGTGTCCTTGAGTTGAATGGAATATGTGTTATATGTGCGTGTCGGACACTTTCGAACTGCCCACTGCAAGTGACAACTGGGAATAGCTGTAGCCGTCAACGTGTCGAACAACCATTGGTAAGGATCTTTTCCCCTCACCAGAACAAAAATATATTTCTAGGGCAAATCATTTCAGCCTCCCAAATCGCTTCCATCTCTATTCTCGTTCTCAACTCCCCCCCCCCCCCCGGCGGAGCTGCAAACTACAAAATCTACAAGAATCAGAAGTCCCTCTGTCTGCAAGAATCAAAACCTATTACCTATATCAAAACCCATATCGGCATATCATTTCAGATTGTTCAAAAAATCAAAACTCATATCTTTCAGTTCCAATTGCTCGTTGTTTCAGTTCGGGTTCGCCGTTCGCAAGCTTCAGCCGCTGGCCCGCTGTCTCTCAACTCTCTCCCTGCAACTGCTAACTTGTATGTATGGGTTTTGTTTTAATTTTTTTTTTTTCTAAATCAAATAATCAAGGTCTGTGATTCTTGTTTTGCAAACTAAATCATATTTCGTGAAATTTTTTATGATCTTTTTAATATATATATATATATTACAATATAAAGTAATAAAATTGGCGTTGCATTTTGAGGTAATCACCGTAATCTACATTTTATTTCAGCAAAACAAATTTTTTTAATTTATTTCTATAACTTCTATTTCTGGTGTTTTTTTTTTTTTTTTTTTTTTTTTTTTTTTTTTTTTTTTTTTGTCAATTATGTCTAAAAGAAATTTGAATTTGGGCATGAAAAAAGAAAAAAGAAAAAAAATCTGAATTGGATTAGAAATCTGCAAAGATTGAATCTGAAACAATTTTTTATCAACATGCCAAGCTTTTTGAAGATGGAAATCTTTTCAGAACTAAAAAAAAAAAAATCATAACAAGAACTTTGACAAGCAAAAATACTTAATATAGGGAAAAGCTCTAAAGTTACTTCTTTAAAATTAAAATACTTACGAAAAACATGTTTTTGAGTGAATTCCATAGTGTTGGAAGGGGCTTGCCATGAACTACCTCACGCCCTGCTGCCACTAGTAGATTCTCAAATAGGATTAGTAAATTGGTCAAAAGAAGAGATAGGGTATGGAGTGGTGAATTGTTCAGAAATAAATTGGTAATTTTTTTTTATTAATTACCCAAATAGGATTTTTTTATGCCTTAATCAGTCAATTGTCTAAAGAAACATTGTTAGTTAACTAAAATTGAATTAAACAACAGTTGATTTTCGTTGATATATTTTGATTTAGCCCACAACATTGAGAAATCCTGCATGTTTTGTTTCACATAGAAATACAATCTGTGTAATCCACGAAGGACATATTCAATCTTTCTACCATATTTTTATTTTCAAATTTTGGTTTTTGATTTTCTTTTGTTATTAGAATGCAGAATATCAGGGTATTGATTTGTTAATGTTGAAGATTATTTCTAAATTGATGCATTGTACTTTGTTATCGGATTAATTTAACATAAGAGCTGAGTATAATATGTGCTAATCACACCTATCCGTAATCACACCTCTTTCTGCGGATAGGTGTCCAACATTTTGACTGAAAGCATAATTGGGTTGTGTTGATACATGATACAGATAGTACTTAGATGGTGGTGTTTTAATTGTTATAAGTGAGATTGTTTAACCTCTTCCTCACAACTTGAGTGTTTTTTTATTTTTAGGGTTAACATCGGGCCTTAACATTTAGCAAGAACAAGGTTCAAGAAACATGCCTCCTCAGTCATTGGGTAACAAACTCTTACTTTTTCTAAAATTTAAATTGGCATTTTTAGCTATTGGTTACGTTTATTTATTCATGTTTTACATACTGATTTTTTTTGTTTTTGTTTTTGTTTCTACATACATATATATAATATTGTTATAATGTAATGCTCGAACAATTTATTAATGGAAATTAAAGATTTGGAAGTTTAGTTTTCAATTTCAGAATATGTGTTTTACAAGTTTGTTAACACTTTTAAAACTTTTCCTCTTTTGTTCTAATAATATAGGTTTCTTTTTTGAAAGAAGAGAGTTGATGGGAATGGGTGGAGTGGGCAAAAAGAAAATAGGTATGTTTTTTTTACCTAGCTAATTGAATTATATAAATCCCCTTACCATTGTAGCAGTGATGTTGGTTTTAAAATGACCAATTATGATAGGAAGTGTCTTTTCAATTTATCTTAATCAAATGTATATCTATGCAAGAGGATTATGTGATTCTAGATGACAATTGTAGATGAGTTATTGTTAACGATATGAGGATGTTGATGTCAACGCTGACTCTAGTGATGACGATTGATGATGTTGATAATATGTTAATGCACTCAAATTTAGTCAGCACACTTAGAATTGAAGGAAATTTGGAGTTGAAGGCATACTATTGAGCATAGTGTCTAATTCTTTTAGTTTCAAGAATCTTTGTCACTTTACACACGATTTTTTAGTTATTGAAATTTTGAAACAATGGTGTGTAATATGATTCATCTAAATGGGTTCTCTTCTTTTTCATCTCTCTAAACTTTAATTTTATCTGTGAAAAAAGAAATAGAAGACTCTATGCAATTTTAATTTAACTTTATTAGATTGAGCATTGACATAGCTTCTGAAATGTTGAAACTGAAACAGCAAAGAAAAGAGAGTCCACCAATAAGAATTACCAAACTTAATAAGTTCTCTGAGCGTTTTGACTAATATTGGCATGGGAGACTTCTATAGATATGGACTTGTAGAGAGAAAGATATATCGTTGGGGGCACAAAAGTGTACGACAACTGTGAACCAATGATAGGGTTGTGAGCTTTTGGCTTGTTTCATGTATCGGATCCAAGAAGTGTACAACAATGAAATGGAAAGCTCTGATGCACTCAAAGTTACAAACAGAGACAATAATTAATATTATATATTTATAACTTACTTTACTAATCTAATATGATCCTACGTATATCATACATATATACACACATATATATATATGTTTGTAACTTTATACTTAAACTTGGATATATTTTGATTTAGCCCACCCCATTGAGAAAATCCTGGATCCACCCTTGGGCGATGGCCATGGTGGGAGGAGGCAGCGTGCAACGATTGGATATTCTAATTTTTGAGTTTTTTTTTTTTGATAAATAATGCTACAGTAGAGAAAATACTTCTTGTAAACAGTGTAGAAAGTAGGGAAAGTAACAAATCCTCACTGTCTCTTTCCTTCAATAAATCTGAAAGTACTTTCTAAAAGGTGAAAAGTAAAATTATATTAGCAAACATAATTTTCACTTTTACTTCACAAATTTAGGAATTGACAGTAAAAATCAGAAAGTAAAAGCGTTAGTAAACGGGCCCTTTCTCTTTCCTTCATTAAATCTGAAAGTACTTTCTAAAAGGTGAAAAGTAAAATTATATTAGTAAACATAAATTTCACTTTTGCTTCACAATTTTAGGAATTGACAGTAAAAATCAGAAAGTAAAAGCGTTAGTAAATAGGCCCATTGACTACCTTTTTTTTTTTTTTTTTTTTTTTTTTTTTTTGTAGTTGATCAAAATTCCAAGAAAGGAAATAAGTAAAAGCTTCTGCTCGTGTGCTGGAATGTTCATCATTTTTCTCATTCGATAGTGTGTGAAATCAATATCAATTGTTGGGGTTGAATGAATGTATATATAGTTTAGCTTATGTCATATTGTTGTATGCTTACACTCTTTGATGAGGGTTCCAGAGGATGGTGTAGTTATGGAAGCTTGCAGTGGGATCAAACTATATATGGATACTCTGCTTTCTGCCCCCTTCCAATTGCATGACTAAATTAATCTTTTATTTCTTTGTCATGAGGTCTGATTCTTATGTGTGGCCTTGTTCATCCCCTATTGCATTTCCACTTAAGAGTCTGGTCCCTTATTGTAGCTATTGTTAAGGAAGCCCTCATTAGTCAGCCTTGCCTCTTGCCGCGTTTCGCCTCCCCAGATTCTAGCAATAGGTCTTCTTGATCGTAGCCCTTAATAGAAGTCATTCTCCCTGCAAAGTGAAATGCCAAAGAATTAGAAGTTCATGAATTGACCCTTCTAACAGCTGCGCCTGTAAGCAGCTGGATTTCCTTTCCCAAAGTCAACTGGAAAAAGCACCTACATGGGTCCAGGGATGGATGCTTAGAAGTTTTTGCTCGTAAAAAAGGGGTAGCTTGCGTAATTATAGAATAGAGTACCAGCTTCCACATACTTCCCCAGAGCACTTTTTCTTCTAAATAACCTTCCTAGAAAGTAGTTCTTTGCATTCCTTGCCCTTTTGCTCGAGCAAGATAATGTATCCTTGTATCCCTTAGTTACAAGTATATGATTGTGGACACAGTGCTCCTATTTTGAATGCAATTCCATTTCCATCTAGCTGGGAGTTGAGAGAGATCAGCCCTAGCCTTTGACAGCTCAACCAAGCCTTCTTCTTCAAGATTCGACCCATTGTTAGGTGTGAGATTCGGCACTGCAGCTTTTTCATACTTTCCTACTGAGTCTGATAGATATGCACGTTACTTGACTTCTACATTGGGAACAGGTGCTTCCAATACAAAACATCCGGAAATATACTACTCTAAGGCCAAAGAGAGAGACTCAACCTGGTGATGCCAATCCTTGATAACAAGAACACACGAGCACATGATTACCAATCTAGTGTACCAGAAGAGAGCTACTGATAGAGTGTTTACTCAGCTAGGTGAGTACTAAGTATTCCTATTTCAGCCATAAAAAGGTTCATCCCGCTGCTTGCTCTTTGGCATGGGAGTACATTAACAGCAAGGATAGTCTTTGAGTTAGATGGTTTAGAGAGATAAGTATGCGTGGCGTTAGAAAACAGTAGAAAATGGGAATAGAGACATTTTAGTCACCAGTGAGGTGCTTGAAAGGGAGGTTTCCCCTAAACCTCGGGGGAGTTAGAGATGGGTACTTTTATTCAAATGAGGAGGGACTGTAAACACAGATTCAACACTAGTCCCTCTTTCAACACCAGTCCCTCTTTGCTCAGGCATGGATCAGAAATACAATAGACAAGTTTATATTTCTTACCCCCTCTTCCCTAATTTACCACCCAAGTAAAGGACATAAAGAGCAGCCGAAGTGTGGCCAGATCATCTTTAAGGAAGTGCGCCCAGACTTTGTGGTTCTTGGTTTCCGCTAAGAGGCTAGAAGAAGTGATAATTAAAGAAAAAGAGACAAGTGAAGAGGGCGGGGCTTTCTTTTGGCTAGGGATTGGTTCACCAGCGATACAATCCAGTGAAATCTGCGCTTGTACCCCAACAAATACCAATTCAGTCAAATTCTCCCATGCTTTTGTGAAATACAATCCCCTAATGAAATTGGTGGTTTTCTGACAGCAATTATCCATTAACTAGCGTTTTTTACTATCTATCCTTTCAGGGAGGACACACTTGAAATCTCTATTGGCATAAACCATTCTTCTCCGCTTCAAACTTTAAGTACTAGAAGCACTCTATAATGGTTTATTCACAAGGGTCTATCTCTGGTGGAGGAAATAGAGATCTCTTGTCAATCTCAGGGAAGATAGGCGGTTTCTCACTCAAGTACTTTACCATTTTAATGCAAAATGATCCTCTGATTGAAGTTAATACCTTTTTTCTTAGTGACCGTTGGAGGACCTTGCTCCTCCTCCCTCGATAATAGATGAATCGGGACACAGGAATTAAGGGTGGACATAATTCCAAACATCCTATCACTTACTATATAGTTTTAGAGAGTTATCTATTGATTCCATTCATCCATCTCATGGGCTCAATAAGTGAACTTGGCCGGTCAATCGTTGCAGCGAGAAGGTTTTCATTATCAACGGCACCCTGGCCGTTGGGAATAAATAAGAGGCTCTGATCAAGACCTAAGGGTTCAATCCACCGTATCCATACTATTTGATGCCTCCTTTCTAAGCTAAAGATAGATTCAATAAAGAAAGGGAGGTGTCCAGAACTACCAAGAAGAAAGGTGTGCCCAGTGCACGAGTCAAATCTAGCGTCTTTATCCAACAATGATTTGTAAATCCAATCTCTCCCACTAGTGTTTTTTTGACAACCTAAATTCTACCCGAAGAAGGGTCTCGAAGAGAAAGTTAGTCAATTAACCCAGCAAGATATAGAAAGAATGAGTCTGCCCTTTCATTTCTTCGTCTTAGTTGTAGTCTTCTCAGTAGATTGATTGCCAAATTCCCTTTTCTCTATTGTGTCATCCAAGGAAGCTAAGGGCTCCAAAGTAGTTACTGAGTCGACTGGAGAGCTTGTTTGCTTACTTCATAGGTGAATAAAGTTTTTTTGGAGTTATAGGTCAAATGACGTCCATTCCCCACACGACAAACAGCCATGGGGACACCATGTTGTGGAGCTCATTGGGAGGTGCATGAATCTGGTTGGCATTAATCTGACTGTGACTTCAAACATTTGAGTTCCTATTATAAGTTCTCTAGGGGAATATGTAGAAAGGCAGTCTATTAGGCAGTCTATTAACTCTCTCTCTCTCTTTTTTTTTTTTAAATAGAACTCTATTAACTCTCTCAACCAGCGAGACCATGCGCAGACTACAAGAAGCCCATAAAATCAAAGCCAAAGTCAGACATAAAGTGGCAAGAAAGGCTTATGAGAATTCTATTTTAGAGTGCTTTTCTCCTTTTTCCTTCCATAGCTATAAGGAAACAGGAGCGAAGTCCGCCCCTTTATCTCATCCCAAGTGCATCAGAGATGATGAGTAGGTTTCCCACTGATTCTGTTCGCGCATCGTTTTCAAAATAAGAGATTTTAAACTACAAGCATGGTATGGACTTTGTTTTAAGAGGGAAGGAGTAAAGGCGGGCACGAATGCCTTATGCAGTGAATGTTGATCCACTCATAGAGTAGGTAGAGGGCATGTCCTATTATTATGCCGCATCGCTTGCCGTTCCCGTAGGAGGGACTTTGCTTTGTGAAAGAGTTTGTCTCATTGAAAGTCTGTTTCTGAAGTGAAATATAGCAGAAGGTGGTTGAGCAAGTTTTAAACTTTAGTCTGTTTTTGGCCTCTTTAAGTATTTAAGGCAGTAAGGAATTTGAAGTACTTCACTTATTCAGTGAAGGAATGGGTTCAACTTGAGGATGGAATCTGTATCGAGTAGGGTGAGGAGGACCCTCGAAACCATAATCCTGTTGATATACGGCGTAGATCCATATCTTTTTTATGCAAGCGGGGATGTAGAGGAACAGAGCCAGCAGGGACTCCATTGCATAGAAACCAAGAACTTGGAAGTGGTAACACGTGTTGTCCTCTTAATGGATAATCTGCTTTCTATCCCGTCTCAATTCTTTTATCTCTGTCATGTAGGAATTTTAGTCCAACCCTAAATTCAGATCCTATTGATTTTTATAAATCATTAATCAGTATAATATAACTAGCCAGAAAATTATATACGAAGAAAATATGATGCCTTTGAGAACTGAGATTGTTTCAATACCACTCTGTATGGCCTATTGCTAAAATTATTTTCAGTTATAGCTACTTACAATGATAAATACGTTCCGTTTAGAAATTTGGGCTGTATGGCAATTTTTTATTTTTTCTAAAGTTCAATCACACGCCTACTATATTGTCCGTGGTATGTCTCAAACTCTTCAACTCCTCATTCTGTAACAACAAAAATTAAAGCAATAGTTAACTAATGCAGTGAATAGCCATAGCTCAGACGATACTTACTCTCAAAGTTCCCGAACACCAACATGTTCGATACCTATCTATTTCTCTGTGTGTATGCATGCATTTGTGAATGTGACAGGAAACTCTAATGCAGTGAATACTCTAGTTATACCAGTTAAGAGTTGGCTCTCAATGACAGGTGGGTTCAAAAATAGCATCTTTTTGCTAACAATAGATCCCTAGAAGATTGTTAACACCATAACACACATATATACATTTGGTAATTGTGTATTTCCCTTGGTGGTAAACCAATAGTCATCTAGATACAATAAATAAGGTTAATTTAAGCTTAGTAAAATTTTATCTTTCATTTGCTCAGGTTTTAGAACGACTTTATTATTTATTCTGACTGTAATTTTAATTTATATAAATTGAGTTTAATTCTTGGGTTATTTTGCCTTCTTTTATGCTATTCAAACTATAATTTCTTTGAAATTCTTCTTTCTAATTAAAATACACAATGCAACCCAAAGTTTTGAACACCTTCGATATCTCTCTTTTTTTGTGTGTTTGTTTTTGTGTATGCATGCGTGTGTAATCCTAATAGGAAAACCCTAATGTAGTGAATACTCTGATTATACCAATTCAGAGTGCTCTCAATGAGATATGGGTACCAAATTGCATATTTTTTTCATTGCTAACAATAAGGTACACAGAACAATTAGAGACTGCATGTTAACACCGAGGTCACCAATACTGTGCAAAATCCGGGAGTCATCTATCCTTTTCAAAATCAGAGAGTCGTCATTCCTTTTCAAAATTAGAGAGTCATCAATCCTTTGCAAAAAGCAATGATCATCAACCTTCGATCAAAGTTGAGAATCATTCATCCGATTACAGGTAAAATGATACTCAATCAGATCTTATAATATAAGTATTAGCAATGTCCAAATTATCAAGGACTGACTATAGACCCAACTTAGTAACTTACAATATTGTTCTTTTATAGTAAGTTTTAGTATGGGATCATTATATGTAACGAAATTAACACTAGTGTATTAGTTTACGGGTTGAATTATACTTCAAAATTACAGGTCTTACCACTCCAAACTGGCTAAAAGGAAACTTAGGAACACGTCTTTTTTAGAATATGTCATCGTAAGATGGGGGACCTTACAAGCACATTTATAGTATGGACCCCGAGGTGAGTTTTATAATTAGTAGAATAGTTTTATTATTATTATATATTGAGATTTTAAAAATGACTTTTTTTTTTTGATAAAATTCCAGAACGTCAGAAAAATGTTTTTGGAATCTGGTATGAAGGAAGATTTGTACGAAATAAGGAGATATATTTCTTCAATAGTTGCCGATTTGCGTCGTTTAGACGTCATTTCAAATCCCTTGACTTTGAATGATGGTTTCAATCTTCCATAAAGGAAAGTAGGTGTTACATTCTGGATTATATGAAGGGACACTATTTAATATGGTGGCACAATCTGATTATTTCATTGACAGTTGGGTATGAGGCTCCTTCGGCAGGTATAAATAGGTTTAACACCGATGGCACATTTATTGATTCTGGATCATCAATGGCTCTTTTAAGAACTTCTGACCAATCTAATGGTTGACAATCCCAGGCCTCAACGACAATATAATCTGTAAGTCTGAGCTTCAAGAACTTCTGGAGTTGAGGGTGTTCCTGGAGAGACGGGGCGGGGCAGGGTATATAGAGACAGTGAAAACAATCTGGGACCAGTGTTTTATGGTAAGGTCAATGAGATATTCTTATCCTACGAGGCGGAGATGTGCGGCATCTATTATAGTTTCTGCCGTTCTTACAAGGATAGTGGTTTACACAATGCACCATGTGTATGGGAGAATGACTCTTTAAATCTCGTTAATGCCATTAATTCAGGCATACACATACCAGATGATGACTTTAAAGTTAAACAAAGGTACTATTGTTTTTCTTGGCTTTTCAAACGCTGCTTTTGGCTTTCTGGGCTTAGAAGTTATTATTTAGGGTGTTTGGATACTGCTTTTGAAAAGAGTAGCTGAATTAACTAAAAAAAAAGGACCAGTAACAAGAAAAACAAACGAAAGGCATCATTTTCATCGAACTTTGGAAGTGCTTTTGCAATGACTTTTTGGGTTCTTCTAATGCTCCAACAATAACTGAAAATGGAAAGAGTAAACAACGGGACATCAAAACACAAAGCCGATTCAAATGCATGTGTGTGTGAGAGAAACAGAGTTACACCTAAAGAAAAACTTAAAGTGAGAAATAAAGAAGAAAGTAGTTTTTGCTCAAAATCACAGAATCCATACAACAAATTTTAAGCTACATACCCTCAAACACAGACCAAAAACCATGGGTATAGTGTTGATGAAATTACTTTCAAGAGCTTGACACAAGTTACACCTTATATTCAGGGAAAGTTGCACTCACCTCCCCCTAAGAAAGTGAAAATCACATTTTGTTCCCATGTTTAAAAAAATTACACCACAATCCCCTAACGTTTGTGTTTGCATTATATTGACGTGTAAGTCAAATGGTTTTACAATCTAATAAGAATGACGTCATCAACATCCAAACATTTAAAAGATTTATTTTGCCCTTTAAAAAAGTAAAAAGAAAATTACAGGACTATTATTCCATTACATTGACTCTAAATTCTTCCCAGCGCAACATGCCACTCTCAATAGGCATTCCCCTCAGCCAAGATGTGGTTTAAAGGTTGATTTGATGAAAGCATTTGATTCCATCTTTTATATACTCTTGAGCCTATTCAAATACCCCCGGGCATTGGATCAAGCTCTGCATCACCGCTGCCTCCTACTTTATCCCTATAAATGGATTGGTGAGTTGCATATATATATGGTTTCTTTTTAAGGGTAGAAGAGGGTTGCGACAGGGACCACTGGAGGTGTAGTAAGCTGGCTCTTATGCACGTACCTAGTTTTTGCAGATGATATCATCATCATCTTGTTCGTATTTGGCTTGGCAACCCTGATTTGGTCAGTGTGCTCCACGTACAGTGCTATTCTGGACGTACTCTGCATTAATCAATCCAAGAGCCTTTTTGCCTTGTACTTCTCAGGGGTGGGTTCTGCTAACACGGTCAAAATAATGAATTTTGAAAATGGATCCCTCTGTTATGTACTTTGGTGTGTCCTTGACATCTTCAGTCATCTAGAGTGAGCTCTTGGACTGCTAAATAGATAGATACTTTTCCTATATATGCTGATTAAAACCATCTTGGTTGCTATTCAGTCTTACTGGTCCCAATCCTTCTTTCTCCCAAAAAAGGTATTTGATCAAGTTAACCAGGTCCGTCCGTCCGTACGTAAAACTTTATGAGGGTTTTTCAAATAAAGATCTTGATTCATGTGTAAGGACAAATTTTATGCATGAAGAACATGATGCTCCATTCAATTTAAGGATAGAAAACTTATATCAAGGTTTGAGTAAACCTTAAATCTCTTCTCTAAAGTGAATGTTCTCACTTATTGTAGCTTTCTTTTGATAGATACCTCTTCCATGGATCTCCATCTTGTTGGTAATGATGTTTCCTTTAGAAATCACTCATAAGCCTCCATGAATGACCTTGGAAAGCTAAGCTTGTGGGAGCCTCCATTAGATGAGAACACGAACCCTAAAATCTTAGAAAGAAAATAATTTTCTTGTCTTCTAAAAATTATTGCACAAATGCTTAACTTAAAATATACATGCCCATGTATATATAGGCAAAATAAAAATAATAATTGAAGACAATATAATTTTCTCAATCTCTAAAATTAACGTGATATCTCAAATCTAATAGGATTCTAATATCAAGTTGGGTTATGAGTGAGAATCTTTTGGGCTTATTATTTTCTTGAGTACAATGAATTAACAATTGGCCAGATCCATGGACCCAATTCAATTAATTCATAAATTAATTGAACTCCAATAAAATACTAAATAATCTCTAAGTCAATGTTGCACTTTGACCCCTTTATGCATAATTAGTTATCGAATAAATAAAGTCATCAATCCGACTACTTAATTAATATATTTATTTTGGCACCTTTGATTATTTTCGGCTTAATTACAATAAAAAATTTGTTTGACAAAAATAATAATTTAAATAAATAAATATATAAAATCATTTTGTCTAAAAACACACGAAGGCCTTCGAATTTACTTTGTGATCAACCATAATCAATAAAAAATAAATACAAGTAGCAATGATGCAAATATTGAAAATATAACCCTCTAACTATTAATTACATAATTACCCAAAGTGTCGGTCTATGAATTCTGAAGAATTCGCTGAACAAATCAAAGTAATTACTAATTAATAAAAGAGTCTTTACTTCTCTCATGCTTAAGAATCAAATGACATGACAATGATAGGGAGTAATTGCATACGACGGCTCTCGCAATATATCTCAACCTAACTTGGATCCAGTTCAAGTCTTAATTAATAATGAGTTCATCCATAATTACTGACTATGAACTATTTATGATTACTATTTATATTTATGTATTGATCGCCATCACATATATATATAAATATCTCTTGTAATCAAGTGGACACTATCAATTTCACAATGAATCGAAACATAATACATTGAATTCACTAATTGTATAAAACATAAATATTTCAGATATCTTAGGAATATATGTCACTTTAATCCAATTAGGAATTCGTTATGCTAGGGCATATAAATCCCAATAGCTCTCACTTGCCCTCATAGCCAATTCTAATCGCATCTAACTCCCATGTTTTCAGGTGATGATCAAAACTATTGATTGATGACACATTTGTTAATGGATCAACAAAGTTGTGTTCCAATGTAATGTTTTAGCCATGAGTACATTTTCTTGTCGGAAATATCATTTAAGACATGATACTTCCTCTCAGTGTACCTTGTTCCTCTATGGAGCCTTGAGTCATTGGTTGGGGTTACTTCTGCATTATTGTCACAATATAACTCGATAGGCAGGCTAGTATGCTCCACAACCTTTAAATCAGTGAGATCAAACCAAAAGGCTTCATTTGCTGCCTTTAAGGCTACAATGTACTCCACCTCAGGTTTGAGTCAGCAGTTTAAATCTGCTTAACACTCTACCAACTGATTTCCCTTCCATTGAGTGAACATACACCAAGTCATGAATCTCATAGTATTTACTTCTGATTGAAAATCAAAACTATTATACCTGACTAGGACCATATCATCATATCCATAAATGAGCATGAGATCATTGGTTCTCCTAAGATACTTTATGATATTTTCACAACAAACCAGTTATTAAGTCCGGGATTAGATTGATATCTACAGAGTATCCCTACAATGTAGTGGATGTCCTGTTTGGTATAGACCATGGTATATATGAGACTCCCATATGTCGAAGCATATTAATCCAGTCTCATTTGCTTAATCTCCTCTGCTAGTCTTGAAAAACTACTTACTAAAGAGCAATCAATGTCAGTAAAACAAGAACTCATTCTTTGAGTTTTGCATACCAAACCTGGTCTAAACTTTATCAATGTAGGATTGTTAAGATAAGCCTATTTTTCTTTTAACCCGATCTTGCAAAAGCTTGATCCTAGGAATATAGCTTACATCTTGAAGATCCTCCATTTCAAAGTAATTGAACAACAACCTCTTTACTAATGACAAAACTTCCACGTCATTATAAATGAGTAAGATGTCATCAATAGAATTAGAAAAATAATGACATTACCCTATACACATATGGTTCATTCACTAAAAAATCTTCTGGTATCCTCTTGTAGATTAACTTGTCTTCCATAGGTATATATCATCCTACTAGAAAGCTCTACAAGATCCCAGATTTTATTAAAATACATAGATTCCAACTCTGATTTCATAGCAATTTGCCAAAACGATCTGTATTCATATCGGTTCACGCTTCCGTGTAGCTTACTGGGTCCAACTCATGTTTAATAGGGATGTCCATAAAGGTCTCACCTAAAAACATGATTCTGTCGGATTGGATGATAATCCTCCCATTATATCAATATACCGATGCAGGAATCTATGTACTTGATGATGTTTACGCATCAATAGGGAATTCATCTATAATTCGTAATCTCTATAATAAGTATGTTCATATGTGGTATATCTAGTACTCATACCATATTCTCTAACATTATGCTACTAGGTATGTGATTCATAATATGATCCTCCTATAGATAAACAGTGAGTGTAAACAATCAACTTTTATCATTGAGATCATAAAATAATCCATATATCCTAGTGCATTTAGAGTAGCCATCAAATTAAGCATACGTATGATCTGCTTCCAACTTACTTGTCTATATCAAGCGCACATATGCAAGACTACCCCATATGTGTATGTGATTCAAACTAAGATTTAGTCAAAAACACAGCTCAAAATGTATTCTTGAGACAGACTAAGATAGAATGCAGTTCATAATTTTGTAACGACCCACTCTACCACATGGTATGATATTGTCCGCTTTGGGCCTGAGCCCGCACGGTTTTGCTCTTGGGTTTCATCCCAAAATGCCTCATACCAATTGGAGATGACACACTTACATATAAGCACTTCACCTTTCCTCTACCTAGGCGATGTGGGACGTTGGGCCTCTAAGGGGGGTGGATTATGATTAGGGGTAGCAAATTACGACACGATACGACAACACGACACGAACCTGACACGAGTTAAAAGGGTTTGAGTTTGGCATAAACGGGTTTGGGTTATAAAAGGGTCGACACGATTAACTCGTTTACTTAACCGTGTCGGGTTAGGGTTGAGGAGTTCAACCCGTGTAACTCGTTTATGACCCATTTAACTCAACATGTTATTATCGTGATTATGACCTATGTAATATGTTACCTGTTTAAACCCAATTACTATGAATAGTTAAGTCATTTCAATATAAACCTTGTTTATACCTTATGATTTTTCTTTTTATTTGAATATTTGGGTTAATTATGACAATATT